TTTAATGATAGTTGTAAGTTAAAAAAAACAATTATATATGTACGAGTGTATACAATTTTTCTTTCTCTTCTCAGAAAAGGTGAACAATGATGAAATATTACGAACGAAAGGTCGGGAACAGTAATGGCAATGTTATTTTGATAACAATTAGTTCTCGTTCTTGAAATGTTCGGGCGTTGATTCTTTCATTGACTCCACCGTAAACGATAATGCTTGGACAAATTTTCGTAAAAGAAACCGCCAGCGTACAGAAAAAATCACGAAAGAAAGATTACTTTGGCACTGAGTCAAGCAAATATAAAATGTCCCTAATTCGTAGTACAACCGAAGGGAGGCCGATTATTCAGTCAAAAATACGTTGTACGCGTAATTATTTTTCACATTTCATTTTTGAAAAATGTTAGTTTCTAAGACTTACCTAATACGTATTTCTATACTTGTCTTGACTTTTGGGTAAACGTGTTTTTAAACTATAGACCTTAATCTTCTCGTGTTTGTATTGAAAAATACTGAGAAAGGCACAGAGAATAAGTGACTCAACTTAAAAGGCGGTCTTGCGCTCGTATTATATTTTCTATTCATTTTCGGACAAGAATATCAATCTCCTTTCTTCGTTGTACTACGAATTATGGATTCGTCTATATATATATATATATATATACATATATCTTGTAAAAATCCTTTTCAAAACAGTTTCTCTACAAAAATTGACAGAAATACATCAAAACATTGATTCTGTCGCGAGATTGTGGGGCAGCCATAGAAACGATCGTTGCTCGAGATCTACACGCGGTAAAGATCGACGCCCGATTTATTTATTTGGCAAAGAACACAGCGCATGATCTAGTACGCATTTACCGTTGCAGATCTCTAAGGACGATCGTTGAGAACTGAATCATTTCGATAACACTGGTTAACAGCAAATGTACATTTTTTGTCTAAGCAATAAATTCTAGTCCTCGTTATGATTCTAATTACGAAAATGAAAGTTAAATAAAAATATTGACTCTAGTCTTTCTAAAACACAAACTAAGGGTGGAAATTTTTTAATACCTGAAAAGGGTGAATATTGCTGGAAACTGAATGGAAACATAGTATTTTCAGTTTCTCAACTCATATTTTTCGAACCGGAGCCAAATAATTTCCTTTCCTTTATATAGAAATAAATAAGAAGATTGCTCGATCATAAAGAATATAAACTATCGTTTACAATTTGTTGACCCGTGTAATCGAATAGGATTTCTTTTCTCGCTCGAGTTATTACGTCTTTGCTTCGAGGCAAAGTAGTTTACTGGATACTGATACACCTTAATAATTATTTCCTTAAATTGTACGTTATATTGTTGATAATGTCTATCGCCGTGAGTATTATACAGATGACGTAAATCTAGTCCCACAAAATCTGTCGCACGATGCGTACCTTTCTGCCATTTTCGAAGCTAATTACACGTTTCTTTAGCGGGGCTTTCTCTTTCGTCCCGTACCCAAAGACTACGTTTATTCGTTCAATAAATCGGATTGTTATTCGTTCAAGCGATAAACGTGCGATACGTTTACAAAGTGGAAAGGTGAACATTAAAAAAATTTACTTAACTATTAAAATCTATTCGATGATTTATAAATACTAAAAAAATCCCTATCCATATTACAAATTGCTTCGTACTTTGTATTTCGGAGGATTTATTCTGTTTTATTTTTTTTCCTTCATTTTCTCCTACGATACAAAAACAGGCGAGTCCAGCCCCTCCCCCCTCCTCCCCAATAAAGGAGAGCAACAGAAAGTATACATTTAAGCGTTAATAATTGTTACAGTATAGTCGCGTTATATTGCTGCTGGATTGACTTTTCTTTCACACGCATACGGATACTTACAATTATTATATCGCCGTTTCTGAAACTTGTTCGCTTTTACATGCTCGTTTGTGGCGACATAACGTGACTCCACTGTACTTAAATGCATCGACTCAACAAACACATTACTTTCGATAAAATAAAGCGTATGCTTCGAACGTACGCTTTTAAACGTGAATATTTAAACAATGTTAAAGCGTTTACTTTTCACTGTTTAAACGGTGACAACCCTACCTGTGCGATACGAAACGATATTCTCCTCGAGTAGCACAAATTCGCTGATCCATGTGTACAGAAGTAAATGAAATGGAAATACATTTTTTATATCGTTTGAATTACTTTTTGAAAACAAACGAAATTTTCGTTTAATTTTGTTGCATCAAACACATATTTATTCTTCGACGTTACTGTATCGATATAACGGAATTACAAGGAATCGTTCACGGAAAAAAGGAGTCTTGTAATTGCGATTAGATAAAGTACACCGATCGAAATGTTCTGCGCGCGAGAGCGGTATGTAATAGATAATAATCGGAAATTAGAATAGAAATTAAAAGCAGCAATGAAGATTGTGACTTTAGTTGGTCCCGAATATGAGTTACCATGGATTTGTGTATAAACCTTAATTATTTGACGATAAAGCATCGAAAACATGTAAAAAATTCAAACGAATCCATACGAGCAAATATGTAATTGATATAAACGATTTGTTTTGCATAAATTTTGGTATCAGGGTTCGAAAACTGTTATGAGTTTAGGTTCTTGGAACAGTTTTGACCAGAACATTTTTATTACAATTATTTTCGAAATCTTTTCAAACCCTGATCTATATTAAAATATTAAATTGAATTAAAATTTACACGAAGGAATAAAGAATCGCGGTAAAAATTGTGGAAAAATGAAAATGTTTACATACAGGGTGTCCGGTAAATCGGTGGTATAAGTTCTAATGCGATGATTCTACGCGAAGAAGCAAATCGGGAATATACATAGAGCGAAAGTTTTTCATTCGCGACTTTGTTTTCGAGAAAAACAAGTTTTACTTGAAAATGAAATCCAGTATAAAAAAAGTTTACTTTGTATTTTCGATTCATTTTTTCATGTAGAAACACCATATCGTTGCTTGTATAGTATGTTACCAGACGCCTTGTATATGATAAAATAATATGATTTCTGCACAAATCCATTCTATTAGTCGCGCATGGAATCGTGTCGATCCTTGCATCACGTGTCGAATGTAATATAGTTACTTTTCTTTCTTTTTTTCTCTCTCTCTCTCTCTCTCTCTCTCTCTCTCTCTCTCATTCACTCACTCTCTCACATAGCACTTTAACTATTACGAGTTACCTATTAATCTATTCGGTTCTAGGATATAAGGTTCTTTGGCAGTTTATTTACATGCGTGTTGAGCTACGGCGACGAATAGATATTGTAATAGAATTTTCGATGTCAAGCAATCTGTAAACTATGAAACATTCTGAAAAGTTACAGCACGTTAAAATCAATAGATTGTTTCGTGTGGTGCGACAATACTTTTGAAATTGTTTCATTTCGAATGGAGAGTATCGTTCTTGGGTTATTAACGAGTCGATCTTTCAAACTATCGTTATAAATTTTGGAGTTCTAAACCGAGTCGATGGTAGAAACAATTGAAATATCGTTTTATCTTTCCACCAAACGCTTCCTATTAAATCGTAGCGATTTTTAAAGAATTATTAATTTGAATTTAAATCGAAAAACTATACGAAGGAATATGTTTTTTTTTTCTTTTACTTTATAAGGAAACGACGGGTAAATGTTACTTTTAATCGTCTAGAAATTACGCGTTATAGTAATTTGTCGAACGACGCGGCTGCAAATACGAATTTTACGCTCGGTTGAATTCGTTAGTCCTACTATACGTACTTATCTAATTGTAAAGTCGAGTATTATTCGGCAAAGGATACATTTATATTTATATTCCGTCTATCGTACCGTTTTAGTCAAATCCAATAATAAAGTACAACGATACAAAAACTTTTTTAAAGTTATTTATAGAATATAAAATGTTTCTAATAGTATGTTATTAATACTTCTAGTACAAATAGTTATGATATTATGTATAACAATATTATAACGGTAGACTAGAAATATACAGGTACGTATTATAAAATCATTCGAGACTTTTAAAACTTGTATAACAACGTTAAAACTTTTGTTTACATTTTATCGGTACCGCCGACCGGAAATTTTCAACAAGACAAATACTCTCCATGTGCCAGCGTAACAATCCGTAGCTTAACCGCAGCTATTTTTTTTTTACCATGTTTATTTACAGAAACAATACGATCATGTAATTGAGATATCTTGCGCTGTTAGTTCCATTTATCTTTGTACCCTCATTTTCTTCGTCATTCTCACTGGCAGTGTCTCCCTTTGCCTCGACAATAGTGTCTAGTCGATCCAGCGTACTCCTCTGATGATGGTGGCTGCTCGACAAGTCGCTTTCAGCCGTCTCATCAGAGTCCACGTCGATCATATGATCGTTAACTTGAATCTTGACCACAGCATCCACCGGATACTTTCCCTCGTCGCCAGAACTTGCCCCCCTTTGCGATCTTACCGTCAGCCTGCTCGGTATTGCTCTCTCGTTGGTCTCGCAACGGGGACAGCTCTGACCGTTCGACGAGCTTTCGTCGCTCTGGCATCGGAAGCATATCAAATCCCCTTCGCTGGAGAAGTCGCAATGCTCGCATTGAACGACGTGGCCGTTTCCATGGCAGAGCTCGCAGACCGGGCTGTCGTTGTTCTGTTCCAAATCCTTGTCCACGTAGTGCTCTTGGTCGTGTTCTTGTTTCTGCTTCTTCGGCCAGCTCCTTCTACCCGGATAATCTTGATCGTGGTACGGCGACCTGGGCGAACAACTTTGACCGCTGTGATCCACGTCGTAATGCAACGATCGCGGCGAAGAGACGTGAATCGGGCTTTTGTATGTACGAGCGATACCTGGATCCTGAAGTCGATCGTCGAAACGTTCCTCGACGTATCTGCTGCAGTCGGAGCCAGGCGCCTGCGGTTTGTACGTACAGGTCTGAGACTTTTGATCGCACTCGCTGCACAGCAGCAAGTTCGACTTGCTGCCGGGCTGCGAGGCGTAACCGTTACAAGTTCCGTAATATTGTTCGTCCTCGTCGCTTTCGAAGAAATGTTGACTGAGGCTACCGATCGATTTCGTGTCGCTGGATCTGCCGGACACTCTGGCCCCGTCCGGATCGTCTTGATCGTTTCCAACGTACCTGCAATAAGATTCGACGAAATACAATATCGTACACGCAATGTCCACGAGTGTATTCGATTCGATCGATTCATCTACCTGTCGTCGGTGACATCCGTCAGATAGTGTCGCATTCGGCCCGTCTTGGTTTTGCCGCGCTCTCGCGGCCTTGTTTCTTGTTAAATGATACTTTCTCGATTTCTCTCGTTGTTGTCTTCCACGCTCGACGTCGAGCTGGCCCCGCAGATCTGCATCTCGATTTCGGCCAATCGGTGCTCCACTTCCCATTGCTGTTGATTCAGTTTCACGCTCATCGTCGCGTTCTCGGTCTCCAGGCAAACCAGCCGCTCTCGAAGCCGTTTGATCTCGGCCAGCAACGCTTCGTGGGTATCCAATAGCGGCGTAGTACCTTCGCTGACCAATTGCGTGATGCTGTTACAGGTCATGCCTGGAAAGAACGGTTTTGGTTCGCTTATGGGGCACCCGGAGAACGTATCCTGGTCGACCCAAAATCAGTAGTAGAAACAAGATCAAGGATAGACTTTGGATGTTTTACGTCGACTGAAGACGAGACTCTTTCTGCCTGTTTTTCGGTATTGCAGGCGTTTATATGTTATTGGTAGAGATGGGTAGAGGCAGGGACGATGGTCAAGGGATAGTGTCACTCAGGAAGGGTACGAGGTTCAGGATGAGTAAGGATTAGAAGTCTGGTCGTGTTGGTCATCCAACTTGAAAAGTTCCATAGGGAAACATGGCGTGGTTGGCCCTTGCCGAATTCTTGGTCTTCCAAATTACGAGATACTTGCCAGAGTGGGTAGATTGCCTGCCAGTGGAGATTTGTGTGGCAGCAGATTGCGGTGCCCTGGCGGTCTGATCCTCGCTACTGTGGCCGCTGCTGGTGGCACTCATCGGGCTGTCCATGCTTCTTGCAACGTTGTTCGAGCTGATGTTGTTACCCGTGCTAGTCAAACCGCGTGGTATCACCGGACTTGGACTAGCAGAGAACAACGAGTGCCCTGCTGAATACGTATGAGCAGACTTTGCGTCCACGGGCGATACCCACATGTCCTCCAGCGATATACGTCCTCGCGACTCCACGAGTCCTGGTGTGCTCTGGCATCTTCCCATCGCAGCTAAAAATTCATTTCATCTACGTCTATACCTACGTACACTCGATACACGAAACCATTCGAATCACTAATTCTAAATGTCTTTCTACTTGGTACCATGAATGTTCGACAGGGTTCGAGTCGGGACTTTGACTATTTTGAAATAATTGGCGCATAAAAAGTATAACATAAATGCTCGCTACCTTTTTCAAGCGGTGCCCGTTTATATTTCTCGAGTCTTTTCACTGCAATGGCTTCGAGGCGGATTCTGGCTGCAGGGTATTCCTTCAGGACGTCCCACATATCCTTCTTGCTGAGTACAAAGAGGTCCGAGTAGCCCACCGAGCGCACGCTGGCTGTTCGTCGGTTACCTGCGTCGATGTAGCCATTTATTGGTTATTAGGGTGCATCAAGCTTTCTTTTCTATTCGCTCGGAATCGATCCATCGATCGTTCCTCGATCTCACAGACTCGTATCTGTCGCGCGGGCCTACCTTAAATCTTGTTGTATCTTGCAACCCATCCTCGATTCTATATTTAACACGTTCGCTGCCGCGCGCGTTCTGTCACGCTTTCGAGTTTCTGAGTTTGCTTACTGTATTTGCGACGAGAAGTTTAAACAGTGTTGGTAAGGTTTAACAACAAATTTAAATACTCTTAGAATAAAAAAATAGGTCTAAAATCTCTTGCAACAACCAAGATATCTTCACCATCTATGATTACCACTGCCCTGATCGTTTAACCCTTTCCGGACGATGTTTGCACGTAGCAGGCAAGATATTTTGACCAAAGTTTCGTTTTTTGTCGGCTAGCATGCGCTAGGCGTGGCAGCAAACGTGTTAGAATATAATTTTGGCTCATTCGCCGCAAAACTCATGCTTGACAAATTTTTATTACATTTTGTTCACTTTGGTGCATTAAGTAGGAATTAGTTATATCGCAGCAAAAATTTTATAGGAGTATCAAAGTTGTAAAGGATAGTTGCAAAATTAAGATCTTTCGGAGTGTTTGCATCGTTATAGTTTTACGACGCATTATCAAGGGGATCGTGTACGCTTTTTATTTGGAAAAAGTAGGTTTCCCTCGAACGACATTATATGTATACACATACACAAATACCAATAACGGCGCAACGATAAATGTCGGTTGTGTCGTAATATATGAAACAGCATTCTATAATACTATACGAGCAGCGAACGTAACATTTTTTTCACCAATATATTAAGCATTACAACGTTTTGTGCATTTAAATTGTAAGACGTTGGCCGTTCTTTTGGCAGTTCTTTTTAGAAATGCTCGAACGATCGAGGAGCAGTCTCGTCCAGGTCGTTGTCGAGGAAACACGAATAAAGTCATATAATTTTCGGTCTTCTGCACTTTACCACGAATCCCGGCCATCCCCTTACAAAATGGAATATTGATTACTGCGATGCGAATGTATATTATTGCAAGATGAAACGCCAATTATTTATTGATTATAATTTAATTTGATTTAAATTAATTTAATATTCGTGTACCTTGTTTTTTACCGTGCCAATGGATGGAAATATTTTCGGTTCGTTGAAAATACTCGACGATATTAATACGGTACGAATAATATTCGGCGACGGATTGTGATTTTGGTTTTGCATTATTTTTTTTTTTAATTTAAAGATTAGTCGTTTAAAAATTTGCTCGTACGTTCGTCGAAAATTGTAGGTAATCGATAGAAAATTCAAAACTTAATTGCGAATAGGTTCGAAGCATTTAATGGTATGTAGGTTGCAAATGCCGTGTCCATATTCCATGGTCATTCCCATGACATTAAAATTCAATGACAAGGGGTGTGGTATCAAGCTGTTCTCAAGAAAGGCAGTCATTTGATAGAAAATTAGATGGCATTTAATTAATTGTATAAGTTTTTAGAAGAACTTTTCGTATACAGGGTGTTCAGCCACTCCTGGGAAAAATTTTAATGGGAGATTCTAGAGGGCAAAATAAAAAATTGGGCCATCAAAAATTCAGGAACGTGGACGAATTTTTCATCAAAATTTAAAAATGTCAAATCGTTCTGGAAAAATTATTTTCGGTTGCGGGGGTCAATTACAATTATTTTTGGTGAATATACATACCCTCGAAATCCTGCGGATTTTCGAGAAAAAAATTCGAGTATGTACTGAAATTTTGGACGAAATTAAAAAATTTCAAATCGTTCTGAAAAAATTATTTTTGGTTACAGAGGTCAATTATAATAATTTTTGGTTAATAGACGTACTCCCGAAATCCTACCCAGGTTCGAGAAAAAAATTCAGTACGGGCGCAACTTTAAACGTTAATAACTTTTTAACGAAGCCTCGATCAATAAATTAGTATTCTTGATTTTCGTCTTATTTTGGCCTCTACTATCGCTCATTAAAATTTTTACTATAGGTAGCCGAATACCCTGTATGTATACATATGTATACATATGTCGTGAAGTGAAAATCGTAAATATTAATTTTTAGTTTAAACGCGCGGAATTTATGGAATTATATTCCACAATGATTTGAAACTTTAAATCGAAGTACATTTTGACTACCCTTCGCGGATAAATACGTTGGAAAGATATCTGTTATATGACAAAGATCGTCTAGTATACAGGGAACTAACTACGGTGGTCAATGTATAGACGTATAAAAATAATATCAAATTCGAATGCAGGTTGATCACATCCGTCAAGTGTGTATGCATTACAGCAGTATATTACACAATCATTATTCACAGGCTACGTTAAGGAATGGCAATGAAAAGTTGTGGAAAAAGAAAATATATAGATAGAGGAACACAGTGCTTTGAGCAACAGTAGTAAAATATAAAAGCGTCGATTGCCAAATGAAATGAAAAGTAAATTAAAAGGAATGCTTCAAGAGCACGCTCTACTTTTACATGGTAAAAGTCTAAACTAAGTTTTCTAATGTAGCTACGAAAGCATGATAAAAATTACGACGAATGACTAAAAAGTGTCTTTTCTTTTCTCTTTAATCGATGAACCGACACGACCGTATCGAGCTTCTCGGTCGTTCAGGATCGACGCGGGCAGAAATAATTATAATTGTTTCGCACCGCGTCTGTTATTTGTCTTTAGGCCGTGTCGGTTTATCAGCTGGTGGACAACAATCGAGAAAGATAGAAGGGCGAAGGCTAAAGGGCAATACGTGTCACGGGCTTTATTTGAAACGCATCGACGATCTCGCAACGATATTTCTCTAGGCGTTTATCGCGTCGTGGTATGTTTTTAGAGAAGGAAACAGGGCCGATTCGTTGCGCGAACGTCAATCGCGGAAACAGCAGGTGGAAAATCGACAATAGGAATGTCGGTGACGGAAAGAGTACAAGAGTAAAACAAAAGTTACTAGAAAGAATCGGTCTTAGATCGGCTCATACCGGCTCGACGGCTTGCCCTCTCACAGAGTGGTAAGAACGTGAAACGTGAAAACGTGATCGTGAAATACGAGGGGGACAGCTCACGGGCCCCTGGTCCGCTTGGAATATTTACCGCACTCTTTACCTGCAGTCCCCATATTGAGTATGCTGATCTCCCCGAAGTAGGAACCCGCCTTAAGGGTAGCGAGGACCGTCTTCCCATTGTCGGCCACAACCTGCAGTCGGCCCCTGTTCACTATGTACATCTCCTTTCCTACCTCACCTGCGAACAAATTCCAGAAGCAAAATCATTTCTCAAAGCTCGTTCGTATCCTCGGGAATTCGAAATTTCAGAAACAATGCAAACGGTACCACATTTCGCTATGTACGTTTAAATACGACGGCTACCATTAGTTACCATTTACCAAATTTTTATGCTCCTCCAATTTCGTTTAGAAAATTTTTTTCGTTTCCGATTCTATACATATAACCTCGAAGAATATCGTATGTCATTAGATTGAAAAAAATTGGTCGCCTTCGTTTTTCGTAAAATTGACCCGTAAATGGGTCATCTGGATGCGCCATTGGCAATGCGAAACCAAGTGGAAAGGAAAGGCACTTCGCTTTCCAATCCTTTGCCCGGTCGTTGCGTGTTTTTGGCGTACTTCCAGTATGTGGTACGTTCCAAAATCACCGAGTCGCATCTTATTTGGCAAAAATGTCAGCCCGACACGGGTGAAGAAACGCCTGGTAGTACGTCTCACCTTTGCGACAAATGTAATCGCCAGGTGAGAAGAGAACGGGCCGCAGTCTTAGGACGAGCTCGCACAGGAAACCAGCCTCCGTGTTCTGAAAAATCTCCACCCTCCTCAGCGTATCCAAGTGCACGTTTATCGCGATCTCAGCTTTTAGTTTGTCTGCAACGTTATAATGGAACGAATAATTAGGAGCGAAAGCTCTTTGCTTTGATGTATAATTTCCGAGGATTTTGTCTATTTTCGTGTACTAAATCTACGTAAATCGTTCGGAGAACATGCAGCTACATCAACCCTTTCCCCTACTTTAACGAGTCTGACTCATGATGAAGATTTTGGCCCAAATATAAATATCACGAGCTAATCTCACTGACAACAAATCACGATCGTGACTGAGTTTTAGTTTCTATGCGTACGCCACAAGAGTTGGTCACGATTCTTATAATCTCTGTTACTGAAGGGGTTAAATGTTGACCGCATCCACCGTACTACTTCAAAGCTGGGATTAATAAAAAATCGCGAAAGACAGCTTTTTCTTCGGAAACTCTCACCGGGAAGACAGCTGACAGCCTTCTCCTCGTCGGAACATTTTTGCGTTAACCAGAGGTAGTCGAACCATTTGATCACTTTCACTTGAAGATGTTTCGGTACTCTTCTCATTCTCATGTAAGTTTTCACGCCGTCTAATTTTGCTGGAATAAAGAAACAGTTACCAAAAATTAGATGCACGTTGAAATTGTTAAGACCATGGAAAACCTCTAAAACAGAAAGTTTCCGGAGTTGTCCTACCATATTATCGTAATATTCTTTTAACCCTTTACATAGTACATACTTCTTTTTTGTGATACAGAAAAATTTTACAAAGATTACCCTGTGTAATGAATAGTCTCTATCAAATTTTGTATCTGACACAGCTGATTCCGTTTAGGTAGCCGCACCGATAAGAGGCATAACGTACAGATTAAGGGCTCAATGTTAAACCAGATTGGAACAATTTGGCGCCGTTTGCCCGAATATGTAGTGCCTAATCCTGGCAGACTCCAACGTACGCGAATCCACGCATACATAATGAGGTATTAAAGCATCAACATTAAGTGGTCATGCTAGAATTAACTTCTCAAACCGGTTCGACACCCTACGTTAACGTAATCTGAGTGGTTTTTGGCCTTCGAGCGGTACAATTTACGTATCTCGACATGCTGTTAATTTTTTTCACCGTTCAATCGACTGGTACGTAGATATTCTTTTAACCCTTTTACGTAGACGGTACACGTGTATAATAACACGATTACAGTCGTCGTTTAAATTAAAAAAATGAAAAAGAAACAACGGAGAAACAGATTAACTGACTTGTAAAATGATTTTAAATACCTAAAATACCTTGTATATTGTAGCGAGTAATAGAGAGCAATGAAAGAGTGATGAGAGAGTCTAGAGTGGTGGGGAGCAGGGATTGAGCATCAGAGTCCAGCCAGGCCCAGAGTCAGTCGCTATCAGACCTTTCCGTCGAGCGGGTAACATACGTGCTGTATTCTGTGTAGTTGTTAGTATCAAAGTGTTTAGGACATTTTTCATTGTCAATATTTGGAAGGTCGAATTCTCTGTTTTCATGTGGAATTTCTTCGAATGTTCTTCCACATATAGACATATTCCATTCACGTTTATAAAATTCATATTTTGTGTCTGTTCGAAGGATAATTTTCCGATGATCTGAGCGTTGTTCGATCGAGGCACTTTTTCTAGACACGATGCAAAATGGTCGGCGGGCTGCTCAAGCTGTACACGATGCAAACATAGACGACGAAAGCCGCTGCGAACGTGGCCAAAGTGAAGACAGCAGTCTCGAATCCTGCGACGACAAAAGCGAAAGGCTCTGCATTTGGATTATCGAAACGACGCGTTCGCTTCGGTTTTTATTCGATCGTACGCGACGCGTGTCATCGACGTAAATGAAAATTATCTCACTTTCTTTCGCCGTTTCGGACCACTGATCACATTCTGCGTCGGACATTGCTCCCACGGATTCGTTCTTCGTCGTTGAGCTTGCAATGGCTTGCATTTGGCTTGTCTCGCTCTCGACTTTTGTTTCGGTGGATTCTATCAATGATTAAGCCTTATACATAAATAGTACGTACGCTCCTTCTATTCTCATAAAATATTATCCGTGACGTATAAACGATACTTCATACTTGTTTTGTTATTTTCTTTCTGTACCTATTGGTTCATCCTTTTCGTCGTTTTCGTCGTTTTCGTCAGCCATGTCCTGAAACGGGTACAACGGTCGCTTCGAATAGCCCTTCGAACTCTACTCGAAAAAGTTTTAATATTTTAGAAGGTTTAGATAGATTAGATCGTCGTCGAGCCAGAAACGTGTCAATTGGCACGTTCTTACTTGGTAAAGTAATCGGTAAATTTACCCAGGGATCGTACCTTGTCTCTTCTTCTTTGAGCAGTCTTCTATTTCTCGTTGATTTCGTTTCACTCTGCTAACAAGCTTCGTGAATGTTTTTGAAATAAACGAATACATTTTAACGTATGTATTGATCTTTCTAGTTACCTTTAAGCGTTATCACATATGAATCTGAACCTCGTTAGGTATCGTGCGAACTTGCGTTATCATCGATCGTTGGTTTCCGAGATTCGTCGATCGTTTCTTCGACCGTAGCATCGATCTCGTTTTGGGAGAGTTCCTCTTGCTTATCTTCCGGCTGTACTTCGTTCGCCTCAGTCGATGGCTTAAGACCAATTTCACTGGAGACTTCGTTATCGGATAAATCCTCGGCTACTTTCTCGGAATCTTGCAAACTACTGCCCTCCGATGCACTTTCATTCTTCTCTAGGTTCGAATTAAACCGATTACATAATTTCTCTCGTCCCTTTCTACCAATAGTTCTCCACTTCAAATCAACCCTTCAGCAGATCATATTCAACCCTTTTCCATATGCATAGAATCCAAGTTAGTTCCCATGACCGCACGATCACGAATAAAATCACAAAAAGTGATAAAACGATATTGTATTACTTCACTTTTGAAATTAATTAATTTGCAAATAGACGATTACGATCCGCAAAGGGGTTAATTTGCCATGTAAAATTTGAAATTTGAAGTTTAATCGATCGGATAATCCCTTGCTACGTTTTATTAAATATCGGGGATACAAATTTCGTCCGAGTACGACTATAAATTCTCGAACCTTTCTGAATTCTTTGCACAGGCAATTCTCCCTTCGGAATTAATCAATCGCCGTCGTTCGTCGATTAATTTTAATTACACAGAAATTCGTTTATACGATAAAGCGAACCTTTGGCTTGTTCTTCTTCGATCATCTTCGCTTTCAAGAACGCGAGTCTCCTGCAATTGTACTCTTTGGTACATCCGATGATGGGCATTATCCGATAACCTATTAGATAAAAGCATTTAAGAATCGGTTTCGAGTCAAATTTAATATCGTCACACTTAACGGAAGCGTCCGATTTTCTCTGAAATTGCACTCACGAATTCGTACGTTCGCTTTGAAAATTTGTCGATTCTTCGAGATTTGGAAGGCCAAAACAAATTTTTTTGACGGTCGTATACCGCGAATTTTGAGGCCAAAAGGTGTGCGATCGTATCGACGACTAAAGATTTGTTTTAATTTGACGTTTCGTTATTATCGTCGCGTTGGGCAACGCGTCCATGTTTTGTTAAACGTCGAACGTAAAGCTACGTACACATTGTTCGACACCTCCCCAGGAATATACGGCGAATGAAATTAATATTCGGGCGACAAAGTGAACATTTTATAGCGTTCGAATATTAAGTTGATTCGCACGTGGCTACTGTACCGAAACTGCCTACGTGCATTCTTGGAAGGCAAGAAAAAACAAAAAAAAAAAAAAAAAAAAAACTATGCGGGCACTGCGTTCTGGCCGTTTGCCCAGTGTGTCCTAACGATTTTCTAGCGGACCAGCGACTGCTAGTGTAGGGACGTAGCAATCTGTGGTGTGCTGCGGTATTATAAAATAATAAAAAAAGCTGCAACTTCACTTTTTACTCGTGACCGGTGCAACATAGTCCGTGTACGTGTTGTTTGTTGGACCTACTTACAGTTACTTTCACTCGTGTTCGTACGGCGTGCTAATGTTTAATGGAAATTCCAAAAATAACGATGGTAATACGAATTTACTATCTTTCCAAAACGTTATTAATGCGCGATTGCAACTAATATTCGAGGTAACAGTTTGTTTCGCACACAATTTTCCCGGTAAAATTATACACGGTGGTTTCGAAGTGGAAATTTCACGAAAGTGCCGACACAATGTTTCCCTCTGTATGCAACGCGTTGATTCGTCAGGCTAATTATAACTTTAGATTTTGACTTCTATACCGTAAGCTTCGTATTACAACTATTAAACGAAGTTGCAATTGTGGCGCCATTTGCAAATGCAAATTGCGTCCTGGCTGCAAATTACTATTAACTTGTAACGAGTAGTATCGGCGTTTTAGCCGGTAACGACCGGCGCCGACTGTGCTCCGGGTCGTTTAGTTTCGAAATGCGAATATTCTTACGATTTAAATCGTTCTTAAATCGAATCCGAAAATTATCGTGCTCGGGAGAGGCGAATTCTGTCGCTGACGCACGCTCGGTTCGAACGGTAATCTATTTAGATGCAACGTATTTGAAAATAACGATAATAATCGTTATGACGGCAGAATGGAATTAACGAAAATAAGATCGCGAACGTCGAGCGTTAAAAACGGATTTGGACACGTTGGTATAAAATGAAATTTTATATCCCATCAAGCGTCATGTCGCTGCGATGTAATCCAATTCCCCGTGGGGAATTGTAAGAACGAGATGCCTTCCATTACGAACTCGCTACAACCGTTTCGCGTTTCTTTAGATTCTGCGGGATTACGTTTACAATATTAACCTGTTCGCAGACTGGAGGACTCGTAAATACATTCAGCGTTTACCACCGAGTCCGGAATAACATTCGTAACATTCGTCCTCAGAGGGATCGCTAACGCAAACGAAATATTCCAACATTAACGATGCCGTTTTACGAATACGAATTTTCCTCTCGCGCTAATAACGACTTTGCTCCGCGAACGAAGAAATTCTCTTTCTTACGCTACGATAAAGACAATTTCACGATCGCATAAACGCCATTTCTTTTGAATAAAAACGTAAACATAAAAACATTGTTAAGAATTGGAACCGTGAACGTCGATTGTCCAACCTGATCGATGGAAATTGCATCGTTTAGCTTCGCGCTGACCCGAGTACAAATCGAATAGTTTAATTTGATTTTCACTTACCCTGAAACTCTTTTCTGGCTGCGCTGACGGAAGTAACGATGTTGGCCACGTGTCCGAGTACGGTGGCGAACAACAGTAGACCGAACAGCAGCTGAGCTATTACGAACAAATACTCGCCTTTGCTTCTTGGTCTAGAAAATAACACGTACCGTTTAGAAATTTAATCTTCGTAACAGCCCCGAGCCATCTAAAGGGCTGATTTCAAAATTACATTTGCATCCGTCGACAGTCATATTTCATTTTAACGTTCCTTTCCGAGTTACAATGGTATTTCTTAATCGTCTTTCTACGTAGTCCCATAAAGTATTAGTAAAGAAATTTACCTGGGTAGATCACCGATGGTCGTGAGGGCCAGCGTGCACCAGTAGTAGCTCTGCAAATACTGTTTTACAACATCCGCGGTCTCGGAGTCACTGAACACCCAGTTTTTACTGCCGAAGCCGTTGTTCTTATAAATAATGTGATAGAGGCACCCGTTCCAGTGAAAGATCACCAGTAAATAATGTATCAAGGAGGTGGAGCGGAATAAATTCGGATAATTCGTGTGTCGTTCGGTTCTGTCCATGAACGCCCAGAACCTGCGTGACAATGGACGTAGAACTTGAAAAATTCTTATAGAAATATTCGCGAAGGAGATTTAGAAAATTCTGAAACGACGTTGCAACAAACGTGTAAACGCACAACTCACCGATATATTTTTACAAGTCTAAAACTTCGCAGTATACTATTGAATCCTATAGATAAGTATAAAAAGTCGAGGGGCAGCAGGCACAGGATGTCCATGTAAAATGTGGTGCTGTTCGTGTAATGGTTCCGCAGTTTCGTTGCGTCGGTTTGCAACACGCCGTCCTCCAGGTAACCCGTTCTTATATGAAATACTATGTCCAGCACGTATAAAAAATCGGAGAAGTAATCCAAGCAGAACCACACCCAGCGTGTTTCCCCTGTAAAACGTAAAAGCAGTTTCTTCTTAAAACTACGCGTGCACTTTTAGTTATTCTCGCTATTTCTTAACACCGTCCTATGCTCGCCAGCCAATTAAACGAATCTATACGTTACTTATCAGATTTAAGGGTATAGCTTATCGTCGTTTATCGTGAATATTAATATTCAACGAATTTTAATAAAGAGAAACCATCGAAACTTTTGCACACGCCCAATTCATTATTGTATATTCTTAGCTATACCGAATTGTAGTATATTTGGCTTTCGATTCTGCCAATTCCTGTAGCGGAAAGGCCACGATTGGTATTTCGTGTCCCCGTTGTGCTTGATTCGAGACAATATACCAAATTGTATAAAAAAATAAAAGAAAAGACTAACCGTTTATTTCTTGGAAGGCGAACCTGTAGATGATGACCCAAAAGTTGTACAGAAAGGCTAGGGACACCACCATCGACCAATAGTAACAGAGACGTCCCGCGGGATCGAAGATGAAGGACCAGTTAGGGGCGCCCGTTCGAAAACCCTTTGTACCCGGTTGGCCGGGGTAACCCCTGCTACCACGTTGTTGTTGTTGCTGCTGCACGGTGTACCTACTACAGGAAAGCAATGATACAGTAAATCGTAGAAGGAATTTTTCCTTGAACGGAATGTTGGAACGTAACGTTGACGATAGAAGGGCAGAGAAAGTTTGTACGTACGTACGTGATTGTTCAGAGCGTTACACTTACGTCTCGGTGCCGTTGCAGCTGCTATTACTCAGATGATTCACGGACGCCGGCGTATGAAGATGGGATTGGTCGCGCGACGGCGTCAGGGTGACCGCATAGGGCAGCTTGAATCTACCTCTGAGCTGGTCCTTTCTTTTTGGCTTGCGGCTCAGGTCGAGCTCGCTCGCCCCTCGATTCACATAAGCTCCCTGAAGCGAATCGCGGGACGAGCTGAAGTATCGCTGCGGCACAGAGTACACCTGCACCGAACAGTTTCAATTTACGAGTTTTTGACAGTTCGTCGTGCACCCTCGTCGCGTCTATCCGAACGCAATCGGAATTTATGGCGAGTCCGTCGGATACGTTTCTGATTCGTTTTGCCGGCAGGATTAGCTTTTCCTCGATTCGCGACAGTTTGGCGCTAGGTTTTCCTGTTTGTCGTCGTAAATGCAATCAAAAGAGTGAGGATGGACGTGATCGAAAAGAGCGGGCTGCCCGGCGAACGCGCCTCTGATAATAACGCCGGTCAACAAATTTTAATACTCTTCTTTTTTTTGCGTAGGATATAACGAAACAAATAACTTCTCTTTAAAATTAATGGAATTGTTTGAATTTTAAAAACGTAAACGTTGACAAGAATGGGAGGATTCGGTAAAAATGATGGATAGTATTAAAATGTAGCTTTATTTAGATTTGAAAATGTAACGATTGGCAACGCATAGAACTCGGTTTCGTTACTTTCGTCTAAAAACTAATTTCTGCAAGAACGTTAAGTATTTGCTCGTTGCTCGCGAATGGATATTTCTTTACCCAAACTCTGACCGACGCGTAACCAACAAAGTAAGCACCGAGAACGACCAAAGCGGTCATAAAACTGACCTGCTGTTGCTGATGATAATAATGATGCGTGGGCGTGTGACGATTCATGTATTTACCGCTGACTAATTCCAAGAGACTTTGTCTGGATTGCAAAGCACTCCTGGACACGTTGTCCGCGCTTTTCGTGTCCTCCTCCCTTTCCCTTCTAACGCATGATTTCCCGTCCCCGGTCCTTCCATGCTTGTCCTCGCGGTGCTTCTCGCCCCCGCAACTCAGAGCGGAAGTGGAACCACCGCTGAAGCGATCTCTTGCACCACCGCCGCCGCTGCTCGACGTGATAACACCTGTAACGTCCAACGGATCTATTTTTTAGATTTTCAACGAGCACCAAAGGGCTGGCAACTGGCAACGCGAACCAATCGATCATCCGTTACACTCTCCGACGCGAATTTTGTTCCGCAATATCCGCTAGGTGCTCCTGGTAGAAACCCTTGTACCAAACACGAATCCGGAAGCGGGATCGCTCTATTTTTCATTCTCGAGAAACACGAATTCTCTGTACCCAATAACAGGTATTCGATGCTAAATATTCTCTAGCACGTTCTCAACTAATTTCTACGCTCAGAAGATAGAACATTGGTAGGAACAACCTTCGAAACAGCACACTGAAAGTTATGATTACTTTTCTGAAAATGTAAAACGATCGACGGTTAAAGTACATGTTACAGAAGCATCTATGAGAGTTTTAGTGCCGCGCTTCCCCCGATGCGTCTCCTTTTTACGCCTTTCAGAAGTAAAACTAGATTTCAGCATATTGCTCGTAACGTTTAATTTACGGGTTTCATTTATTATCGCAAATGAGCCGTTCTACCATTTCCTACGGGCGACGTCCGAAGCCAAGTTTCTTTTACGACTGCCATCGTAATTTCGGGTTCAAACACCTCTGTCCCAAGAAAAATATTAACCCCCTTTCGCGGATGTTATCCGGATTCCCGATAAAAATTTTATCGAAGAATCTACGATCCAGTCCGTGTTTATCGTCGTATCTTCGACGAACAAGAAATCAGTTCTAACAATAGATACATACTCTGCTTGTTACGCGCGGAATTGAAAATTACATCGCGATAAAGTGAAAAGTATTAATTCGTTAAAACACGGCGCACGTCGATCTTGTAACATACGTAACGTTGTACATGAATCGCGAAATCATTGTCTGCTAAATAAATTTAATTAATATCGAGGCTATCGATCGACGAGTCTGAAACGTTCTCGTCGTTATTTAAAATTAATGACTGCTTTGTCCCCGTAGAAAAGATTGAAATTAAAGTAACGAAAGTAACCTTATAAATTCCAGGTCTCTTTCTTTTTCTATCGTTATAGATATTATCTCGTTTCCGTTGCAAAAGCACTGCAGAAACCTCCGCGTCGCGTCGTACGAAACGAAAAGAGTACGGCCGTCTAAGTGACACGGAGTGGTTTCATTGTCTTGGAAACGACCTAATTGTTCATCAGACTTTTTCAAAAGAATGAAAGCCAACAAGAGAAGGGACTACTCCAGATACCAGTTCATTGTTCGATATTCTCGTCGAAAATGTGATGCGAGCGAATGGGTCTGTATCTATACAGACAAGGTGGCAAAGTATGCGAGATGGGTGTTAATGTCCCTGAGATCGGAAGGAAAACTCTTCGACTAAATCTTTGTCCCTCGTATTCCTTTTTTTTTTCTTTTTGTAAATCGAATTCATACTTTTTTCCTGCCATCGTATTTCCCAAACGGCGTATCCTACATGAACAGCGTTCATCCAAATTGCGTTCGAAGCGTCGTTTTATACACAGAGAACTTACGTTCTCGATTCCCTCGTGCCATCTATGTAAATCAATTTTATATTTATTCACTTTCGCGACAGGGTGTCGCTGGTACCGGACTAGTAAGGAATTCTGTTAATAAATAGAGCGTAAGGCGATCGGTTTTCTTGTCTAGCAACACGACGCGGGAGCTTTAAATTAATTTTCCGTCTAAACCCGTCCAAGTCGATATTGATTTATCGACGTGTAGCTAATTGGCGTCGTTTCTCTTCATTTTACCGAAAATTTTTTTCGTTGCCCCGTCAATTACGCTCTCGCCGAAGGTGAGGAATGCTCGCGAAACTTCAGTTATTCGAATCGATGTCCAGGTTCGTTTGCTGTCCCGGTATTCGACGTGTATCGTCCATACGATACGTTAACCTAGTAAACGCGGAAACAACGCGCAAGAGAAAAGAGGAAAAAGCGAGGCAAACGACCGGTTTATAGTTTTTCGACTGAAATCAAATGTTCGCGAGTGCGTCGTTGGCCCGTCGAAACATCGACATTTTTTTCGACGAATTTTCCACTAAAATTTCAACGTCGTCGCTTATTAAATCGACAGCTCCAATTTCGTTGATAGTTTCTTCTTGATAGCGTTTAAATAATTTATCAATTTCTTCGTACGCCAATTAATTTGAAATCTATATCGCCGTTGGCATTTTTTTGCTCCCACGTAAAAAAATCAGTGGTGGATTAATGAAGATATATGTAGACGGTGTCGGATAATCATTAGTTAGACATGGATCTAACCGAACGCTGAGTAATAATACTGACATAATACGTCTAGCGATTACTTTCAGAACTTGTTTTCCAATGTCGAAAATGTAAAATACGATACTGGTTAATGAAGGGCACTCGTTAGGTACAATAACGTCGCAGACGAGGTATATGAGTAGACCTTATTATATTCTACACCAAAGTACGCGTTGTTTGCATTCTGAAACATTGAAATTCTCGAATGTGAAATTTTCGATTAGGAATTTTTTTCTCGAAAGTGCGTAGGAATTCGGGAGTATGTCTACTCCATAAAAAATGATTGCAATTGACCCCCGACAACCAAAAATAATTTTTTTAGAACGATTTCAACGTTTTGAAAAATTTGTCCACCTTCGTGAATTTTTTTCTCGAAAACGCGTTTGATTTCGATGGTATGTCTCTTCACCAAACATGATTGTAATCGACCCCCGAAACCGAAAATAATTTTTTCAGAACAACTTGAAATTTTTTTTTTCGCCGAAAAGTAAGGCCTACCTCTTGTCGATTTTTTTTTTAAAATTGGTTTTTGATTTTTAATGAATTTGTGTGAAGCTGTACAGAGATGCCCATCGATACCAATTCAATGAATAGTTTCTCAATTGACCGCCATCCATGAGGAGGGGGCGTTAAAATCACCTCCTGAATTTTGAGGTCGGTATGGTAGTCAGAGAGGGCCATGAAAGTCCATAGGGTGCAGGGTCTACTCGTATATTTTGTCTGTGGTAGGACACCCGGTATAGTAACGTATGTACATTGCTGGTAAGGTAGGCTACTCTTCGGATAAAGTCGATCGTTTTGCTGGAAATGTGGAACGTATTGTTGTTAAATCCTGTGAACAACTTGGATCACAACGCGCGAAGAAGTATCTAACAAATTTTCAAATCGAATTTTGTACGAATCGCTCCCTCTTTAATTGGACCACTATTTTCGGTACACCTTGTACAAGCTTTTTCTATATTCATAAAAGTATGTTTATTACAGTCACGATCTGTTACACAGAACTTCTTATTCGCAGTACGAGTAAACTTAATTGCTCGCTAAGCTGATCGGTTATTTGATTAATCGACGAAGCCTGATTGCTTGTGTAACTCCAGGAAGGGGCCCCGAGTATTCCTACGATTAAACTGACTAATTAACTAGTTAACTATTGGAAGCCTGATTGTTTTCAAAGTTTCTAAACGATCGATGAATAACGATCGACGGCTAAATGCTCGTTAACTTTCAATCTGTCTTTGCGCCTATAACACGACCATTTTTTCCGAATCCATTGACCGGTCGGGCTTACGACGTAACGTTGATTAAACGCTGAATTAATTGCGATCAGAGGCGAACAACGACGCCTTTCCATGATCCCCGAACGTCGGTGAAAAAAGAGAGAACGTTAGCAGTCACGAAGAGAGAGAGAGAGAGAGAGAGAGAGAGTCCTTTATTTCTCATGTGCAAGCAAAAGTTCCAAACTCTTGAGTATTGCGTGTTTCGCGCAGATTGTGCAGATAGAGGCAATAGGCGAAAGAGAATTATTCCTGCGGGACGTATTGCGGAAAACGAACCCACGAGTGTAATTTCCGGGGGTTATCTACGCCTCCAGGCGTGGTCAGTGCAAACGGTATTAGAATTTTATGATACTGCCGGTAATCAAGTCGTAACGGTCCAATTTATGAGACTTTTCTTTTTGCTTCTTTCTCCAAATATACTACACGTTGGATCAGATATCACGTACGATCGTGATACGCGTAATTTTACAAATAAAACTATAAAAATAATTTCATTGCAACAAAGCACGATGTATTATCACTGATATTCGCTTGAGAGTAAGTTGAAATTTATTCGAGAAATCAGCCAAGGAAGACACAAGTATTTAAATGTAAGAAACGAATCTTGGAGATAGCAATGAACGTTATGTGCACTGGTGTTCAAGCGTTGGGCCTTTGGGTGTTTTCAACCCCTGACATCTTAATTAGCTAGCAGAGTTGTACACGTTTGATAGAAACATAGGAATTTTCTAACAATGGGGCAATTTCTGTGGTTTTAAGCCCTTGCTTAATTAGTCAACCGAAGGATGAATATTCGCTGCAGATGTTCGTTGCTGGTAGCGCGTTCGAAGCATCCGTATCACAAACCCAGTCTTTGAAATGCTCTAACAACAGACGTTATGTACGAGTTCCTCCGTTTCGAAGGAAATTTCAGCTCCTCGCTGTAAACAGATACGGAGTCTGTGCGATTGTTCGCATTGTCAGCGTTGCGCGCCTTACCTGAGCAGCGCTACCTTTTTAATCAAACTAATTTCTCGCGGTACGCTGAATGTATGGGCGAGAAACGGAATAGTAGGTAATGTATCGTTTACAGTTTAAATTAAAAATGTTCCAAAGTAAAAGAAAAAAATCGAAACAGCACGGTTACTGGTAGGCGGCGATCGAGTAGAATTTCTCAAATTTTTACCTCGAGTCTTCTCAAAAGCGTTTACGTTATGCTAGCGACCCTGTGGCGATCAACCTGGCCCCGTATCGAGTTTAATCCAAATAGAGAACAATCCGTTTAACTCGTCGAAAGCTCAAGCCGAACGAAACTCACGAAACGAAGGCTATTAACTGAAGCTTTTGCGGCGAATAAACACGGCTCGTAACCAAAGGACAAGACCTGTCATCGGAATACCATCGTGCTCGCCGGCCCAAGGTAAATTTCACCGAAAACCCTTGCAAACGTTCCTGTGTACCGGGCCTTGTACTTGTAGAGGACGTAATTTACATATCCACTTAGCGAGTTTCAAGCTCTAACCGTCCGGTTCGCTACCGACTGGACGAGCTTTTACGTTTGCGAACGAAAGTAAGGCAGTCGGGTAAATGATCTCGATGTGGACGGTCGCGGAAGGTCTCTGTCGATGGAATATGGCTATGGCGCGTTAACCAAAGGTAAATCGTCGTTTCACTGTTTCGAACAAACTTCGAAAAAATTGCAAACCACAGTTCCATCGTTTTATCGATCGTAACTATGTTTTATTTATAAATGTTTATAACCCTGTTTATTTACACCTACGTGGAACAGAACGGAGATGGTCTTCTCTCTCGCGGTCTTGTTAGCTTTTATGGTAATAAGATCGAAGAAAATGCATTGGTTGGACCGTTTCGAAAATATCTAATCCGATCTGCCACCCGTTCCATTTACGGGGAACACGGTCCAACGAACGAGGATCTTGCGCAATCATAAAGGTTGCATTTATCTAGGTTGTATTGTACTCGCGTCGGTCCAAGTATACCACTTTATTAAAAGTTACGAGACCTACTAACAATCCCTAGTGGCTACCTACGACGCATCGCGACGCTCCGGTAAGGTCGTTCGCGACAATCAACTACCTCAAAGTGGCAACTTGCGGCACTCCACCGGGGTTTAACCACGCACTCGAATTTTCTGCGACCACCCGATATCCGAGTTCTCTTCCCCTAACAAAAATCCAGTGTCAGACGTTCGAGTATCGGGGGCCTTTTCAAAAGTTTCACAGCCCGGCGATCAACGAGGAGATTCGGTCGATCGTAGCTTCCTTTTTCATTCGTGGAAAAACAGTAATCGTTGGAAACGCAACGGAAAACGAACAAGTTAACAACACGCGTTGGATATCGTATAATTAAGCCTGGTACTGCTAATGACCTTGTCGTCGAGTCGCCAATACTGTCATTAATGGCAACGTTACGTTTCACGCGAGAAATCGTCGATGTTAATGCGATCTCGTGACAACCGCGTATCGATCCCTTCCGGTTCGAGCCGGATTAAGGTCCATTTAGGATCCGTTCTCACCTTTTCTTCCTTTGTTTCACGCACCGACACGACCAACGTGTGCACGATATGCGAAAGATCGAGAGCGAATCGATAGTATGCATCGATTCTTACATCAAAATCCTATCCAGACTTGTTTCTTTTAATATTTCGATTTGAGAATTATAATAGCGAACTAAATTGTTTGCAAATCGTATACAGTAGGCGTCGTATTTACTCATTTATAGCGTAACTACTTCAATAATCATTACGATTTAAGTAACAACTTTTAACCGGGGGGTTAAACGTATGTGGACCAATATTATTTATTTCTTTATTTATTAATATATGGAAAAGAGTAAACTTTTTCACACCACCGTGTGCCACTAGGTTTGTAATTGATTACCACTGTTTTGCCCCTTGAGAACCGTCACCGTAAAACAAGCCGCATGCGCATCAATACTTACTATCTCATTGCGCATGTCATTTCTCTTTCGTTGTCCATGATAACTCGTTACGCTCGATAGTTCGTTTCAATTTTTCTCTACAGTTTATAATCGGTAATTTTACGAATCAACGGCAATTATTTTGATGAAATATTTCGTTTCGAATTGCTTCCGTCTTCCCTTATTTGAACGCGTTCCTTCGATATTTATTTAGTCCTTCGCCTGGTTTTCTTTGTATCCCTTCAACGACCACGCGCTTACTGTGTCAAGTATAACAAAAGTTTGTACCGTCGATTTTTTATTATTCCTTTTACGTAAAAAGATTACAGACGTCCACACGCGTATGCGTATTTCGTACAATTATCCGGCCAGGTGATAATTTGTTCATCGTTGCGCGAGATTCAAGTCCAGCTTTCGATTTTCCACGACATAAATAGCCACTTTATCGTCGTCCCTCTCTCTTACACACTCTCTGACCGATCTAAAATAGCTTTCTCGCTGTGTTGCTATTGATATCGCGTTAGGCGTTATGTGGAGTGAAGGGGATCAATACTTGGGTACTCTTGGCGCCTTTGGAAGCTGAACGCGACCGTGAAGATTCTTTTGTAATAACCGCAAAACCTTTGACGAAGGACTCTGTGTTATCATCACGCTCTACTTTCTCCGCTTTCGTCATGGAAAGCGGATCGACTTCCTACAGGACCAACGGCACGAGCATTCGAGGCCGTGATCAAAGAAAGAATCGATACGATCGGCTAGCAGAAATTCCAACAATGAGATTTCATAGTCTTCGCCTCCAATCTTACGTACCACGTCTTTACAGAATATTAGGTTCGAATAAATTGCTTTCCGTAAGGGGGGTGTTCTAGCCTCGAACGTGTTTTTTTTCAAAAATATTTCATCGAACGACACTATGCAACAACGATTAGGAAAATTATTAGGAATCACCTCGACAACTTTTTGCCATATGTTTCGCAAATATGCTCGCTGAAAGAAGCATCGATACGACCATAATACGCTCTCGTATTAACCCTTTGCACTCCGAATTATATTTCAATCTTGTTACCAGCAGCTTTTAAGTGTTTTATTTGAAATTTACCTGTTAAAAATATCTGTTTTATTTAAACTGTTGTTGCATTTTGTAACAACAGTGTCGGGTGGGACTTGACGAGGGAGCTCCTGAGATAAAAATTGACGTCGAATCACACTCGACGTAGGAGTGCAAAGGGTTACGATTTATCAGGACCCTTACGGTCCCTTGATCCAGGGCCATAGGTGAGATTCGAAACGTCTCGGAGATAAGATGTGTCCAGGAAAGGGTCGCTCACCTGAATGGGCTCCGTGAGTGGACGTAGCAGGCGCGGGTGGCACGAGGCCGGCGATACTGTAGAGCGTTTGACCGCTGCCATACTTGAGGCCACCGCAGTGACAGGGTGTCGTGGGCGTAGGAAGACCCTCGCTGCCCCTGGTGGTAGCACCGACCACCGAGATCTCGTCGAGCTCGTGCCCGCTGTCATAATGCCATAATCTGGTCGCGCTGGTGCTAGCACCGCCGCCGCCGCCGCCCCCGCCCCCGCCGCTTCCTTCGCCCCCTGTGTCTCCACGAGCACCGCTGTTGCCTCTACTACCCCCGCTGCGGCCCCTAAGCGACTGCACCAGTCGCTTAGCGCTCGAAGACATTCCACGGAGGTGATCCAGCCTTCCGGTCTTCTTTTCTACTCTCTGTATTTCCCCAAGTCGCTCGTAAACGCGAGCGAGGATATCCACCTGCAATATTTAAACCAACGATTTGGTCCCCCTGCGGTCCACACCCGCTCTGATCGGCTTCGTACGTTTCAGAATCGTTACAGATCGTAGAAGCCTGGACGATGACTGTCAAATGCTCGCTTTACTCGTTTGCATCGTCGACTACGTTAATAAGAAATTGGGACTCACCGCGCGGTAATATCCGTCGTAGCAGCGATTCGGCGACTAGACGAAGCGGCGGCAAGTCTGCGCGGAAATGGAAAATCGCGTAATCGGTTATCGGTATCCCGAGCACGAAATTGCGGCCATGTTATTCGCTCGTCTCGATAACGATCGACGATGATCGAAACAGACTTCGACGGTCACCCGTTAATCGACGATCGATATCGCGCGATCAACGAGACGGATTTTCATCGCGTTAACGGACGAGCCTCGAAGCCGAGACACGGACACGGTTTTCGCCGCGGGCCACGCGGGAAAGACGTACGAGCGACATTTCCCAGGCACGTCGAAGAACGCGGAATCAACCAAAATTCACGGCACGAACGCGTTCTTTTCCGTTCTTCTTTCTTTTGTCGGACATTGACTAATCCCTTCGCGTTGTCAGGAACACTTGGTCGTGGCAGACTTTAAGAGACAACCGACGGTGCAACAAGTGTCTCCGACTACGACACTCGTCTCGTGTATGTTCACTTATTCGTCCTTCGGTTGGTCGGTGTTACGCACTAGTTGCTCCTCTTTGTTGTTCGACCCCCGCGAATACAAGTCACGACAGTCAACTGCCCCTCCGAACGGCGTACCGTCTCCTGGTATCTGAAAAAAAACGTGCATATTCGGGTAGGCGTTCTGTTATAATTGCTCGAGTCGATCCGTGTTTAATCAACGTAGCGATCGATCTAATCGAGGCCCAATTGATCCGAAATTTTTCGTTGCACGGAATATTAATACCGTTTCTTTTACGTAGGGAAATAAAGTTTTATATTTTTTAATAAAAACTGAATTACCCTAGGTGTGTCTTGTTAAAGCTATCCATACAAAACACAATTTGTCTGGCGCGACTGACCATTTATCGGCTTTTCTACTTAGACTAATATCCAAGCAGTACTCCATTGCATGCGTACCCAATCAATTTTCAAATTGAATCGATCTCGAGGATACAGCCTCGAACGAAAAACTGTTATTCTCTCTATTCTACTTATTTTTGGTAGAATCCACCCTCTATCCAGTATTATCCATCCGGTATTTCTCTTCCGATTCAAGCGCTACGAGGTTCGCGATTCGTTTACGAGAACGATATGTATCTTGTTTATCATTGGATACGGGTAAGTTTATGCTGTCGAGAAGTAGGAAGTCATATTAAACGGGAACCATCCTTTGGGAACTGGATATTTAGTACCGACGGGCAGGTAACGAGACGGGTATTAGAAGAACTTGCTACCAAAATTGCTAATATCAGTTATCCGTGACCTCGAGTGGATGACGATTGTTCGGACCTCGGGAACATTTGAACCAACGTTAAGCGAATTGACCCGGACACGCGAGTCGTGTTGTTTGATATTAACGAAGGAAGGATTTCTGTTACGGCCACTTAGAGGAGTTACCCGCGAGACGATAAATTCTAAAATTACCTCAAAGTGCCTTTATCGCTTAAACGTACGGACATTTTAGCGCCGATTAAACACAACAATCGACCTTTTGAACCTAAACGCGTTCCACAGAAATTTCGATTCAACGGAACAGAACGTATTTCGGTATTATTTAATGCTTACACTAAACACGCTAAAAAAAAGTATACTAACAGGGAGAGTCATCGAATTAATTGTAACTTTTTGTTTTTTTTAGTATAACGTAACATGATTTTTAACAAAATTAAGGTCTTCTGCCGCGATAGGGTTTAGAGATCGTTTTCATTTCGATCGTATCGTATAGCAGGAACGCGATAAATCGCAAACAATGCATCGAGACAATGGTGTGTAGTGTAATATTGTTCGAAGTAGTTGGGGTACGTTCTACGGTCTATTCTAGGATATATTGGAACCCAATGGGACTATATGCTCCAGCAATAGTCGCTATGGCAACTATAGATGTCGACATGCACGAACAGGTGCTTTCGCCGACGCGACGCCTCGAGAGACGTCGTCGTCGCGTCGTCGCTTCGTCACGTAATACCTGCTTCGGAATACCGGATATTATTGGCCGAATTATTCACCGGACCCCTCGCCGGAAACGATCCTATTGCATCGACGCGTCGTACCAGCGTACGCGACACCCTTGCAATCTGCCAGATCACGAATGTCGCGATTACAGTTTACGGAAACGCTTCTGCTTCGTCGGATCATCGGATCGTCCTACAAAGTTCGATAACGGATAAAAGTTCGAGACGGCTACGTCCTCGAATAGATGCACTATATTACAGATATTAAATAGCCAACGATTCCTTGGATGGTCCAGTGATTCTATTATTTAGTCATTAAACCTATATATGTAGAATTTAATGCACGATAATGTGGCGATAATGTTTTCGATGCTCTATTTAAGACGAGGTACATTTGAAAATGCTTAGTTGCATTGATTTTTAGGTTCTTCGAACTTTTTCGTAACAGTTTGGACCAGATACTTTTCTGTAACGGTTTTAAATAATTATTTTTGGAAAATAATTTCCGAGACCTGCTATTGACTCTGTTCCTGGCTTCTACAGTATACAGAGTTGCGGGTTTTCCTCGCTGACCACAACGGAATTAACGGTCCGAGCCGTGTGCAGCAGGTAACCCCGGCCGGGTTCCACCGACGACCACCGTCTACTCCACTTTCCAAAGTCCCCACCCCACACGGGTCCGCGACCGATCGTCCAAATCCACGCAACCGACCAGAACCGAGCGTTACCGACCGAGGAATTTAAATAAACTTTAATTCGTTTATCAAAGGATTCTGAATTCTTTTACACGATATGGAGAACAATATTAACGAAGAGACCAAGTATGTTCTTTGTCGAACGACCTTTGGTTACCAATGTAGTTTGTCGAAGTTGATCGATCGTTAACAAAAGTTATTCGTTCCCATTCCTAAGTACGTATTTTAAGAAGCTGTACGCTGCTTGCATTATGATAATTACCTGTGACGATATGTGTCTCGGTAAAGTAGACGCGGACTCGTCTATGTTAACTTTTTCGTCACTTACCTGAAACAAAAAGAAGAAACCGAGTTAACGAGAAAATTGTATTTTCTGTTAGTCGGGTCACGCGTGGGGAAATATCTAAGGGGGCATTCTAGTCTAGAATTTTATCTTTTACAATTTTCAATATTTTTACCTAAAGAATCCTATATAAAACTGACGAAGATTTTTACCGATCTGTAGCTGGAATATTTCGACAAGCCTGACACGTATACACGGATGCTGCGCGTTGCATTTACTTGAGACTCTGGCCAGCCGTAGCATAATCCAACGTGTAGTTCGCTGAAAGCAGTTAGCGATCGTCCACTACAAGAGAAACTTGCTAGAGTATTCCAAACGTGAACATCAATTTGAACTATACCATTATCCGTAGAACAATGCCAAGTTACCGCGACTCTGATGCCGCTGTTCACGCGGTGACGACAATTTTATAGTCGAACAAGTCGCGTGAAATACTGTCCCTGCGGAAAGCTGTAACCAACCTTCCTCTATTTTCATTCGGAATATGGGAGTATCGAACTCGTGCCAGGAAATGGCAAACTATGCCGGGCATTGAAATTTTTGGTAAATGAAAAATTTGTAGGAAATTACACCGATTGTATTATGCGCCGAGTGTCCGAGTCGATACGGAGTGTACGTGGCGTTGGACGTGTCCATGTCCGGGTGAACGCGGTTCGCGCCGTAGTGTACGTGTTGAAAATTGTCCATTTTAAAAGCCTGCTTTAAAAGCTTACGCAACAAGTAGGTACTTTTAAACCCAGGAGTGTGTGCAGCCTGCTCAATCGATTCGTGCCGCTCGAAGGGAGGTAACTGCGCACCACACAATCAAACGGCCGCGGCTACACGAATGTGGGGAACAGAAAGCCACGCGTATCTGTCGTCCGGCACGAATCAGCTGCGCCTCGTCACCGTACGAACATTCCAACAATACCTATTTCCGCTACTTCTCCTTCCATTTACCGATTATCCACGGACCTACCCCCAAAAATGGTCAGCTTTGTTAGCTTTTCTACTAAAAACCAAGTACAAAATTAATCGGATTTACCGGTCTCCTGTTCCGAAGGAGAGAGATATTCCCTCGTAAGATTCGGTTTCCTGTTTATACAAAGATATTGATCTCCAACGCCGCAGTCTTTCTGTACGATTGCAGTTTAGTTCTGTTGTAAAACTCATATAGAAAGGATGTCTCTTCTAACCGCAATAGAAATAAAGTGTAGCGTTTATAGAAAGGAAATCGGAGTACTTTATTTCATAACCAATTTCTAATAAGCTTCCATCGGAGACCAAAAATCAAGTTACCCTACAAATTTCTGCGAAACGAATCGTTAACAAAAGGCTTGTCACATGTTTTTGGAAAGATTAACGTCGAACAGACTCGTGTTGGTAGATAATTTGTAGATTCGTCGAACACGCGCGCGATCCAATACGATTTCTCTGACGCGTCTGACCATAGATCGTTCTTTCTACTTACGCGGACGAGCGAGTCGATTTTCTCGTAAACGAGATCTCAAACGAGGAAATGTTATTCTTTCTTATGGGCTCATTTTTCCATCTGGAATCACTCTCTGCCCGGGGGTGAACAACCCCCCATCCCTGGAAGGCATGGTATATCTCACGAAGGGTGAAAGTTACCAAGAAACTATTCTTGGAAAAGTTGTTTGGTACAGAGGGAAATATTAGGTGGTATAAGTAATTTTTTTATTCATGATATAGAAGCGTTTATTACCGCGGTAGCATGACATAAATCGCAAGCAGTTAAAATGGAAGTCCATAGTCGAATACGTGACTCTGTTATCCATTCGTATCGAATAAATTTTTCTGTTTCTGATCAAATATTCCTTCTGCGGAGGAAATGTCAAAATTGGCGTCCCGCGCGTTAAATCCTCAAAGGTTTTCTTGGAAAATCCTCACCATCCTGTGTTGAAAAGTGAGCTGGTCCACATACGAGAAACATGTGTTCCTAACGTCTTAACTATGTGGGCCAAAGTGAACTTTCGATACCTTTAAATCTATCTGTCCTAATACCAATACGAATTGTTAGAACTCCAGTGTGGTTCGAAGATTCAACGACGGTATAATATTCATAAATATAAAAGTACCGTGGAATAATTAGACGTTTGTCGTCGGAGTACTGGTGGTTTTGTACGGTGGATAACAAAAAAAATCACGTTGACGATGCAATTGTCCAAGTACGGATCTGGAAAGGGAAATTCCAGCAAAACAGAGGATAAATTTCCAAGATAAAAACCGTCTCGAGGGTCGGGATGAGAAAGTCGGCGGTGGAAAAACGAGGTCGGAGCGACTCGAAGAAGACGAAAAATGTTGAGAATTATCGAGTAAATTTACATAAAGCCCGAGAATAACAAAGAGGATACGTACGATTTGAACTTTACTCGGTCCCGTTCCCTCTGTCGCGAGGAATCCTCGCGTGGCTCCTTTATCTTTTTTGCATTCCTGCGCGAAGGATACTCGCTCGCACAGAGGCGAAAGATGAAACCGACGTCCTTTTGAGCCCGACTCCGCGGATGTTTACCTTGCCGCGCGTTTCACCGGTCGGGTACCACGCGCAGGAAGCGAGCGAATCTCCAAAACGGTAACTCTATGGGAAACTCGCATAAGTTGGAAACCACGTTAGACCCTCGAGCCGTGAATGTCCTCCTACGAATTTACGAACAAACACATCGTAACGTCGCGATGGTCTGTTTTAGCATAACGTGCATTTGCTTCGAATCGAATTTTACGTTTCGTAACGTAACTTTTTAGGGAATAGAGAAACAAAAGCGTACCCGGGAAAACGTCGACGAAAACGTACGGTTTGGTCGCGCAAGTTGAACTAATAAAGGATATTAATGCGGGGCGGGGAAAACGACAAAAAGGAGAAACGGCACGATAATTTCATCCGCTCCCGTCGTACATATGTTAATTACTGGAAAACAAGAATGGTACGAACCGGTCATATTATTCCATTAACGAATCGGTCGACTCTTCAGCGCGTCCGATGAAATAACGACTTTAAAAACAGGAATATTTTCCTCTGTTTACTGTCAGTCAAAAACTCTCATTCGCCTCGATTCCCAACGTTGAGTTTTTCTCCATAAAAATTACTCCTCGAACGTAAACACGAAAACATCATCGTACAGGCAACTACTCGCCCGTTATCGATCGGTAGATTGAAAAAAGAAAAAACGAAAACTTCTTCGCTACGAAACAGGAGACAAGATCTTTCCTCTTCGAAGCGAACGATGTTGCTCGATGTTCGATTCGAGAAACGCAATCTGCGGAACTTATGTTAACTTTAATACCTCTGTTATCCCGCATTTTTCGAACATCGTAAATGGAAAATTTCATCCCCGTTGGGAGGATCCTCAACTTTATAATTGCGTTCGAACTAACGACTGGAAATTTCATGTTATAATTCCTTTCTGGTCTAATAGCACGAAGAATATTGTTATCTCTAACGAGGAAACTTTGCTGATCAAATAATTTCTAACTTCTTTTGAACGGTACTCGACTCGAGGTGGAACGTTTCTTCCCGAATACGGATTAATCGTTAAATTTCACGTAATAACAAGTACCGCACATTTTCATTTTAAAAAATGAAACTTAAGACGAGACACGAAATTTTTTCTCCACGCAACGAATCGTTTACAAAGAACATTGAACAGTTGCGTGACTCGGCACGTATACATATGTACATATATTGCAACGATGACATTCGTAAGAAAAGAAAGAGTCATCCGCAAATATTATAGGCGGTAAGTGTAACCGCGAGTGTACATAAGGGGTGGCTTCGTTTGCTTATCCTTTCAGACCGTACAGTAGGCTTCTATCGTTTCAGGCGACCTCGCATATGTATGTATATCGTCGAAAAGGGTGGAAGCACGGCCAGGTTCGGCCAAACAAGAGGGTAGAAAAAGAATTGTGTACGTTTACAATTAATTCCCAATCAATCGGCCTTCGTACTCGATTAATTCTCTACCGCAGAAAAAAAATTGTTTTTCCATTAACGAAGAAGCAGATTAATGTGGTACTGGGTGCTGTTTTATGCAAATATTTACCGATGTTCTAGCATGTAAGGAAACACGCTGGCCAGAGTCGGACAGTAATTGATTACTTTCGTTTATATTACTTTTGTAATTGATTAATATCGTAATTACGAGAAAAGTTTTTCGTCGATCGATCAATCATCATCAGCGATTCATAATCGTACCGCGAAAGGTTACCGTGACTTTTAAGGCAGCGTTCCCCAACCTTTCTCCACGATCCATTTTGAATAAAACAATGAATAAAAGAAATGTTTCTTTACCGCTGAAATTTGACGTTTCGATGGTACAAAAGGATGAATCGAGACCCGTGAAATGGCTTGCTCGGCTGTAAAATTAACGGCGCCGTACTTCCCCGAAGCCGATAAGTTAAATCAGGACAAAAAGAAGAAAAAGAAGAACGAGGCGTTTCAATTAACTCCGTCGTTAAGTTTGGCAGGACATTTAAATCACTGTACGGGCAGAATTAAATAGTCAAATGAGCTTGAGTACTGTTTTATAAAATCCAGTAAAGACTTTCTTAAGAAGTTCGTTAAAATGGGGACGGAATAATGTCCAGATCGACGACACCTACAGTGGTTCGCCTAAAATTGCTAAATCGACTTCGTTCCCGGCCAAGAACAAAGTACCGTGGGCTTTTGCTGCTCGTTTTTCGTATACTTTTTATTAAAGCATAGTCGATAACGATTCTCCTATTTTCGTTAAGTACAAGTTAATCCTTTGCTAATAAGATATCGAAAAGTATAAAAGCTTTCGCGTTCGTTAGCGGATGAAATCGCATTGTACGTTGAAAGGTATCTTTGGAAGGAAGTTTCTGCTCTCGTGTCTACGGGGCAAAGATATGTTTTAATATCAGAGATCGTTAAACCTTTATCGTTATCTTGTCTCGTTCTTATAATACATTCGAACTTCGTTCCACGTTGTTATTCGCGTAACCATCGTTACTTGAAATATTCTATGAAACCAATGTAAATTAATAATTATTCTGCGCCAAGAATTTAATAAACAGCTTCTAACTATTTTCCAAAGTTCATCGTGCTTAACTGTAGAGACTGTGCGCAACGAAGGTAATTACGAAAAGCAAAATTTACCATCGGGAAATGATGTTCTTCTTAGCATACGGAGTCTACTTTGGTATCAACATTGTATAAAGGATGTTTATGCGTTTCATTAGCGTGTCGCGTTATTACGAACGAGAGAGAGAAATCGTTAAAATAAATCTCTTAATTTCCAGTGTTCGTTCGATCGCTATAAACTTTATTATTTATGGTTTCCCTTCTGTTGGCCGGTAGCGCTATGCGCATGGCTTCTCTTTCGATTAGTACCAGCAGGGAAATAAAAGCTCATCCATTTCCTTCATTAATCACCTAAGTGATGTACCGAGCTCAACAATTACTCAGCCGGTTGCCAGGATAGAAGACCGGGAGTTACACGCAACAAGAGGAGGCTAACAAATGATAAACAAAAAAAAAAAGAAGAAAAAACAGGGATGAAAAAGAGAAAGGCTACGGATGGAGAGAAAACAAAAGAGATCGTCAAATTAGTACTCGATCCCAAGTAATTTGTCGCGGAAAGAGAATTTGGATGATTCGAAGGATCGCTTAAATCGAGAACATGTCGCGAATCAATGAATCGAGTACTGTTATATTTAAAGAAAAAAAAAAAAAAAAATACACGGAACAGAGAGTACTTTTCATCAAACTAAGTGACATTCCCGAAGCAGAAGTGGGTTGTGAATTTTTTTAAACGCGAGAAACAGAGGACACCGGCCCTGTAACGGTAGATAACGTGTAATTGGAAAACATGGGAAAATGCAGGATAAATCGTTGTAACTTGGAGGAAATGTATTCCGTTTATTGTGACACATTGCGTAGCTGAAATTGATTTTTATCCGGCGGAAGATTACGAGCGTGAAATCCGTAGGAAAGGGCGTGGAAAGAAAGTTTAAACCAAACCGGAAACTTTTACAAGAAATTATCCACTTTTTAAATAACTCTTTCGCTGATAATATCAAGCGAAATGACAACTCGCTGTTCTGCTTGAAACGGAAACTGCTTGTTCTTTCCAGGACAATTTTTTAGTTAACGAGAAGATTAGAGCTGCAGAAACGGATGACGGTGTAATAAGCTTTTAATGACAATTTTAAACTACATTGTAATTAGAGATGCCGTGTACGATTTGGCCAAAGAGATTTTAATTCATTTAGAAATATGTATACCGTACTCCTTTTGCATTCTTCTTTCTCAGTATTTCGATTTTCAGAAAATTATTTTTACTTATTTCACTCGTTCGCAATTATGTGTAAGAACGTAATGTAACTTAATTTAGAAAATTTCTCGCGTACGCGTAGAATTTAATACAATTTGTCTGCCGCGTCTGACCATTAATCATACTTTCTACTTCCACTGATATCCAAGTCGTATTCTAGCGGCGCGCTATGAATGCTCAAATTAAATTATCTCGTAAATAAAGCTTCGAACAAAGAAAAAATTATTATTCCATCGATTCGACTTGTTTCGCCATGCACAAAGGGACTTTATTCGCATATTATTTTGCAAAATTCAATTTCTTCGCGCGAATCGATTTAACAACGAAGGGTTTACCTCGACCATGGGACCTGTGTTCTCCCTCCTTAATATTCTACGCACGTTACAGCACTTACTTCGTTACTATAACGATCTGGTAATTAAATGAATCGTGTCTTATTTCAAGCGTTCCAATAGTTTCCTCTCCGTGAAATTGATAATTTCGGTGGTATATCCACGGGTACGCTTAGCAAATTAGCATTCAATTCCGTGTTCGCCGGTCGAAGGATCAGTTCGATTATTTATAACCAAAAGTGGTTGATTTGAGTAAACGATTTTATTAAAAATAATGCAAAAGACATGTGTGATATATTTCGCGAGCCCACTGTGTCGTTTCTAACTTGCGAAAGATGGTTGTTCGAAATCCAAACGTCATAAATTTTACCTTCCGTCGTCGATAATTATATTTCTAATAATTAAAACACGTCTTCTACGTTTCGTTCTACGTGTAAAGATCGAAGGGTGATCGAATACTTTTCTACTGTTTCGTTGTTTGTACGTGCTGAATTTATCTACGTTCCTCGCGATCAGGGATTACCGGAAATGTCTGTACATATGTATATCGAAAGTGGGAAAAGCTTAGGTTGTTTCGCGGCGCACGCGATTCCCGATAGGCGCGCGGTGCGTCGACATTTGGTAAATGAGTTCTGTCGGGATTTCATATGACCGTGAACGACAAAGCTCGCTACGGAGCCTGCGAATAAACTAACACATATTATACCACTCTGATCAATACTTCATATCGGAATCATTATCTCGTTTTAGTCGCGGACGCGCGCACACGCCGCAAAACACCTTATCGGTATTATTTATCTGCAGCCTTTGTTGCGCCACGATGAAACTAGTTTATCCACGATCTTATGTATTTGCTCGGCCAGAAGGTAAATGGAAAGCGATTTTTTACTTTTCTTAGGAAATATCCGTTATTCGAGAATATACAGGGTATTCGGCCACACCTGAGAAAAATTTTCATGGGAGATTCTAGAGGCCAAAATAAGACGAAAATAAACAATATCAATTTGTCGATCGAGGCTTCGGTAAAAAATTATTAACGAAATTAAATTACAAAATTTCAAATTATTCTGGGAAAATTATTTTCGGTTGCGGGGGTCAGTTACAGTCATTTTTGAGAAAAAAAATTCGAGTATGTGTCTAAATTTTTCGACAAAAAAAAAATTTAGTGTTCAAAGGTTTCGTATGCCCCTAATATTATGGATTATTTTATTGCACGTAGAATGTACGCGTCGCGTTTACACATGTCGAAGCCGGCGACGACGACGACGATGACGACACCGACGACTACGCCGGCGTCAACGACGACGTAGAATAGGCGCGACGTCAATATGACGTCGGCGGTCCGCAACGTAGGTATTGGCGCAACGACACAGTGTCCGAATCCGACGATTTTAGCCGAACGAACTACAAAAGAAACGCGTACCCCCTAAAATCGTAAAATTTCCAGCCAGTTAACGACCACCTATCGTAAAATAATGCATCGAAAACGTCGATATCGTCCTTTCTCGCAACGTCAGTGTCCATTCGCTCGACTTGCCGCATGACTGCGTAATCTTTAACGTAACAGTTTAGTGGTCAGTGAAAAGTACGTTAGTGTACATACGTTTTACCTCGTTAATAATAACCGATCGATCGCTGTTCGATCCAGCCATGGAGATATTAGAACGTGAAGCGTTGAAGAATTCCTTCGTTATCGTATTGCTTATCGGTTCGTAAAGGGAACATCCTTTCAATAATTTTTATATCTCGGTATATTCGCAACTATGGCGCGTATATCGTCGAGGACAATGCTTGTGTCGACACTATTTTTACGACGATCGTCGACACATTGTCTGTGACCGACATGGGAAGAGAACAAGAAGATGGAAAGAATGGATAGCATTGTTGAAAATTGTCGAGGATTACGGCTATATAAATTTGTATAACTTCGATATTGCGGTTTTTTCTACGTACGAATGGTTAGGCCGAGATACGAGTCCATACAAGAGCCCCACGGATCATCGAAAAGCACCGATATCGCGAGAGCGACTCGGAAGACGAAGACGAAGACGTCGACGTTCCCAAAAGATCGAACACGTTTTATCCGCGGTTTCCTCGATCTCCCGCTACCATAGTCGGCCGGGTATACATACTTCTGAACGGCACGCGAAAACTTTGTCATACTCATCGAACTTCGAAGATGCGAATCTGCAACGTCGTTTCCGCTGCACGTCGGATCGCTCAAAGGAATCGAGACGGATCTACGTCCGAAACGTCGGTTGCATCACGGATGCGGAAAGACGATTCGATCACAAGTTTCAGGGTACACCGGATCAGGATCTCGGGGAAACGTTACGACCTCGTATTTTAATATTTTGTTAATCGTAGTCCAGCCTCCAAATTACTTTAGAACGTATGAGAGTTTTTATATATTATTATGTTGCTATCCGCAACAAATGTCAGTTCGTCTATCGGAAGAGGCAGTCGAGGCCGAGAACAAACACTTTCGTCGATCCAGAAAATCGTTGTAATATAGAAGCTCGGATCCCTTTGGAGTCTAAAAGACGTCTTGTCCGATTTGGCCGTAAGAAGAGAATCGTAGACGGTCGACGTCGAATCTTGAAATTGATCGAACTGCCCGGGGAAGCAGAAAACCAGAATGCTGATGTTACGCCGGTTAAATGAAAACGAGGAAAAGGGATCGCGTAATCTTCGTGACAGGCGGAGAATCTGTACGCGGTCGCGATCGAAGAATTCAATATCTTCGTAAGAGGAAAACCGTGTGAAATCGGTCTTGGAAATCGGCCGCTTTTTAACAATTTAATTCTATATCGATCCATCTTTACGTTCTCTCCTTTTTTTTTACATCTATGGAAAGGGTAATCAGAAGCATTATTAATATGGAGTGCAAAAGCTATACATGTAGAGAGGTATCGAAATATCTCTTGGTATACGTACCTACGCTGATGGATCTCGTCTGGTGCGACACCGGGCAGAAATGCAGAGTAAAAGCGGCAACGTCGTCGTCGTCGTCGTCGTCGTTGCAGCGTCGTGGAAATCGAACGAAAGAAACCGGAGGCTGCGGTATCGATCGAACGTCGCGGCGCCGAAGGATCGACAGGAATCGAATGGACAACGATATCGTGTCGCGGTACAGCCACTCGGCACGAAAATGTATATATGTATATTGGTCGCTACATCAGCACCGGATATACGGATACGGATGGCGTTGAACCGTTTCGCGAGAACACGCTTTCTCGGCGCACTTCTCTTCTACGCGGTATATTCTCTTGCAACAAGTTGAGTTACCCTTGAATCGAACTCGTCGAGGATCATCCGACGGTTGCGCAACTCACAGGCTTCGAAACTTACCGGACACCTTACGGGGCTTCTCGATCGACGATAGAACCGCGCACCGGAGCTTAATCCTCGTCCGAACTTGATCGTTCGATGACTCCGGATCTCTTCGAACACGGTGTCCACGAAGTCGGATATTCGTAAACCTCGAACGAGAGACTGACTCGTCAGAACAGAATTCTGTTCGACAATCGAGGACCTCGACAAACGTATTTTACGAAACTATCTAAGCGTTCGATAGAATTCCTCGTCGCGTTTTTCTCGACGAGAGGATTCCTTCGATGTCGAGTACGTCGTGTAAACCTCGGATGGCCTGGTTCGTTGGAAACGAATTATACTCGATGCGATACCGAGCACGATGATAAACGTATCTTTACCAAGTCGCTGTCTAAATGTTCGATAAAATTCATCCTCGTTCGTCTCGCGTTCTTCTTGACAATAGGATTACTTTCGACGTTCGAGTATCTTGCGAACCTCGAACGGGCTGGTTCGGTAGAGACGAATTGTAATCGAGAATCCTGATTATTTTTACCAAGTCGCTGTCTAAATGTTCGGTAGAATTCTTCTCGATGAAAGTAATTGCTTCGATGTCCGATGATTACGCGCGATGGTCAAAAGACACTCGGTTGTACTGTATTGCAGTGGTTGCGGCACGTTTTCGCTACGTCAATCGATGGAAATTCAAAGTACGCGGAACCCAGTGATAGGGGGAAGCGTTGCGATAGAAAAATGTACGCAAACGAGCAGGAAATAATTTTACGCAGTCCCATCGGTATATTTCCTTTCGTTCTAACAAATGCCTCGTCGATGGAAGCTGGCAATTGTACGTTCGATCAGATCCGTCGCGTCCAAGAGGACACTCTGTAAAACTTTCATAGTCATTTAAGCTACCCGTTTAATATTTCATTTACCAGCCGATTCTTCGTCCCTTTCGATCACGAACGGTTACGATCAAATGAACGAAACGTGTGCATTACATGGAATCGAGTACTTGAAAATCAAAGTCAATATCGCCTTTTCGAGAGAACTGAAAATTCCGTACTAACGCGAGTTTAAACTTTCCTCCGTTTAAATGTAAACAAACGGGGGTAATGAACTTTTCAAAGAAAGGATCGTTATGATTATTATTTTCACGTTGCACGATGCGATGTAACGTTTTGTTCGTCCGCTCTGTGCGAATCTAGTAGAAAATAATCACACCGTGACTACCTCACACTCAAGCAACACGTGTGCACCTCTCCATAATTCGATGCTTGCCCGGACATCCTTTCCCTTCGATGGCTCCGGGGACCTATGTACCGATCTCCTCGAGCAATTTGTTGCTTCGTTTCTCCGGAAAGAAGGCAAGGTGGGAGGAGAAGCTCGAGAAGAACTTTTCTCGTTTTCCAGCAGTTCCGTTACCGACGAACAAGCTCCGGGGCGAACGCGTCGGGTCCGTATCGTACGACGCGACGCGACGCTCGGTGACGAAGAAATCGGTAGCGAGGAGTGATCGTCGGTGGTCAGACGCGTCGAACCATCGACGTTCAACCGGTCGTTATCGAGAAATCGGAACCCGCAATTTGAGGGTGATAACGGGTATCGCGTGGACCGAGCCTCGTCTCGAGACCGCGGTCGAACGCTGGCTGCTGTCCGTTCCCAACACGCACGCCGATATCTCTAATCATCGGATAGCGGCTCCTCGTTGCACGAGCATCGTCGACGATGCGTTCTACTTGTTGGCCACGAGTTTCGGCTCGGTTCCCGTTCCCGTAATCCACAAGTTCCCGGTGTCTCCTCGCATATCGCGGTCCCACGAATGTTATCGAGGTTAACGGCGCGCTGGCATCGGGGCTCCGTCGATCGTCCCCCGTGTTTGCACCAGCGAATCGAAGACGTTCCGCGAGAGCGACGTCGTCAGCAGCACCGTCCGTACGCTGTTATCGGGCACGTAAACGGGAACCAAGCGTGTTCGGAGCCGCGTCGCATGATCCCCGACGGTCGTTTCGCCGAGCCTGGCGACCGAATGCGATGGAGGCCTGGGATCTGGTGCGCGTCTCGCGTCTCGCGTTCGAAGCACGATTTTATCGCCACGATATCCCGACGCGGATAATATCTGATAATAGGTCGGGCTGAGAGTAAAGGTAAAAAAGAAAAAGAGAAAATCGTACGCCGGTTTGTCCCAGCTTCGTTGCCCGGGGAGCGGCTATGGCGGCGGCCTGGCTCTTACTGGTGCCTTCCTCGGCGCGGGGGTGACCGAAAGGGGTTGGTTGGCTCGCGGGCCAAAGGGGGAACGATTATCTCGCAGCATCCCCATCGCGCAGGACCGGTCCGCGCGGCACGACTGCCTGCGTGGAACGGAGACGGGACGATACGAGGAGAGAACGCGTCGAAGGAGGACGATGGTTGGACAGAGACGTCTGCAGAAACTGGCGAGGGTGAAAGGTAAGAGGCTGAAAGAGCCGAGGCCGAGGCTCCGAGCTTCGAAGCGCGCGTTCAACGGAGACGCGACCGAGGAAAAAGCTTCGGACGATGGAGCCGCCGAGGGTAGATAGAGTCGGAACGAGATAAAAATATGAAAAAAGGGAAGAACGTTCGCTTAGAATTCTCATGTTAGAGAGAGAGAGAGAGCGTGTGTGTCGGATGGGTACGCGAAGGACCCTTGGAGGGACAAGGATCGTACGGAACTTTCGTAACGAAGAAAGGAAAGGATAGATAATACTGATGCGAAAGAGACAGAAGGAGCACGAAATGAGAAAAGTAGGTGTGAATTACATACCTACCCCTTCGACTACGGAAAATACAATACTATTTTATTAAACCGGTATAGCATTGGACAACACTGTTGTCGTCGACAATTTTTAAAATATTCTTGAAACATAATAAAATACATCGGTCGAAACCATTTGGTAAAAGAAACAAAACCACGCGTAATGCATAATGATTAAAATCGATCGAAAGGAATATATTTGATTAGTGTATTTATAGACGTAAATGCTGTTATAAGAGCAATCGCGGAGAATCGATTCAAGCGGGCAGCATGAAAGACAGAAATTATAATTATGGTTATTGGATTTCTATACCCTCTGATCCTGAATCGTATGCTCGACGCGACAAATCTTTGAAGGCGAAATAGTGGTCTTGCTTTCAATCTGAATTCAAACGCGCGTGAACAAACACAACCCGATCGTTGAATAATAGGCGCAACGTGAAAGCAAAGGGCTGCTGTAAAGGCTACGCATAGGAAACACGAATAATCAATTCGTTTGCTGCCAGGATCCTCTAATTACAAGACTTGTATTTTTAAATTAGATCGGAAATCGTCGCAGAGGCAACGACAAAGATGATTCGGCTGCGAAAATCGAATAGAAACTTGTAGATCGATCAACCGTGCGCGTACACATCGCCGAAAACTGCTAGGATATCGATATTCCTTTAACGCGATGGTGTTTAATATTCTTTGTTCGAAGAACAAATAACTTTTGGCGAAAGAAGAGCAGACCTAACAACGTGTATCGATATTTTCGAAACCAAAATTCATTTTATTAAACTTTATTGGATTTTTTAATTATTCCGTACGAAATCCTATTAGTCGAATTAACAGAGACGAATATAGCGCAGTGTTTTTCCGATACATCGCTGAACCAACGAATATTCCCATCGATGTATTAAATATAACGTAGTCGTCTTAAACTTTTGTCCTGTACGTCATTGTTATCCCGGGCGTAAAAATGTCTGGATACGGTACTGGTCCCGGAAACAAAAAGAATGACAACAACAACAATAATAAAACGTGTATCGAGCCTGTTATAAGAGAACCACGTCCGATTAGATCGACAAACGTTATCTTGTACGATCGACGAACTTGTTAGTAAGATAATTAGAATTAGCACGGTACCTGAACCAAAGGACGGAATTCTCTTGGTGGGAAATACGAGACCAAGTAATTATCAGAATATCCCAGTCACCGACTCCGTGGTTCACGAGCTTCCCGCAACGGGAACCGCGGAAAATTTATCGATTATTCGGCCCTGGCTTGAAGCCTTGAAAACAATCGGCTGCTGCAACTGCGAGTCTGCCTAACTCTATCTACGAGCGGATGATCCATCAACCGTTGTAATAATTAACGAGCAACGGCCAACCTTGTCTCCGATTCACAGCCGACTAACCTACCAATCGATTAATCACACACAATTCCAATTATACTTGTACTCTCTGTTATTGCATACCGAATTTGGTTTTCGGTAAAGAACCGCTTACGCCGATCGCAAATACTCACCCGTGGATGATATCCGATGTACCGGATCGAACGAACGAACGAACGAACGAACGAACGTTCGATAATCTACGTACGATCGAATTTATATCGAATAAAAACGCGCGAAATTCCATTTAACTTTACGTAAAATAACTTATTGACGAGATAGACTCGCACGAGCCTCTTCGCTTGCTTCTTCGTGAAAGTCTGTATATAATATTATTTGCCAATTAATGTTAATACAAGGTTCGTTATTGTCGATCGTCCAGATAGAAAACCATAATGATTTTCTTCCATAATGATATTCTTCCGGATAAATTATAATTTCTTAGCTGTTACATGGTTCTGTAATTAGGTTAGGATTAAGTAGAGGTTGGCCGGCTTGATAATGTGCGGTCCAGTTTCGGACCGCGATCCTTTAGCCATAAATGCCTTGGCAAACTTCATTAAACTCGGCCCATTACCTTTGTTCCAGAGCACGGATGTTGCTGTTGACATATGCTCGCAGCAAATATGTCGTTGATCAATCGATAAAGGCAGCCGCGATCCATCGTTGAAAAGGGTGGCTGCATAATTATGCGAAAGTCGCTCCTAAATTAGAACGTTGCTTCGATAATGCAAGAGGCGATTATAGCAATAATTCTGTTAAATACGGGTCACTTGTCCCGAGAACAGGACAAAAGACAATTTGCGCCGTGTATTAACAGAATAATGGGGATATTGTTTCAAAGGCGTTCACCGCGTTTCTACGAGAAAGAAAAAAATACAATTAAATTGTGGCGGCGACATATTGTTTAATATTTATACGTGCCTTATTTCGTACAAAATGTACAGCTTCTGCGTTTAGAACACACCCAGTGGGTACATAAAACCATTAAACAAATAATTTTTTCCTCTGGAAGTATATACGCAAACGCCACGTTTAAAAGATATTATCTTCCGAAGTTACAAGACGTAGGAATAAAGAATGTCGAAATATGTATCGCTGTTTTTACAATCGAACGTATGTATGTATTCGATTTAGTGCTAAAGAATTAATAAACTGTACTAGTAAGCTTCGATCACTGAAAAAGAGAGTTTTCTTTTAAATATTTCTTCATTCTTGATCGATAATCGATTTGAATTATGTTTGTTAGAAATACAGATTTACCTAATATCTATCGCAATTAGAAGATGAACTCTGGTAATACAACTCACGTAACTTACGAAACAATCTGATTGGTCCGCAACGTGAATACCTGCTAAGGAACGTACAGTAGATTCAGCACAGAGTGGGTCGATACTTGAAAAGACTAGTTAATTAATTGAAAATCCGATGCCAAAGCTTCCATCGGAAAATAGTCGAGAAAAAGCTATGAAAAAGATAATTTGTTGTTGATTGACTTTACCGTTCTGACATTAGTTAAAGTTGCCAACCTTGCTCGTTTAATTCTGTTAAATTAGTATATTGAACAGATTTAATATGTATTTCATCAGAAATGTAATTTAAACCACCAAGTTGAATGTTACGGAGTTTTCTTCGCAAAATAACATCCGTTTGAAAATCAGCCATGCTTGTTAGATATAATTTCCTAGATTCACTTTAAAGGAATATTTTTATTTTACTATTGGCTAGATTGCTCGTTGTAGTGACTCGCTAATTTCAGTATCAAAGATTGATCAATTATGAGTTGTGAACCTTGAGAGTTTCTTACCCCTGGACAAAATGCTATTTCCTTGTTCTCCTCTGAATGTTTCACAACCCGCGTCTAATGCATCGTTCTGCACCGTTCCCTAGATCCATGGTGTACCCAAACCGGCTGATAGTAATGATCGGTTATGAGAACCGCTGGCTTCTAACGAAGCGTCTGCTTAGTTAACAGTTTATTTAAACGATGGGGTCCAATTTTTGTTTTATGTTACGTTGAGAGAAACGTAAATCTCATTCACTAAATGCAACTGTTACGAAGTGCACGGGGAGTGAATCGATCGTTCGTCATGATTGAAGATTGACGAACGACGCTTTAGGATCTCCTCGTAATGTTCAGAATTTAAAGATTCCTCATCAAAAGTGTTAGGATGGCTATCATTAGTTTAATAATCATTATGACTGCGTGCTTTTTCAGACTTGTACTTTTTTGTAATGGTAGGCTACATTTATTATTTTCTTTTAAACCGTACACTTGAAAATTAAGGTTATATTACTATTTGTTTGCTTATTAACCTGTTACGAGCATTATCATTACAAACTGTTTATTATATTATAACGTTCAAGTAGGATCTTAATAATAATACGAATAAAATCCGATGATTTTCTATCCTCTATAATGATCTCTATTGTATATTACCACTTGAGATTTTCTATTTGTTGTTCCATCTTACTTATATCATGATTATGTTCTTTACATATTTGAGAGATAATAAAGTCATTGCTTATTATTGTACAATGATTTTGTCTGTCACTGTGGAACTTTAAAACGATATAAACAGCAGAAAATTAAATAAAATTGTTTTGCTTTGAGTATGAGTTGTTGAATATTAAATAAATAAATAATTATTCTAGGTTCACCGACGCTACTCTTTGTTACACAAAAGGATATTAGAATGGCTAATACCTCCCGTACCAATAAAGTAACCACTATCATAAAAGATCTCTCCGAAGGTGCAGCTTTAGACTTTTATTTTGAACAAGAATTGGTGTGTTGGTCCGATAGCGGTCTAGAAATAATTCAATGTATTCGAACAAATGGCACGCACACTGGCGAAAGAACAATTATAGTAAATTCTAGCCTGATATCCCCCGATGGTTTAGCCTGTGATTGGTACACAGGAAAGCTATATTGGACAGACGGGGAGAAAAATAGAATAGAAGTGACGAGCATCGACGGGCGTCACAGGAAAGTTCTTTTTTGGACGGACATTTATCAGCCAAGAGCCATAGCTCTAGTACCAATGAAGAGTATACTATTTTGGACAGATTGGGGCGATGTACCGAAAATAGAAAGGGCGGCGATGAACGGAGATCCTTTAAGTAGAGAGGTGATCATTTCTGACGATATATTTTGGCCCAATGGTTTGACAGTGGATTATGACAACGAATTGGTTTATTGGGTAGACGGGAGGCTCAAGTTTATAGCAGTAATGGATTATTATGGAAAAAATAGACGAAAAGTAGTTGAACAAGGATTAGATTATCCGTTCGCAGTTACGTTTTTTGATCATAGATTGTACTGGACCGATTGGAAAACATGGTGTATACACTCGTACGACGTGCGTCAGCATCAGGCGCATCCTAGGGAATTGCTGCACGGAGAATATATTCCTGGTGACATAGAAGTGTGGGATGTTAGGAGACAACCGCACGGGAATCATCCTTGCGAAAAGAATAATGGAAATTGTTCGCATTTGTGTCTGCTAAGTTTGACGGAGCCCGGATACACGTGTGCGTGTCCCACGGGCGTTAAGTTAGTAGATAACTTGACTTGCGCGGAAGGACCAGAAGAATTGTTGTTAATAGTTCAGAGAACCGAAATTTGTCGAATATCTTTAGATTCGCCCGATTATACCAACTTTGTACTACCACTGATAGGTATAATTATTTCCGTTTTATAGTTTTTCTACGTTCTTTTAAAGGAAGGTTTCGCTCTAGGATATCACTTTTTAAGTTTTAACACGAGTAAAGAATGTAACAAAAGGAAATCGTGTTTTTTAAAATCCTAGACCGGGGAACCAACCTCCCTTTAATAATATTTTCCAGACAACGTTTAATAAAAATTAAATGAAATTTAACGTTTCTGTTAACGAAATTAGGAATTAAACATGCAATAGCAATCGACTTTGATCCTATGCAAGAAATGCTTTATTGGACCGACGAAGAAGCTTGCGCGATCCGTAGAGCCTCTCTTAACGGCTCTAATCAAGAGAACATTATAACGACAGAGGTGGAAAATCCTGATGGAATAGCCGTGGACTGGCTGGCTCAGAATCTTTACTGGACCGACACGGGAACGGATCGAATCGAAGTGGCTCGATTAAACGGCACGAGTAGAAAAGTATTGATAAACGAGGACCTGATCGAACCTAGAGCTATTGCCCTGGCTCCGGAACTCGGTTGGATGTTCTGGACCGATTGGTACGAAAAACGACCGAAAATAGAACGGAGCAACCTGGACGGAACCGAGCGTATTCTTCTGGTAACGAAAGATATTGTTTGGCCAAACGGGATCGCTTTGGATCTCACGAGATGGAAAATTTATTGGTGCGACGCGAAAACGGATAAGATCGAAGTGTGCAACATGGACGGTACCGACAGGAGAGAAGTAATTACAGATAATCTTCCGCATCTTTTCGGATTGAGTTTGTTAGGGGATTATTTGTACTGGACCGACTGGCAGAGACGAAGCGTGGACAGAGCACATAAATTAACAGGCGGCGAGAGAGAAGTGATTGTCGATCAAGTTCCCAATGTTATGGGTTTAAAGGCAGTACACTTGGGAAAGGTTAATGGTACAAATCCATGCGCGAAACATAACGGAGGATGTAGTCATTTGTGTCTAAATCGACCGGGAAACAAATACGTTTGCGCTTGCCAGATTGGATACGAATTAACGAAAGATAAGAGGACCTGCATCGTCCCGGACGCGTTCATGCTGTTCGCAAAGAAAGAAAACATCGGAAGAATCAGTATCGAAAATGCAAATAACGACAACATTATTCCGTTGACTGGCATCAAGGATGCAAGGTAAATTTTGTAACTTAAAATAAAATATTGTATGAATTAGTTATCGAATGTTTTCTTATTTAACGCGTTTCTTACTGCTTGGCTAACCGATTAACCTACGGTGATGAACTTTTCGTTGTTAAAAAGGAATATTAGAATGTTTCGCGCGTTTAAAATATATTGGGAACCAGTATCTTACGCAACATAGACTTTAATATTAAAATTCTCTTTTTCAACGAAAATTTATTACTGTAAATATTTTTCGCTTCTATCAGCGCCTTGGATTTTAACATAGCGGACAATCGTATTTATTGGACGGACGTTAAATTGAAAACAATTACAAGAGCTTTTATAAATGGGTCCGATATGGAAAGAGTCGTCGATCTTGGTTTAGAAACACCCGAAGGATTAGCAATAGACTGGATTGCTCATAATTTGTATTGGAGCGACACGGGAACTCGAAGAATAGAAATGGTTCGATTAGAAGGTTGCAGTAGGAAGGTTCTCGTATGGAATAACATTATCGAACCTAGATGTCTGGCCCTAGATCCCAGTAGAGGGTAATTATGCTACATTTATTTAGGTGTATTTTTCGAAAATTTGTCCAAAGTATCCGTTCGCATTGTTATTTTCTTGTAATAGACAAATTTCATTTCTTCCCAGACACATGTATTGGACAGAATGGGGAAATTTCGGCAGTATAGAAAGATCGTTTTTAGATGGTACGAATCGCGAAACGTTACTTTTTAAAATCGGAAGAGCAAGTGGTTTAACAATCGATCATTCCGCACGGAAATTATACTGGGCAGATTTACATACTCCAGCCATCGATAGTTTTGATTTGTATACAAAGAAAAGAGACGCAATCGTAACACAAAATATTGGTTACCCGTTTAGCATAACTCAATATCAAGATTATATTTACTGGACAGACTGGAATACAGGTGAGAAGCTGACCGCGTTATTTTGATAGAATTCTAATTTTATGTCTTAACTTATAATAGGAACGATATAAATATCTTTTTAATCAACAGGCGATATAGAGAAAGCTAATAAAACTACAGGGGCGAATAGAGTGAAAATACATAATAAGTTGGAATCTGTGACGGACTTGTTAGTCTTTCATCCTTCTAAGCAAGCAGGATGGAATCCCTGTTCGTTAAAAAATGGAAATTGTAGCCACCTTTGCATCGCGTTGCCCGGAGAAAATGAAAGCGTATCTAATTCTTTCAAATGCGAATGTCCTACTCATTATAACTTGCAAAAAGATAACAAATCGTGCGATGGTTGGTTTATTTGAAGTTTATACAATTTTTCGTTATTATTTGCCCAAGTAAAATATAGTTAGATATATTGTTTAATTTACAGCGCCAAAGATCTTTATGATGTACAGTTTACGCAATGCAATTTTTCGCTTCCTTCCCGATACCAGCGATTGTTCGGACGTGGTTCTGCGAATTCAGGGTTTAAAAAATGTACGGTCTATAGAATTCGACCCCGTAACTCAACATATTTATTGGATAGATGGTCGAACTTCGTCTATAAGGAAGACTTTGGAAAATAAAACACATTCGAGCGTAATGGTTTCCGGAAGTTCCGGACATCCTGTGGATTTGGCTTTGGACCCGTTAGGAAGATTGTTATTCTGGTCTTGTGCTATAAACGATGCCATCAATGTCACGAAACTTGACAATGGCTCCGCTTTGGGTATCGTGGTGAAAGGTGATGGGGAGAAACCAAGAAATATTGCAATACATTCTGAAAAGAGACTTCTTTTCTGGACAGACGTTGGAAGGAAGGTGAGAGTGATGCGTAGTAAAATGGATGGAGAAGAAAGGGTCGTAATTGCGGTTGATCTCGAACAACTAACCAGTATCGCGGTCGATGCGGTCTCAAATATTGTATACTGGGCGCATGGAAATCGGATCGAGTACGCTGACTTTGATGGAAATAACAGAAAAATTCTAGTCTCTCTTGTGAAACAAGGATCGACCATTTATTTAACCGTCTTTCTTGATTTTGTTTATTGGTTCGATAAAGAAACTTCAAGCTTAGAGCGTATTAACAAGTCTGGAAACGGAAGAAAAGTGATTATGAATAAAATGCTTACAGATATAATTACAGTGAATACTCCACAAATTGATATAATGAAAACGCACATATGCAGCCCCTTTCGTGATTACGGGGGATGTTCTCATTTCTGTATCGGAACCACTTTGTCCAAGTAAGAATAAGCATTCAACTTTTCCGTGTGTATTTTTCATGTATATTAAATTCTATTTTTTTCTTTTTTAGATGTTCTTGTCCAAAGTCTTTGGTTCTATCCGAAGATGAAAAAACTTGTAGAGCTGCACCAGTCTGTGGAACGGATCATTTTACTTGCACTGCGCCCAGTTCTGCAATGGCAAAAGATTGTATACCGGTGACATGGAAATGCGATGGTCAAACAGATTGTCCCGATGGAAGCGACGAATTAGGCTGTCCGGCTTGTAGTAGCGAACAATTTAAATGCCAAAGTGGTCACTGTATCGGTAGGTATATGTATATTTAACTCATCGAATTAATGAAATAGAAAATTCTTAGTTGTATAACAAGTTAAAAATAAGAAAATTATTACAGATATGTCCTGGGTATGCGATGGAACAGCCCAATGCCACGACGGTTTGGACGAAGCTCATTGTTGTCGTCCAGGTCAATTTCAATGTATTGGAAACGGTGTTTGCATATCCGGTTCGGCTTTGTGCGATGGCTGGGAAGATTGTGCCGACGGCAGCGACGAGCTCACGTCCGCGTGCACGCCTGCAAACAATCCACGACAAGAAAACAGCTCGTTGGAATCAGGAAAAATTACATACGTCATTGTAGTGCCTATCGGATTGACTGCAACGATCGCCGCAGTCGCTTTTGGATTTTATTACTGTAGGAGAAAATTTATAAACAACGAAGAATTGCCAGATATTTTGCACGATTCTGCCGGGGATCCTTTGTCGCCGAAACCAGTCAGATTGACAAAGCCAATATTCGCACAGAAAAATTGCAGAAAGGATTTGAAAATAGAAATGGAAACCGTAAGGATGTCGATGCTGAATGGGAGCAGTATCGAATCGAGCTACGATAGAAGTCATATTACCGGTAAGTTTTATATTTTTATAAATTATTAATAAATCGATAAATCGATCGATCCGTAAATTGAGTGAGTTTTTATGATAACGACGTACGAATGCGATAATTGGTCCCTTTAATACCCAGCCTTTTAAATAATATCTCCAATATCTTCTACTTCCGTGGTAATAAAGTTAACCGATAAAAGAATATTAAAGATATAAAAGTAAATTTGACAAAGAGGTAAACGTATGTAATTTATAAATACAACAAATTACATTATAATTTGAGGTGCATCAAGTTCAACTCGGGGTAGCTCTGCAGGAGGGTATCCCCAAGAAACATTAAATCCTCCTCCAAGTCCAGCAACAACAGCAAATTCTACCAGGTGCTCGAGCAGCAATGCATCTAGATATAAACCTTATAGGCATTATAGGAGTATTAATCAGCCCCCACCCCCGACTCCTTGCAGTACAGACGTTTGCGACGAGTCGGACAGTAATTACCCGGCAAGATATAGATACGAAAGTGAGCCATTTCCTCCGCCTCCTACTCCAAGATCCGTTTACCAGAGCGACGCAGGAATTAGTTGTCCTCCGTCTCCTAGTTCAAGATCCTCTACCTATTTTAGTCCTCTTCCTCCTCCCCCTTCTCCTGTCCCTTGAATTTATTGCAATCTTTTGATACTTCATTTTCCACGAAAACAAATATTTTTACAAGATTTCGAAGATTTTCGAAAGAACGGACAGCTCTCAGAATGTTTATTTTATTTATGAAACGAGTAAAAGATCATTTTTCTAGATGATATTTTCTTTTCGATAATTTTTAAAGTCAACTAGAGCAGTAACTGGAACGACAAGAACAAAAATTTCTTTTGAGAGTGCCTTCTTTTTTACTATAATTGAATCCGTTTAAATATTATTTACACGCGAATAATTTTATTACGATTATTCCGATCGAAGAAATTAATACCATTGTGCCTATCGTCTTTATAACGTAATTCTAGGTAATTTAATCGTAAAATGTTGTAAATATTGTAAGAATGTATAAAAAATTGTATGATTTTTAGTCTTTGCGATAAAAATTGTTTAAAAAGAAGATTCCTTTCTATATATGTATAAGTATTATGTTTTCTTTTTAACGATTATACTCTTGCTCTAACTGTATACATACGGTATGCTATACGAGAAATTAATTTTATATGTTTCATACTTACATCCAAAACATCAAAAAATCTATACTCAAAATAAAAATAGTAAGCATAATAATCTCTTGAAACGGATAGAAGAATTGAAAATACGATAAGACCACGATTTAACGGACCTGTATTTAACGAATTTTTTATTTAGTGGTTACCCTCGTCTTTGCACTTGATTAGCAAATGGTGTTAATGTTTCGCCGGTACATTATCAAATAAATATGAAAAATGATAAATCAAAGGAAACGAAGACCGATTGCACCGTACTTAAAATATGTAAGTCTGTTATTCGACAGACTTTGTTTCGTATAAACGTAGACGTTCATGTACAGCAGACACCCCTTCCCGCAATTCGTCTGCTAAATCGAGGTTTTACCGCACTTTTTCATAAAAATAAAATTGAATAAATAGTAACGAAAATATAATAATTAAAGTAAATAGTTTAAGAACATTTAAAATATGTATTCCTGGAAAATATAATATTTTTTTAAGTTTTCTAACGAAAGTAAAAAAATATATTTGTTTTTGCATTCTGATTTAAACGTTAAATAAGAATGTAAGAGATCAATGAATTTCTATTACTCGAATACCGTGTAAATGTAATACACCTCCGTTTCTGAAATTCGTAATTGATACGTGCCATAATGTATTCAAGATCATGAGAAAGCGAAACAAAAAACGAAATCAACATTATCGTGTACACAAAATCTACAACATATTATTGTTTGTGGAAATGATTTTTACCTCGCACTGCTATTATATGAGTCTCGAAGAAGTACGTCTATTAATTATTATGCTCGTTTAGCATTAAAGACTGAAATAATTATTCTATATTTTTTTTACATTTGAAATGTGAAGTGCATTGCCCTATGTATGTAGCATAATTGTATAAAGAAATAAAATTTTTGTTACATATTTTATATATCATTTGTGCGTTGCTTTATTTATTCGACAATTCTCGGTAAATTATTCGATCGTTTTGTCAAGTTTACCTCTCCTCGTTTATTTTCCTTTCTATAAAATTTTGTAATTATAAAAAAAGTTGGTCCAGAACTTCTATCGTCGATAGAAAATTTTACATAAAATTACAACAAGATAAATGTAATCGAACATATTTATTTATTAAAATTTGTTTACTATTTACACAGTGAATATTTAACTAGAATCGAAGAATGTAAAAATATCAAATAAAATACTATTTACAAGTGGTCCATTTTATTTCTATACTTTTATCGGTAAATGTAAAAGTAGGGGAAGAGGTTTTCGAATGCTATCGCCACTCTAAGCATCCGAGCTGCCTGGCCGAGACAGTAAGAGATGGAACAATATTCCCTTCAACAGGGCTATTTTATTCGGTTCTTTTATCACATACCTAACATTTCAGATTTATCCTCTGTTTTTAAACCAAAGTTTCAGATTCATCGTGTTACCATCTCTATAGTATGAAATGATTTTGAATACGTATCACAGTGTTCAATCTTATTCGCAAATAAGAAGTAGTCTTGTAATTTATAATATATACTTACAAACATCCCAATAGTTAAAAAACAATTAATCAATGGACCTGTGTTTACCGACAGCTTGTTTTACTTAATTTTTTATCATCTTCCACGCGTTTCTAAACATTGAATCGACAATTATAACTAAGAAGTCTGTATATTATTTTTCTGTTGTCTAAATTGTTGGTTCCCATAAAGAAGACTCGCGATTTTTAAAACGTTATACATATATGATAAAAACAATACTACATATATCTTATCGAAACTATTTTATCTTAACGTGGATTAGCTGGTATAATAGAAAGTATATTTTTTTAAATTATAGGAAATTAAATAATCTTTAACGAAAGACGTTTCGTAATAATTGTTTCAAAGTATTTTCAAAATCGGTATCATTAGAAGTTTTATACGTGTACTAAACTAATAATACAAAGAGAATTTGTAGATACATTATAATTATTATAGAAAATAGTTAAATATGCTTACTGAGAAATAAATCACAAAAAGTGTGATCAAACATTTACATAAAATTATCGAACTAAACGTGACGGAAAACTGGTGAGTAAATATTAATTTAAAGTTTTTTTTATTAAAAGTTTTATTATAGCATTTTTCCCTACCGCCGATAAAAAAATTAATTGCACATCGGTGCAAATAAAATTTCTTTATTTGAACATCTATCAATCACTCGATCGGTTAAAACTAATACCAATAAATTTAATGGTCAATTATTTGAAATTCTTTTCAATAAGAAACAGGCACTTAAAATTGAAGGGGCGATTTGATTTCAATTTAAATCCTCGTTTAAAAACGTGTTGTTTCGTTTCATATTAAATTGGACAGTTTTTTGGATTTGATCGGGTTGATTTGATTATGGTGTAATAATATCGGTTCTGAAAACCCGTAACCGAAACCGATATGTAACAGTTTGTTTCAGTTATTTTCTGAACTGTTTCAAACCCCGATACATAATATAATACAACTGCTTCGTATCTCTCTTTATTTTATGCATAGAAAAGTTAGACGTTTAGGACTACTAATATATAATAATTAAATGTGTCAATAATTGACCAATCGATTGAACTTTTGTATACAATAAAAAATCAAACTCCTTAAACGTGCTTTAATTATATATGTATAAACACTCGATAAACATTTCACATACCCTCGAAAAATGGCATTACCTGCTATCCGTTCGGTACAACGAAACCTTACTCCTCCGTTCTTTTATTTTACTAATACCTTTTGTTTTAACCATTCTCATTTTTACTGTACATAAATTCTTCGCCGTAAAAATATTTAACTAAGCTACTCGACGGATGGTCAACGGCACCCACATCCAAGAACCGCCATGTCCTGATAATTTTTCAAAACCACTTTATTCTCCTCGTCGAGATACAGCATGGATATCGAACTGAGAGCAGTAGGTATACAGCAAGCTTTTGGTACCATGCTCGGTTTCGTCGAATAAACCAAATTCTGAACGATCGCGTGATTGGTGGAATTTAAGTGGTCCGCTAGAGGGAAAGGGCAATCACCGTGACAGTAAAAAGCATCGTAACCAGGAGGGGCAACGATCCAATCGTTCCAACCAACATCTGCAAAGTCAACATAAAGCGGATGCCGCCTGCAGTTCTCACGGCCATCTTTCCGACGACTTTTACGAAGCGCCGCTCTTCTGGCGCGACGATCTATTATCTGGCTTGCGGAGGACATTTTGTACCTAAATATTTATTATCGTTTGATATGACATTAAAAATATAATAATGCAACTGTTCGTACGTAAAGGCATTTTATACCTCCCATCATCTGTGTAAGTAAATAACATCGGTCGACTAATAACCCATGTATCGTTCCTCTCGTTTACGCTCCGTTTTAAACGTACATGCTCCTGTTTAGTTCCACGCACGTGTACCAGAAGTCCATGATTATTCTTTGGATCTTTTATCCATCTCTCCGCAGCAGGATGAACGTCTAAACTAATTGTGTCGTTCTTCCTGGTATTTATTGGTTTACTGTCGATTAAACGTAGCAACGGAGTACTGTGTCCTTTTGCGCCGGGCCGCAAAATATCGTATATAAGTATTCTACCCAAATTTTGACTGCTGTCTTCTTTATTTGAAATAGGTACACGAGAAAGACTTAATTCCGCGGCTTGTAATATCTCTCTCGACGGTATACTACTCAAGTCGAACAACAGACGAAAGCGATTCGGAGATTGAAATTTATGATCCAGGTCACTTTCTGTGATAAAAAAAAAAAATATTGTTAAAGCGCAATAAATATTATCTTAAAGGGTGTGTGTTTGTGTTGTACGTTTAAATAGTATTGTGGCGCGCTGCTTTGCTGAGGGTACGAACTTGGAGAATTTCGTAGGAAAGAAACAGTAGTAAAAAAAGCAGGGGGATGGCGATTTCGTCCGGGCCTGCTAGTGGACTCATCGGTAAAAAGCTTCCTAGCAGGCCTTAGACGAGTGGGATATTCGGAAGCCGGTCGAAGATTGTATATATAGCAACAGAGGGGTCGCAAGAGCGCTTGTGAGAACGCACGCAACTCTTCTGGCGGCGAGTACGGGAGGCGACGCCACAATACTTATTATATCACATACATATATTACTCATATTAATAATTGCTATATTTAACTACTGATATACTGACCGACGTGAGAAAAGGAACGAACTGTGTTAGCAGACCTAGCATGAATTCCTGGTTTAGCAATATCAGCCATACCAATGGTATTTTGTTTAATAAAAAGTTTCTTTAACGATTCTGGTACGTATGCTGGACCTTGCGGTTTCGGTCTTTTCGCAAACCCGAGAAGCGAGAGAAGACTAGCTTCTATTCCAGCGATTGCTTGTTCATGTTCCCCGATAGTAAAGTGGCTGGCAGTGTCGGAAGGCAAGTGCAAATGAACATTTGCTTCGATGGTTGCCAGCAGCAAACCTGCTGCGACGATAACCAACGTTAATGGCAGCAACATGCGCATTGTGATGTCGTTGCTCACGGATGTTGCCTCCCTAAAAACAGAAAATTAAACGCTGTAATTATAGTAGTTTTATTACGTTTTATACAGTTTGTTTAAATCTTATAATCTACTCTTCTAACTTGATTATGTATGTTATTTTCAAGTACCATTTAAACGATATGTTAGCCCTTTGCACTCCGCTCCAAATTAAAAATATAAACATTCATAATATTTTGTAGAGAAAAGAAATTTTAATATTGTTTAATAGCATAAACATTTGTTAAAACTATGTACTTCGCACGAGGTTTTCTCAGCCATCGACTATACAACTATGCGGACCGAGCGCCGAACGAAATCTAACTCCGAATTTGGAAAAATTCCAAATTTGGACGTTTCACAAGATTAGACGACAGCAGAACTTGGGTAAGAAACGTGGAATTTATGACCCTCGGGGGACAAGGCTTCACCCTAAGCCACATTCTTTTTTAAATCTCCTTATCTTTAAATACCAAATGTAAATATTCGTAACTGGATATTCCCGAAAATTGACCCCTGTGTTAAATGTTTCTTAATATCGTCGCAACTAAAATAGAGTAAATGGTCTGTTTAAAATAATGCGTTTCGAAAGTTTCCCAAAACGCTTACGATTGATTCGTCTTTCTATGTATTTGGTACATTTACCCTATCTATTTGTCGTGCAAATGCAAACCGATCATTGCGAATACATACTGTATATACAGTCAGATGAAATAGACCAGTATGAATCACGAAGTTACCAGTTCACTACCTTTATTATTTACTCTACTACGTTATTGTTATACAACCTCCTCCCTCGATTCGTTGGTGCCGAATGAGGTACATATGTACCTACAGTTACAGCATTCGCGGCGAACAGCCCTCGACTGCGCGGCAAGTTCGTTGCAGCCTTGTGAGCATGCGCACAGGCAACGGTCTGACGTTACAGCGAAAATAATGGGAAGGCGGGGGAGTGGGAGGGAGCAATCGCACGAGTGGAACAATGACACAAGAGAGTCTACGTCGTACACTTACGTACTTGCGGCCGCTCTTCGTATGCGTGATTTTACTGCATCGGCCACTACATCATTGTCCACTCAATATACAGGGCAAGGCAGAAACTCTGTCCACCTGAAATATTTCCATTGCCATTAGACGTAGAAAATAATGTCTCAAAATTCACATCTAGATCTACACCCTGCCCCCTCTCTCCCATACAAATACGATTGTGATACCACAATCGGCCAGTGGAGCTTTTCGAAACAACATCCAAAATACGTATATAATACATCCAATATATAATATTAAGTAGGGTATAAAGGATAAAACGAGCAACAATATAAATACTCGTAAGAAAATTATTTAAAAAACGAAAATGTTTGCAGAAGCAAGAAGATGATATATGAATATAGACGACAGCGGATATACTCGTTCTTAAGAAGAAATTGCATGTAGGCGCAGTTTCCTTCATTTAAAAGCGATCGTAGAACCTCATTTTATGTTGAAACAAAGCAAACTAAACGTTTTTATTGAAACATAAAATCATGCATCGATTCTATTATCTCATTCCTAAGAAATTTGTTGTAAAGTTTAAATGCATATCTCACAGCGATTCGTACAGCTCGTTTCACGCAAGTTAATCACATTTAGATTAAAATGTTTTAATAAGTCGAAGCCGCTGTACCGTGCGAAGGCGGTATAGTAATTTTACGCGCCTACGTTTGGCGGTTGTGGATCGCCATCTATCGTTTAAACCACGCAACAAAAAGAAGTGTACCACGAAGGAGAAGGACCTGCGTTTAGCATACTATATTCCCCTCGAATGGCATGAATTCATGCCACCGGGTGTACATAGATAAGCAGCACGTCATCGTTTAAAATAATCGAACCAGCCACGAACAGGGAAACCTGCTCCGTTGAACCAATGGAAAGACGCATTTTCCCATCGCAAAGAAACTATCGGTTACGTTTATGAATGTTAAACTCACCTGAGCTAATCGTGAGTCCGCCGTTTGACGAGCCACAACATTTCAACGAATTCATGTAACCTCACTTCGGTAACTATATTCTCGAACCGTCACCACTGGGAATCTTTAGTATCGATGCATTGATCGAGATCGAGCTTCGATGTACACTATCTTGCTATTCTCGCACTCGCGTATTCGAAGGGAAAGAGAAAGACAGACAGCAAACAAAGAGAAAAAAAAACTTTGGAAAAACTTTCGTTCAAGATTTCTAAATAATTCACGAAAAGAACATGAACGTGATTTACGTAATGATTAATTTAACGAATAATGTGGTGTTGTGGAAATAAAGAACGTTTAAGTCGGTACGTACTGATGTTGAACTCAACTCGATACGCGCAAATCTTCAACAAGTCGAGAGGAAGAGTAGAACTGTAGGATATTGGGAGGGGGAAAGAGAAAAAGAGAGGGAAAGATGGAGCGAAGAATCTGTAAAAAGGATACAATCTCTTAATAGTAAGCGACACAAGTTTAGCGCTGCCTGCGAATACCGTGTAAACTAAAACTCTAGTCCTATAGTACAAATTCTATTTAAAATGTTTTCTATTACTTATACACCTACATATATTTCTTCTTGCATCAGTCAATGAACCCTTTTATTCTCGCTAAGAAAATATTGAGGGTCTTAAGTAAAACGCTGGTTAGTTTACAAGTTACGATTTTTGTTCGACACCTCTCGAATAATAATATACGTTTCCAGTTACCTTTTAAAATGTTGTTCGATTTGAATTTCGCTCTTATTTAATCGTGATTATCATACGATCTTAAAGCTACGTTCACGCAATAGCATAACAAGGTCTTCGATAACTGTATAGTTTCGGAATAAATTATTGATTCGAACGAGATTATTTTCTTTTCGTTAAAAGTACATTATTATAAAAAAACATTCGTTTAACTAACTAAATAAATAAATAAATGATCCTTAAAAGCTTTACTCATGGAGTTACTACATTATTTGAAAGAATTGTGATTTAAAAATTTTTAATTTTTAAATTTATATCAAATATTATAATAATTATTTTTAAATCTTGTTCGTTAATAATCATTTAAAATGTTATTTTGAGAATATGATTAAATTCATAATAATTTATGCATTTTTTCGTAACTGACAGTTATATTATCAGTTAAAGGCTTTCGCGTTAGACGTAAGTACCTACTTACGTATACGTAGAAGAATGTACATTGTAAGGGAAAACAACTGTAAAGAAGTCTTGTAAAAACAGTTACGAAAATGTATTCGACAAAAACGCCCTCCTTAAGAATCGACGAGGCTGATCTTAAGTGCAAGAATGGTTGTGGATTTTATGGAAATGTCGAGTGGGAAGGTTATTGCAGCAAATGTCATCGAGAGTATTTACAAAAACAAAGATCGCAAATAGGTTCCAATGTTTATGAAGAGAGGTACAATGTTTATGTTTATTTATTAATAAAGTTCCAACGACTGATTAAAACTGTTCGAAATTTAAAAATGTTCAATTTTTTGCATTATGCGTAATTTTTTTAAAGAAAAAGGTTATTTAAACACTTTTTACACTTATCTTTCAATACGTTTCTTATTAAATATTATTAATATTATTATTATTATTATTATTGTTAACAATAGCGTTACAATTAACATTTCAGCAATACTTCGAATAAGAGCACAATTAATGCTCAACAGAAATATGAAGAGAAGAAAGTACAACAAGAGAGAAAATATAAATTATTAAATATATCTTTTCGCAAACCAGCTGTAAAAGGTATAATTTAATTTAATTTAATTTATTCTATTTGTGTTTATGTCTTATAGTTTATAGTCTTGGATAATTATTTATACGTTCAAAGAGGAGTAAAGAGGAGTGTATTATATTTACATTGTATAATTAAAAATTATTATTATTAAATATTATTTTTATGCGTAAAGCACAAGGATATCAAGAATTACTTTACGAACTAACAAAAGATAACCCAGACCTGGAAAAAGTAAAGACAGAAAATCGTGAAGTAATAGCTATGATTGCTAAGACACCGGTGGAAAGAGATGTCAGAAAATGTATACATTCTTTCATAATTGATATACTTCAAAACAAGGATGTAAAAAGGATAGAGGACCTTTCAGAAATTACACAGACTTTTTATCAAGTGTTTGCTAAACGTTTAGAAAATAGTACCAAATATGCAGGTATTGTGAAAAAAAAAAAAATACTATAAATTAAAATAATTTACCAGAAAATTACTTATGAAACGAGAATATTAACTATATTAACACGATTTCAGACATATCATCAGAAATTAAAGAAAAATTGTTGGATTATGTAGAAAGATATGCATTAACTTTACTCTACAGAATTCTCTTTTGTCCTCCCTTTACAAACGACGAAGAAAAGGATTTGGCGATACAGAACAGGTTAATTTTATTTAGAAATGAAAGCAATACCAGAAAATAAATTCCGTATTTCAAATAAAGTAAAATGTTTTTATAGAATCCGCCAGTTGAATTGGGTTAGCGGAAAAAATTTAGAGTGTCGGATACACGAAACTAGTTCTGAAGTTAGAGAACTCGTCTATACTTCCATAACAGGTGCGTGCATAAAATATTCAGTATTTGAATTAAAATTTTGTATAATTGTTCCAATTAATTACAGATTTACTGAACATGGATTCTGCAAAGGCTCCTCAAGAAAAACTTTCTTGCGTTATTTATTGTTGCCGAAATATATTTTTAATGTTGCAACAGTCTGTTGGTGGGCCCGCATCGGCGGACGAATTTCTCCCTGCTTTAATTTTCATTGTTTTAAAAGCCAATCCTGCCCGTCTTAAAAGCAACATTAATTTCATCACTAGATTCTGCAACGCGAGCAGATTAATGACAGGAGAAGGCGGATATTACTTCACGAATCTGGTAAATTTTACAGCAATATTCGTCACAAATGTTGTTCTCATGTTTTAATAATACAAATATAAACTGAAGTAAATAACATTTTTTAGTGTTGCGCTGTATCTTTCATTGAAAATTTAACAGCAGAATCATTGAACATGGATGAAACAGATTTCAATGCCTACATGTCCGGAGAACGAGTACCTGCTAATACTTGGGAATCTGCTTTAATGATATGTGAAGTACATATTGAATTTTTTTCAATCGAATTATTTTCAATTCATTAAAATATCTATCTTTCGCTTAATACACGTTAATTGTTTATTCAGAGTTTGCATTTAATGTGCGAGGATATAACGCTTCTTGACGAAATGAAAGCAAAAACTGCAGAAATAATGGATATAACATTGAATTTGAAAGAGAAAATGTTACTATTTCAAGAGGAACTCGAATCGGAAGTAAATACAGTTTTGGAAAGAACTCCGTTGTTGATCACGCACAGTCAAAGATTGCCTACCAATTTGGATTGCGAAGATATCGAAAGCTACCAATTACCACCGCCGATAATTCCTCAAGTAAATCATTTATTTAAAATTAATGATTTTACGGTAAACAGTTAATTTTAACTATTAATTTCAGGTTTGTTCTACCGCAATTAGTAATTCTACGCAACAAAACGACGTAAGAACAACTTTAATAGAAGATTGTGTTACGCCGTCGCCCACGTTTGATTTTCCCTCTTTCGTGGTGGATGACAACAGCTTCGATGCGAGCAAAGCAGAGGATGAAACTAGTCTCATAAGTTTAGACACGCAATGCGACTTTGACAGCCAAAAGGAAAAGTTTAAAAACGATTTATCAGTATCTACTCGCTTGAATGCATCGTCTACCGCTGAATCGGAAAAGGAGGATTATCATGGATTTACTGTCCAGGGATCAAGTATACCTACGATTCCTTGTAATACAGGAGATTTATCTCTTAATTCTACAGAAATGGATTCTGAGAATTATCCAAGCTATTTTCATAATGTATAGAAACATTTTATTTAAATCAAATAAGGACTTGAAAATTGTTATTTAATCTTTATAAACAGATCGTACACTTTTGTAAAAGGAACATTCAATTCTGGCACAAGTCACTAAAAATTATGATTTTGTACGTTCTAACAAAATTTCAGCAAGTTGTATAATCTCTTTTGAAAATTTTCAATCTAGTTATTCCTTTAAACGCGCATATAAATTACAACATAAATTATAATAAAATTAGTAATTTGTTGATTATCAACATTTGATGAAACTATAATAGGTGTAGAATTAAATTTAATAAAACTATTTATTAAACTTATTTAAATTAGAAAATAAAATCCTATTTAGCAACCAGGAGTTAAAATTATGTAACTTATTAAAAAATAATTGCAAATAAATACTTTTTACAAAAGTTATACTCCGACAGCTTTTATAAATATACGTTTTATTCTATATATTACATATTCAAATTGACTAAGAAATCAATTTTTTCCAATACAAATGTAGAGGAAGTAAATTGTCTCTTGTTTGTAAACGCGTATCAAAAATATTAAAGTCTACTCTTCTCAATTTTTTCAAATACCTTTCCAGACAAACTATGGGTAAAAATATCAAACCCACATTTTTTTCCACTTTACTTTTTAGAGAAATTGCCTATAAACAACAAAAGTGTTTGAATTAAAGTACAAGAAACGAAATATAATTTTCCCCCGCTTAATTAATTATTTAGTTCCATTACAATTTCGTCGTAAAGAAAATATTTACCGCATCTAAATGCAGTTTCCCATAAGACGCAACGTCGTATATCACGTTTTGGAAATCCTTACTCGGTTGACCTTGAAATACGGCTTCCGTAGAAACACCGTATTTCATTAAAATATCTTCTGGCAACATATTTACTCTATTTCTAGCATTATAAGGAATCGATCGAATTAAGGTAATGATTCCTTGCGCTTTGCCCATATGACTCGCAGCATGATCTGCATTAATGTTTTTTATACCGTGTGCTTCTAATAATAAATAATAAATGGAAGAAGTACTGTACTCTGCATATTTTTCTATCGTGCTAATATCGTAAAATGGACTGCCACAGAGCCTTTCTAAACGAACATCAATTAGACGTTTGAAATAATGTTTGGAAAGGGAATGCTTCTGCAGAATCTATAAATAATCTCGTTACAAACTAATTTTAGTCATCATCCATACCGATAACATAATTTTAGTAATTTGGAAACCTAAAATGAAAATTTTACCCTATGTAATTCCAAAATGACAGGACTTCTTTGAGGAGTTCCCTTGTATGCATTATTTAATGCATCCGTCCAGAATTGTAGTCTCATTTTTCCTATATTACGATCATGTACTTGATCTTGTACTTGAGCCACTTCTATGTTAAATGCACGAATTGCAAACGCAGATTGTCTAGCATTTTGTTGCAGTAATAATGAACACAAAAAATTTTCATAATCATGTTTTCTAAAAAAGATAAACAACGATATGATTTACAATTAAAGTGTATTCTACAATTTGTATGTTTCGTTGTATAACGATGAAAGAAATAATCTATTTTATAAGTAGAGAGAATTAGTATACCTAACTAATTCAAAACAATATTCAGCCGGCGTTTGTTTTGCATGTACACTTGCATACCTTGAAACATATGATAATACATTTCGTTCAATATAGAGTAAACTTCGGCCCATACCTAATTTCTTTGTATAGCCGTGTAAACGTAATCAGTAAGTACGTGTACTGACAATCTAGGGTATTTTTCTAGCTTTGGAAAATTGCACTGAGCAGTTGATACAGTATTGCAATGTACCTGCATACTGATCTTTATATAGAGATCAATGTTTCAAGTTGAAACTTTCAACGTCACTCGTTAACGAGTACATACGACGAATATCTCTCGAATATTGTTCTCGCTCAGTGATGCCAGAAAAGCACCGTCGGGTGCACACTCCACATGCCAGATACGCGTACATACGTGAGCTCGTGGAGTTTCGAAAAGACGACAAAGGCAAACTGACGCATGCCCTCTTTCTCGATTCTCCGAAGCTGCCCGAAGTAATTTCGGACCGCTTCGTGGAAGTCGAGAGAGAAAGGCTCACATTTGCCTTCTCGCTCCCACACAACAGAAATCCGATCTCCCGTCAACGGCATACGATTTGGATTCTCGACTGCCCAGGCATTTTTACTTTCCGACCTATGTACTTAGGCGCACATAAGCAAAGTACCCATAGTGAAAAAAAAATTTTGTAAAATTTATTTTACGGAAATACACGTTTTAAGACCTCCTGATCATATTTTAATTATTGAAAAAAAAGAAATTTTTTTTTATTCCCATGTATGAGCACACATATGTATATTATTAATACGATTTTTGAAAATAAAAAAAGTAAAACTTATCTGATTGAAATTTTTTGTAGAAGTTGAGCTGATGAATACATAGAAAAAAGTATTAGACAACATTTAATTTTGATTTCGATTAAAAATCAAATTTATATTGTTTTAAATTCGCAGCCATTAGCTCGGTGTTACCCATAATGAAGAAGTTGTTCTTCAAAGGTAACACCGATTACCAGGTCTCACCACGAGGAGGTTGCTGCGAGTGGAGACCCAAAGTGAGATCGATGGAACAAAGTTCGATCGACCTTCCTTTTTACACACTAGATTACGCAAAAAAAAAGATGCCAAGTAATTACTGTTCTAAAACAAAGGAGGAAGGTAAATTGTGGGAGACGCGACACGACGAAACGCGACACAATACTGCACAGTGCAGTAGGAACATGAGGTGCGACACGTACCGAATAGCGGGTCAAAAGGGGCAGCTCGTTACCTCTTAGCAAGTCCAATTGAAGGGGAGGAGAATCGACGCACCAGACACGGGTTCCCCATTTCTCCAACGCGTCCTGCTGGGAGCCCGTAGGACCCAACCCGGGACGTCTTACACAGGAGAGAGATCCTGAGTCGGGGCTACCGCAGACAGGAACAGGTCCCCTCTACGGCCGATGACTCTTTCCCTAGAATTGTCTCACCAGAGGACGGCAACCGACCCTTCGAACCATCTAAACGGCCGATCACTTGCTTTCTACATTAAAGCAGCGGTGACCGGAGAAACGAGACTGGAAAAGAAGCTATTAATGAATTCATTACTTGGCAATCTACGCAGTAAATAAAATAATATACAATGTAAATTGAAAATTAACGTCGTAGGTGGAATTAATGAGATTAAGGAATTGAAATGAACATAGGAATGAATAAGAAAGGAAAAAGAAATATTCGACGTTAATTTTTACACTCGCGCCGCGCCTTAAATTTAATGCCCTTACGTGCAGATGAATCCGAAGTCCTCTATCTAAAAATTGACCTGAATAAAAACTAAAATAAAAATTAGTAGTTAAACAAACAAATTAATTAATAATAAATAATAAATATAAGGACAAAGAAACAAATATACAATCAAGAAGAGAATCATTTGGAAAATAACAACCCCACGATGTTGAAAATGAGGAAAATGAGGAAAATGAGGAAAAATAACAACCCAACGATGAAGAAACCAAGAACAGAATAATTTAAAAAATATCGACCCAACGATGTAAAAAAACGATGTAAAAAAGCTGAAATAAAAATAATTGATTCATTAACGAGACGAACAACCCAAATAGAGTACATCACCTATATATATATATAAACAAAAAAGACAATGTTGGGATTAGTTGTATTAATATAATTACATGTATACCAAACGGTGATCCTTCCTGGTCAGCATCGCAGAATCAGACAATCTGAAACAGAAATTACGCGTGACAGTACCCCTGGCGGTTACAGGAGTACTGAAAAGAGTTGCCCAGCTGTGTCCACTTTTATGCAGTCAAGCCAAAGTATCAACGAGCCAATCAGCAGCCAGTCCGCTGGGGGCGACACTCCGATAGGGCGACACTTGCTTCACCTAAGTTGATAAGAGACCCCCCTGTGGCCCTCGCGCGGGAGTTATCTCCCAACCACCAAGCAAGACGGACCGTATCGAGATGAAGAATTTAATCGAAGATTTACATTCGATCAAAATCGAAGATGGCGGCCAAGAAGATGTTTCACGAGCAGCGGCCAAGGGACAAAACCGGTCTTTTTAAAGACCAAGAAAATCTCATTTGTGGGAACAACTTATGCAATGAACTGAACAACTTTTATATTTAACAACTCAGAGACTTTTTACATCTCTGTTTTGGATCAACTTTTATATTTAACAACTCAGAGACTTTTTACATCTCTGTTTTGGAACAACTTGTGTAATAAAACTGAACATGGTATATTTGCCTATATAGGCGAAAAATATACAAATACAAATTGAATTTATTGAATTGATATTAAGTAAACATTCTTTGCTATAAGATCAAAAAATTATTATTTGAAATAGTAGAACAATTAGAAAATAAATCGTTTGAAAATAATTTCGAAAGTCTTACTTGATAAACTATATTCAAACGATTTATTTCCAAAGTATTGTTTTATGTCAAACATGATCAGGGGGTCTTGAAACGTGTATTTACGTGTCAATTTTTCATTCATTATGGGCTTTGGTTATATATTTGTGTCTATATAACTTGAATTTAAATTCAAATGGTAATGAAAAATCAATGACGCATGTTTGTACATTATTTTTTAATCCTGGACTGAATAACCACAACGTGTTTAAATGATTGAATAATTTGCCGTCTGTGCACTCAGCTTTTACTAAAGGTTAGAAATGATAAATATATGCAGCATGAGAATGTACTCGTTTCTTATTGAATTTACAAATTATTGTAATGAATAATGACAATAATTTTCGATAATAAGTAGTAATGATGCATAGAAAAAGGAAAAATGACGATTAAATTTATATAAATTAGGTTCTATACATTGTGTTCATGGTTTTTACGCCGAGAATAGTCTGGCTATTAGATTCGAAAGTACATATCTTCGTCTGCACTAAAATATTCTGTATCATTATCGTCTGTATTTCGGTCGGACTTTGCTTTTTTCTTTGGACTTTGGTCTTTGTTTCTTACGGAGATTGATTTCATTTTGAAGATATGATGCAAACAAAGGCGTTACTGTCGATAAAAGTGTAAAAAACACCCTCCATAGGCTTGGAGAATTTTCGAGGATTGTATTTATATAACCTTCCATGTCGTACTGTGTTTTAAAATTATTAGCTATATTGTACAATAGAGTACCATTGAATAAATTGGCCGTTTCAATCTGTGGATAAGGGTAGCCTAATAATGCATTCAAATTCATACTGTGTCTCAAACAATTTTCAAACACCGCAAATGCATGAACAATAGATCTATTAAATTTTTTTGGATTTGTATACAATTTTCGATTCATCTCGAAATGGGAAATAAGAAATGGTGCTGCCATTAAACAATCATCAGGATCAACATTTTTACAAGCTTCATAAAGTGTACCAACATGTATTGAATAATGTGGTTTACACGCACTCGTTTTTCTTATCTGCTTTATATTTTGAATTTTTGTACCATATTTCTTTTGAAAATTATGTATAATTCTATGTTTCCCAATTATTGTATCGATTATAATTGAATAATAAACAGACAAATATAGAATACACCAAACATTTATCTGATTTGTATAACTGATCCTGTTTTATCCAATACCGAGCACATGCAATATGCAACATCCATTCTGGTGGTAGTCCGTATATGTATACATTCTATGTTTCTAATCTCTAATGTATCATTTAAAATTTCTCTTCGAATCCTTAATGGTACTTCTCTAAGATTAGATAGGGACAGTAATGGGGAAGAAAATTTAGTGTCAGTGCCTTCTAGTTCGTAACATTTCAGCTTTTTATTACAGTCTCTCATCATGTATTTCATGAAACCTCTCCTTCTATTCATTCCTGATTACAGAAATGCATATATAACTCTAATAATTTTTAAACTTATTACATTGCTCAATGGATAGGAATAATCCTCTATTTGTACAGGACAAATATATAAACGTCGAACCAACAAGTCCATAAAATATGCAGGATAATTGCCCATAAGATATTCATCTACAAACAAATTAGGTACATCAGCTAGTGCATTATTGGTAGCAGATTCTGACCCCTTTAAGCATGTCTAATATTTCAACTTCGTTTTCTTCCTCTTCTTCTTTTTCTTCGGGTGATTCAAAGTCTCCATTTTTATCAGTTTCTTCCATGTACATTAGACTATTAACATCTCCATCAAATTTAAAAATTCTGTTTATGGAATGTGTTGTGGCACGAGCTGCATATTCCTGTAAAAACCCCAATGGAAGTAAGCAAGTATTTCTGTAGATGCATTTGTATAGCCATTTATATTGATTTCTATTATGCTTAATATTTTTTGTCTTACGGTTTTAGGTGATTTACATAGTATTCCAATGACTGCTCTGTCCAAGGTGTAAAATCCGCTCAACCATTGTAAAGTTGCTTCTATACAATACTGTCGATTACTATACCTTTTTCTTGTTATTCGTCGTAACTTTAAATAACGAAAGAAGTTTCTAAATGTACCACGTTTTACATAATCATTGCCTAGTAATATTGCAGCTTATGGCAGTGTAGATTGACTTAGACCTCTATAAGAATTTAATAAGTGTTCAACTTTATAAATTTTACAACGTTTCGTGTAACCATTTCCAGTTGAACTTTTCACCGTGTAATTGTCCAATGTATCAAATGGTATGTACAATGTCCCAAACACATAAAAATCTGAATCATAACTCGATACAGGACAATTCAATATCCTTGCTACAGTAGCTATAGCATTATCAGCTTCGAATAAGCATTGCACATGACGAATATTCTTCTTTCTCGTAACATCTTTGAAAACTTCCTAAATATGTAAAGGAAAAAATTTCATTTTCTGTTGACAGATCGGAGAATAAGATGATGCTGTACGAACCTTTTCTCTAGTTCTAGATGTAACTGTTTGCAGTTTCTTATCCTCGCAACCACAATCGATCAAAACTAATGATACTGCATTGCACTTTATCAAATCGTCAAAAAAATCCGTAACTCGTTGAGCGTAATTATCGTAATCACCGACAAAAACACAATTGCACTTGTACGAATTATATATTTGACAGCTAAATAACTAAATACGTATCACGTAGCTCGAACTATTCCAAATAACGATCTGAACGATTGTTTATGAAAGTTGTTAAACCCGGAATACCCATTTTGAAACCTATTTATTAATTTACACTTTTCTTAATGTTTCATATCACAAACTAAGTTCGTTATGCGTATATCAATATTAGTTATTATGTATTTATACATAGGTTGCATGTAACAGGTACTCAAATTTTGTGTCATTCGTTATTTTATTTGAATCAAAAGTTTGTTAAATATTATACTTTCACTACTTGGATAAATCAAAGAAATACAAGAGCCGTGCATAATGTTTTTGCATTGATCTTTACGATATTACAAACCGGTATAATAAAAAATAAAATTAGATAGTATACTGATCTTGCATAATTAAGTGCATTGACGGGCGACAATACTAACGACGAATTTCCTTCCTATATGTATAGGCAAATATACCATGTTCAGTTTTATTACATAAGTTGTTCTATAACAGAGATGTAAAGTGTCTCTGAGTTGTTAAATATAAAAGTTGTTACAAAACAGTGATGTAAAGTGTCTCTGAATTGTTAAATATAAAAGTTGTTACAAAACAGAGATGTAAAGTGTCTCTGAATTGTTAAATATAAAAGTTGTTACAAAACAGAGATGTAAAGTGTCTCTGAGTTGTTAAATATAAAAGTTGTTACAAAACAGAGATGTAAAGTGTCTCTGAGTTGTTAAATACAAAAGTTGCTACAAAACAGTGATGTAAAGTGTCTCTGAATTGTTAAATATAAAAGTTGTTACAAAACAGAGATGTAAAGTGTCTCTGAGTTGTTAAATATAAAAGTTGTTCAGTTCATTGCATAAGTTGTTCCCACAAATGAGATTTTCTTGGTCTTTAAAAAGACCGGTTTTGTCCCTTGGCCGCTGCTCGTGAAACATCTTCTTGGCCGCCATCTTCGATTTTGATCGAATGTAAATCTTCGATTAAATTCTTCATCTCGATACGGTCCGTCTTGCTTGGTGGTTGGGAGATAACTCCCGCGCGAGGGCCACAGGGGGGTCTCTTATCAACTTAGGTGAAGCAAGTGTCGCCCTATCGGAGTGTCGCCCCCATCGGACTGGCTGCTGATTGGCTCGTTGATACTTTGGCTTGACTGCATAAAAGTGGACACAGCTGGGCAACTCTTTTCAGTACTCCTGTAACCGCCAGGAGTACTGTCACGCGTAATTTCTGTTTCAGATTGTCTGATTCTGCGATGCTGACCAGGAAGGATCACCGTTTGGTATACATGTAATTATATTAATACAACTAATCCCAACATTGTCTTTTTTGTTTATATATATATATAGGTGATGTACTCTATTTGGGTTGTTCGTCTCGTTAATGAATCAATTATTTTTATTTCAGCTTTTTTACATCGTTGGGTCGATATTTTTTAAATTATTCTGTTCTTGGTTTCTTCATCGTTGGGTTGTTATTTTTCCTCATTTTCCTCATTTTCCTCATTTTCAACATCGTGGGGTTGTTATTTTCCAAATGATTCTCTTCTTGATTGTATATTTGTTTCTTTGTCCTTATATTTATTATTTATTATTAATTAATTTGTTTGTTTAACTACTAATTTTTATTTTAGTTTTTATTCAGGTCAATTTTTAGATAGAGGACTTCGGATTCATCTGCACGTAAGGGCATTAAATTTAAGGCGCGGCGCGAGTGTAAAAATTAACGTCGAATATTTCTTTTTCCTTTCTTATTCATTCCTATGTTCATTTCAATTCCTTAATCTCATTAATTCCACCTACGACGTTAATTTTCAATTTACATTGTATATTATTTTATTTACTGCGTAGATTGCCAAGTAATGAATTCATTAATAGCTTCTTTTCCAGTCTCGTTTCTCCGGTCACCGCTGCTTTAATGTAGAAAGCAAGTGATCGGCCGTTTAGATGGTTCGAAGGGTCGGTTGCCGTCCTCTGGTGAGACAATTCTAGGGAAAGAGTCATCGGCCGTAGAGGGGACCTGTTCCTGTCTGCGGTAGCCCCGACTCAGGATCTCTCTCCTGTGTAAGACGTCCCGGGTTGGGTCCTACGGGCTCCCAGCAGGACGCGTTGGAGAAATGGGGAACCCGTGTCTGGTGCGTCGATTCTCCTCCCCTTCAATTGGACTTGCTAAGAGGTAACGAGCTGCCCCTTTTGACCCGCTATTCGGTACGTGTCGCACCTCATGTTCCTACTGCACTGTGCAGTATTGTGTCGCGTTTCGTCGTGTCGCGTCTCCCACAATTTACCTTCCTCCTTTGTTTTAGAACAGTAATTACTTGGCATCTTTTTTTTTGCGTAATCTAGTGTGTAAAAAGGAAGGTCGATCGAACTTTGTTCCATCGATCTCACTTTGGGTCTCCACTCGCAGCAACCTCCTCGTGGTGAGACCTGGTAATCGGTGTTACCTTTGAAGAACAACTTCTTCATTATGGGTAACACCGAGCTAATGGCTGCGAATTTAAAACAATATAAATTTGATTTTTAATCGAAATCAAAATTAAATGTTGTCTAATACTTTTTTCTATGTATTCATCAGCTCAACTTCTACAAAAAATTTCAATCAGATAAGTTTTACTTTTTTTATTTTCAAAAATCGTATTAATAATATACATATGTATGTGTGCTCATACATGGGAATAAAAAAAAATTTCTTTTTTTTCAATAATTAAAATATGATCAGGAGGTCTTAAAACGTGTATTTCCGTAAAATAAATTTTACAAAATTTTTTTTTCACTATGGGTACTTTGCTTATGTGCGCCTAAGTACATAGGTCGGAAAGTAAAAATGCCTGGGCAGTCGAGAATCCAAATCGTATGCCGTTGACGGGAGATCGGATTTCAGTTGTGTGGGAGCGAGAAGGCAAATGTGAGCCTTTCTCTTTCGACTTCCACGAAGCGGTCCGAAATTACTTCGGGCAGCTTCGGAGAATCGAGAAAGAGGGCATGCGTCAGTTTGCCTTTGTCGTCTTTTCGAAACTCCACGAGCTCACGTATGTACGCGTATCTGGCATGTGGAGTGTGCACCCGACGGTGCTTTTCTGGCATCACTGTTCTCGCTTATTGTTAGTTATTTTATACGGTAGTAATAAATCGTGATTGTTATTATTAAGTTTGTTTCGAATTAAGATTAGACATTGAAAGAAATCGTAATTATTTCCGAAACAATTGAAATTAAATCACTATCGCAATTTTTATTTTTCAACCGTTACTCTGCAACCATTCCAACAGTACGCAATTTATACTTTTAAAAAACTACTTCTCTTTGCACTACTCCTTGTTCCTTTATATTTTAGATAGAAATACTTATAAAATGTGTTTAGTATTAATGTTTGTGCAATGTGTAGGTATTAAAATTATAATATTTTGAATGCTATTTATCTTTACCCTTCCTTACTTTTCCATTAATTTCTTATAACATTATAAATGGTCACAACAGCGGTCTGTAATGATCAGTTATTAATTAAATATATGTGTATTCGAACGACAAATAAATGTAATTCTTTTCGAAAATTAAGCATCCCATGGAATCTACCTGCCTGACCCAATTTACGAGACACCCTGTATCTGTACTGCATACGTACGGCTACGTGGCAAGAAGGACTTGTTCATACATGATAGCTTCAGATTTTTTTAAATGATTAAGTTTATTGTAATATAGTTTTTGCTATTCTTGTAATACATTCGAAAAGTTATTTTCTGAAGTTTAGTTTAGTTCGTATACCTATTGCATGCATTTTTATTTAAGGTAACTAATATTTTAATGTTTGCCGACTTCTGTCGCTACAATATTTCAACAGACACATATAATAATTTTACGAGAATCATGTAAACACCGAACAGTAATAAGTTTCTATGGTAATTTTCGGGATGTTTAAAATATTTTCTAATATGTTTTTACTTATTTCTGTTGCGCGTGCAAAAATTTCTATTCTTGTCAAAAGTTTTCAATATTTGACTGATTGTAACTACATTTACGAATTGAAAGGTCATTCGCTGCTCTTATATTCACATACATGTATATGCCCAGTATGTAACGTATTAAATGTTTCGTGTAATTACACTTGTAAATTTTTATTTTCAGATACAATCATCTTGAGCAAAATGAGAATTGTGCAGTTTAAAAGGAATCGCTTTTTCAATATTATTGTCTACAGTATACTTGCTCTTTTTATCTTATATGCTATCTTCGATTTTTTCGTCGATAAACCAATTAATTTAAGAGAATATTGGTCAGAGAGCCTAAAAAGTAAAAAGGTAAATGAAATGTTTGATTTTTTTAGATAATGTTAACCTACATTGCCTTCAAAATTTATATATTATTTTTCCACATTTTATTTAGAAAGTTTATGTTAATTTTAATATTGTCTTTTAGCTTCCAGTTCTAGCAAAGGATCTTGGAAACTTTGATCCACAAAATGTACCTGTTAGAAGTGGTTTTGGAGAGGGGGGTAAACGTCATATTTTAAGAGACGACCAACAAAATGATGTTCAACAGTCAGAGTCTGAATATGGTATGAACATGGTATGTTCCGATGAAATTTCATTGGACAGATCGATTCCGGATACAAGAATGCCAGAGTAAGTTTCTACTAATGTCATCCTTTTTTGTTTTTTTTTAGCAAACTTGAAATTTTACAATAGTTTATAAAAATATTGAGCTAATAAAAGATCTGTTTAATTATCAGATGTAAACATTGGAATTATTCAGAGGTACTTCCTAAAACCAGTGTAATCATAGTATTTCACAACGAAGGCTGGTCTGTATTAATGAGAACTGTACACAGCGTGATGAATCGTACTCCCCCTCAATTTCTAGAGGAAATTTTATTAGTAGATGACTTCTCCGATAAAGGTAAATGAAATATATTTTTATTTATAAGAGAAATTTTTTATAATTTGTTATATAATTAAAAAATAGATATCAAACGATACAGAAGAGAAAAGACTGATTATTCTCAAAATTAATACGTGTTTGTACAGATAATTTGAAAGGTGATTTAGAATCCTACATAGAACAATGGGAAGGCAAAGTTAAATTGATAAGAAATTATGAAAGACAAGGTTTGATAAGAACACGATCACGTGGTGCGCGCGAGGCTAAGGGCGAAGTTATAGTATTTTTGGATGCTCACTGTGAAGTCAATGTTAACTGGTTACCCCCTCTTTTAGCTCCAATAGCTGTTGATAGGTAATTATATTCTTAATATTCTTTCGAAATTATTTAGTTTCAACTATATATATCTTATACAGTAAAATTTTGATTTGGTAAACTAGTTGGAGTTTAGAAAGAGTTTATCAAATTCGAATGTCCGTAATACACTATGCGCCAAAAGTAAGGGATCGTTCATTTTGGTGCTTAGTGTATAGTGTATAACAGGGAAAATGTCACTAAACGTTCTATGTTTTTAGAACTGTAATGACAGTGCCCATAATAGATGGTATTGACCATAAAACTTTCGAATATCGGCCCGTGTACCAAGAAGGACACTTATATCGAGGTATTTTCGAATGGGGAATGTTATATAAGGAAAATGAGCTCCCTGCGCGAGAACAAAAAACCCGACCTTATAACAGCATGCCGTACAAGTAATTTCTGTTAAAACAGATATCCTTAGACAGTTAGTACAAAATTATTTGGCATGTACATATTAGGTAACACTTAATTTAGGTCCCCTACTCACGCTGGTGGTTTATTTGCAATAAATCGTGAATACTTTTTGTCGCTGGGTGGATACGATGACGGATTGCTCGTTTGGGGTGGAGAGAACTTTGAATTGTCATTTAAAATATGGCAGTGTGGAGGAAGTATTCTCTGGGTACCGTGTTCGCACGTTGGTCATGTATATAGAGGATTTATGCCTTATACGTTCGGTAAATTGGCTCAAAAAAAGAAAGGACCACTAATAACCATGGTAAGTAAAACAATTCTATATCCTTATAGTAAACATACGTATTTTATAGAATGTGTGCATTCTTTTCATGTCACAGAATAACTAATAAAAAAGATCGTGTTAAATAATAATTTATCGCATAGTTGTATGGATCATAAATTTGTTTTTAGAACTACAAGAGAGTTATTGAAACTTGGTTCGATGACAAATACAAAGAATTCTTTTATACAAGAGAACCTTTGGCTCAACTCCTCGACCATGGCGATATAACTGAACAATTACTGTTTAAAAAACGAAAGAAATGTAAAAGTTTTCAGTGGTATATGGAAAATGTGGCTTACGATGTTTTTGATAAATTTCCAGAATTGCCGCCAAATCTTCATTGGGGAGAGGTAACAGTTGAAATGCCTACATATAATATTTTACTTGAATTTAATTACAAACTTTTCTTTTTCTTTTTCTTTTCTTTCATTCGAATTTTTCAATTTTAGTTACGAAATGTGGCGACAGGGAGGTGTTTGGATACAATGGGCAATTCGCCTCCCAGTTTAATGGCTACATCTCACTGCCATGGGTTTGGTAACAATCAGGTAAGCTTAATTTACCTTCAAGTTTACTATATTTGTATATAAATAGTGATTTATATAACGATATCGTTCAGTTGATCAGATTAAACACGAAAGGTCAATTAGGAATAGGAGAACGATGTGTGTCGGCCGACGGACAAGGAGTAAAATACGTATTTTGTCGATTAGGAACAGTAGATGGTCCGTGGCAGTACGACGAAGTAAGAACCAATGAATACATTTTACATTATAAAATAAAAAGTTCGTTTTGAAAAGAATTAAAAATTTTGATTAATCTTACAGAAAACGAAAACGCTTTTGCACAGAGTACATAAAAAATGTATAGCACTTCATCCTCAGACTCAACAATTATCTCTAATGCCATGTGATGTCAATAATACGTATCAGCAATGGTCTTTCCATAAAATTCGTCCACGGTGGTGAAGAAATGTGAGTATCAGAGTTATTCGCATATGAAGCATATTTCACGCCAAATTAAGTATCTAACGAACTCTGGTTAAGACGCGTCATTTTTACGGTTTCCTCGATAAAAAAAAGAAAATCGAATATTTGAACAGAATCAGAAAATCGCGGTACAGGTCATCTTAAAAATGTTATAGGCTATGAACAATCGCAGAATACTGGTGCTGTATAATTTTAACACTATTGGAGTAAGATTTACGACTGTATTTATGATGGAGATTATTTAATCGTTGAGATTATTCCAAGTAATATTTGTGTTTATACACAAAGCGTTTAAATGCAATATATAATGTCAATAACTTACGATCTTCAATGAAAATAACAAATTTTCTATATCGAGATACGATTATATTTGGAATCATTTTACATGTTTCCTCTGTGATGTCGAATAAACTTTCTACATTGTAGTTCGTCTTATGTCACTGTAAATTAAGTTTTGCTTTCTTTAAATCGGTTCTTCGCGAAATTGAATAAAATTATTAAAGTCATCTATTTCATGATCAAGTATGCATATTACATTCGAAACAAAAAAAAAAAGAGAAAAAAAAGAAAGACTGTTATCTTATAAGAATTATTTTGAATGTACATAGACCATTTTGGAGTACATTTTTCTTGCATCATCATGAGAACATGTGCTTCCATTTTTTACTGTTTCCTATTAAAAAAGTATGTTGACGGTGTAGTTTTGTAATTTTTTTAAATTATTCAACGCATACATTCAGACAAGAAGTTACTTAGCATAATGTAAAGAAAACGTAATAAATGTTTTTTAAAGATAATGTATTAATAAAATGGCACAAATATAACGATTTGTCATAATTTTCTGTTTTCTAAAACATTGTATCTTATGTTGCTTCGCACGTTCACAGCCTGAAATTCTTTCATATTCTTAAACATATGTATTATTATTGCCTTACAGCCGTTGTTAACGTTACTTATTATGGAAAAACAATTTTTTAGTATTCTACTTGCTAATTCTTATTTCTTAAATTGCCTAATAAGTGCTTGGCAGTATATAAACGTTAACTCTATCGATGTATAATAATTTATTATTATTAAATTTTTTATTTCTATATATTATTGATTCCGTCTTGAATGATTTCACGTAATTTATACGTTACAGTCAAATCCGATTGTACATACCTAGTTGTAACATTTGTATTTCTCATCTATAAACACGGTCAATCTAAAAGTCTAAGTGACAAAGACAATGGAGTGACCCGAGTTTCTAAAGTAGCTGGTCGTACAGATACCTAGAATAATATACTTTTACATATTTAGATATTTGAAAAATTATTTTTAAAAAGACATTCACCTTATTGCGGTCTCGTATGTTAAACGCTCCATAAACGATAGGATTCATGCAAGAATTTGTGCACGCAAATAGAAAGAGGCCTTTTTGGATTCGTTGATCAACTTTATATGCGGAATGCCGATCAATCCAATACCTAGCAATAACATTCATACTTTTTTTTGTTAACTTTATATATGTCTAGGGTAAATGAACTTCGATAGATCGAACTTCTGCTTACCAAAGGCTCATAATGTAATATGGTGTCCAGCAAATGAAAAATACAGCAACAATAATTACCGTCATCTTTAAAGTTCGTATTTTTGCTCGTGTCAGAAATCCCATGGAGGATCGACGAATTTTATCTAAAATCGATGTAAATGTTTCTAATTTTTCTTCTATACAGAGTGTTAATAAGAATTACTATCTGAAATAATTCGTTATTTGTTCGTTGCATCAAAGAATGTTTTAAATAGAATACATTGTATTTTAGGGGGATCGTCGAATGGATATATGTATAGTTACCCCTCTTAAATACAATAAATTTCATTTGAAACATTTTTTGATAATGTGAATAGTTAATGAAATATTTCAGGTGGTTTTCTCCTTGACTCAACCTGTATAATTATCATACAAATCGATTATGATTAAAAATATTCTACTTAAAACGATACAGTTACAATTAATTGAGATAAATTGATTCAGGCTTATTTTTATATTTTTCAACATACCGTGTTCACTTTTTCTCGTTCTTCTACGTATTTCCAGTAAAATACTTGTGTAAGTGTATATTATCACAAAAAGAGGAACACAATACATCATGACCATTCCAAAGAGGGAATACGTTATTTCGTGAGTATATGTTGGAAAAATGTTAAATGTGACGCACTGTGAATACCAAGTGATATTCGGGTGGGTTTCCAGGTGAAATACTACCATCTAAAAATAATATGCAATACATGTAGGTACAAATAATTTTTGTCGAGTTCCAAGACGAGTGATACTAATTAGTTGATACCTGAGGCATCGAGCATAACATGGATCCTACCCACGCGAAGCATAGCATAATTTTTCCTCTTTTATCGACGTCCCAGAGTTGGAGGGGTCGTATTATGGCATAATATCTAAAGTAGAATATTACGAACCATTATGAAGTAAGTGTGACCTTTGCCTAAATTTTACAGAACACTAAGACAAAATAATTTTCTATTACATTATACAGGATGATTTGTTATTAGTGGTACGACTGAAAAGGACAATGATCCCTAAGTGAATAACTTGTAAAGATTTTACGCGGTTTATTATATAGTATAAAGAAAAATAAGAAGTTAATTAAAAAAATAATGTTAACAATTTATTTATGACATTTCGATGATCTCGTACAATTATTTAGTTTTAATTTGAATAACGATAGAAACCCTTATGGTGCCAGTAGTTAAGCAACACCTTCAAGCTAAAAAGGGATTAGCGTGAAGAAGACGATTTACGCTAGCGTACGTATTATCGCTAGTTACCCTGTTTTACAGTGATTTATCTGGCATCAAAAGGGTTGCAGTAAATTGAAAATTTGATCATTTCCAATAATTATACTGACCTGTCCATACTTATGCATACCAAAATGAAGGATGATAAGTACAAACCAAATACCCTGAAGAAAGCCATTATTCGACACATTGCATCTCCTGCTTTCCAGGATACTGTGATTGCCCAACCAATCTCAAGTGGCATCATTAGAAAAGTAACCTGAATTTAATAATAAATATTTAATAAATAAATAGATAACATGCCTTTACAGCTCGAATTAGGGATATTAAGATTTGATGTGTTAATATAATTTTTTTTTAATCTCAAAGATGGAAAAAAAGACGAAAAAAATTCATTTTTAAAGTGTTACCAATTTTTTAAACATCGAGATATTGAATTTTGTTTTAGTTCAGTTCCTCCTATAGTTTTTAATATATCATGCTAAAAAAATTTGTATATATCGTCAAATGATAAATAACAAAGGAAGCGAAACATTCGTATTGAAAAGTCTCGCGGTTTTTTCATAAAAAAATTCACAAAGTTTGCCTATTTTCCCGTCTACTTTATCAGAATACCCCCCTTAAATTGTGTAGTCCTAAATGGCTGTAAATAATTGTTACATAGGGTTTCGAAAAACCAAAAAGATGACTGTTAATAAAAAAAAAAGATATTGGAGTCATACTTACAAGTAAATCGGCAATCGCAAGGTGCATCAACATTATATGTATTCTTGATTTTGATGCACGTTTACGCCGCATAATTAACACTAACACTGTTGTGTTTCCCACGGCAGATACTATCATCAACGCGCTGTAAATGATGATACTAACAACGTGACCTTCGTTGAAGCGCATATCAATCGGTAGCTCCACATTGTTTGAATTGTTGGTCCTCGAATTGGGTAATTCCGTAGAACAAGGAATTTTTACAGTACTCCCCATAGTGTTCCTTAAAGTTTAAAAAACTTCTTCTTGGCAAATTGACCAGTTCATAAAATATTGGATCATTTCACGTTAAATCGACCATTTCTTGAGCCCGATATAAAAGATTTTGGAAAAAAATAAAATATGATATTGTCCATGTAAAGTTAGAAGAAGAGTCTTCAGTCTTCCTCTTGCTTTGGCAATGCTGATCAATATTGGTAACTTACCTTGCTGACATTTGAATGACTATTGACTGTCTTTTTTCTGTAACTTGAAGTCTAATCAATAGATATTTTAATTAATGTATGATCTTTGTTCGAATTCTTGGAACATTCGTTAGCGAATATCATACTAAACGATCATACCACTTTTTGTTTTTCATCAGATTATAAATTGAACAACTTTCCAACGTCGATTTGTTCATTGAATTATCATTTTACTTGCATTTGTTTATTCTCAATATATTGCTGTTATTCCAGAATTCTGTAAGATATGTGTAATCATTAAATTATCTTCTTCGTATTCTTCGGTAAGGCATCCGTCGTTCTAAATATTCCATCTGCAGATTTCTTCTCTTTGAGTTTTCTTCTTCGGAATATCAATGCTCGAGTGTCAATTGAATTTCTTCATTCTTTGCAAACGTTAGACGCTTCAACATATGTAAATATATATTTTACTGAATGTAAGTAACAAGATTCAAGGTACACCACTTAAATAAAAATTCTGATCATGTTCTATTGTTTGAAACATCGTACGTTCAATAAAATATCAATTATTTCGAATAAGGAACACATTGGCATAAACAATAAATCTTTACTAAAAATTTGTCAGCTGCCAAACAAAAACTACGAATTCCGCGAGTTAACTGAGATTTACAAATGAACATAGACACTTGGTCCAGTAATCTGGGGTCAAGTGTTAAATCGTAACCGATAACTACATCAATGTTTCCATCGTTATTATACTTTCGGAGATTCGTGACAATTACGATGAACTTTTCATAACGGGGAAAAAAGAGAAAAGTTAATTTGCTCGTATATTGAAAATTCTATCTGAGAATTATTAACTTTTGCTATAAAAAAAAAGATCCATAAATAAAAAAAAAATGTCTAAATCCTTGAAACATTTTTTAAGCTCTTACACGTTCATAATCGTGCAAATATTAAAAACGTAAGTATTTATAAAGCATAATTTCTAATAATTGTTATCTTAACGATCATTTTTTGAATAGATACGTCTACAGATAAATAATATAAACCACTTAATTCTTAGCGTGTTTTAAGCTTTTTTTGAATTTACAAAAAATATCTATTCGTGTTAATTTACAACTTGTAACACTTATTAACAATAAAACAAAACAAAACTTAATTTATACATTATTTATTTACTTTGCTATTATAAAAGTAATCAACAAGCACAATATTTATCTGTAAAACAAATCCAGAGAGTATGGATATTTTACAAAAGAAGAACAAGAGAAGTTTTTGTTACATTATATCACATGTATCTAAAAATAGTATATTTAAATATTTTACTAATTTTTGTGTTCTAGATGTAAATAAGAATACCCAGAATGGTGTATTCTCCCTTACATATAAAACAAAAACACTCAAATATTAAGAGTACAGTTTGCGGCTTTCTTTGTTAAACGACACGCATCATTAGGCTCCTATTACGACACAACAGGTGAAATATAACGTTTACCGATGTTATTTTCCAGTACAAACTATGTAGAATTTGCTTCAAAATCTTCCTTGTATCTTTCATAGATTTTAATATAACTTTAGACATGGAACTTTTGAGGATAATTTCAATCCTTAAACTTGTGTCACTGCTATTGAACAGAGCCGCTCTTTCTTGAAGGTATACACGAGCGAGCTATCGTGCTATCCGCATATTTTAATAAATGCGTTATTTCTTAAAATTACAATGAATTCGTGTAAAAGTCCAATCAATATAAAAAAGACTATTCGTTTGCATATGACAGAATTAATGCGACGAAGGATACCGTTTATCCACTGTTTGAAAAAAACTATCTAAATTGTATACAGTCAACGATACTGAACATTATTCGTCCCAATCATCGGTGTCTGGTTGAGAATCGTATTCGCTGGTAATCGAATTTCTGTCCGACGTGGTCGCTTCGTTTGGTTTCGGTGGAGGTGGAATCAAGGTAGCCATCCTCTCCAGAACAGTACCACCTGATCCAGCAATTCCTTTCCTCCTAAGGGCTAGTTTCGCATGCAAGTCGGCCATTAGATCTCCTCCAACGGACGCGGAAGACCAACGATTTCCTTCCTCTTCAGGCATCGTACGTCTTAACTTTGCTCTTCCTACACCACCTGCGTTACGAATTGCTGCCATTAAATTCGAATGATCATCAGGTTTCATTGATTTTCTTTTTTCCTCGCTAGCTTTATTGGTCTCGGAATCTTTTTGAGATTTCAAAACTTCAGACTCGGATAAGAGTGATGATGGTGGTGGTGGTGGTGGTGGTGGTGGTGGTGGTGGAGGTGGAGGTGGAGGTGGAGGTGGTGGTGGTGGTGGTGGTGGAGGCGGTAGTTGTAGCGAAGGTGGAGGTGGAGGTGGTGGTGGTGGTGGCGGTGGAGGTGGCGTTAAGAGCAACGATGAACGACGATCTGTTTCGGAATTCAAAGAAACTGAACTCGAATCTTGAACAAGATTTTTTGAATAATCTGTGTCTGTGAAACCGGGTAGATTTGGCACACTTTTTTCAAGCTTTGAGTCTTTCTCGTTTGCAGCTAATGTAGGGGTTGGAAGATCAAGCCGAATAGTAGGCGTAGTTACTACCGAAGAGGGTGCAATAGGACTTTGAGAATTAAGATCTAAAACAAATTTTTCATCATCTACAATTCCTGGTAAATCAGGAAGTGTTAGTGGTACGTTTATTTGTGGCACCTGCAAAATAAAATATTATAATTATAATTGATTTAAAATCGATTCCCACGTAGATAACATTCTCCTTTACATTTTGCATTTATAAGCAAAAAACAACTTACTTATATCGATAAAGTTTAAACATTTTTTAGCATTTTACCTCGCCTAAAGTTGGTGTATATAGATAATTAGAAGATGATTCCAATTCTGATGTCAACCATGGTTGTATAATTGAATCAGGTGCATCTTCGATTTGTTGTTTTTCATTTGTTTGATGATAAATTTGCTTTTTCGATATTTTGTAAGGATTATCCATACTGTTAATGAGCGCACTAATCGAAGACAAATCAAGTGGAAATGATTCTTCATTGCCATTTGTATACATCTCTTTATTTAATTTAGACCGCACATGATAAATCTGCAATTTCTCTTGCAAGTTATTATTTGCCACGTACTGAACGTCCTTTGTTTTACAACTAGAAGATAAGTATACTTCAGGTACTTCTTTTATAGGCACAGAACATTTGTAAACATTCGGTATTCTATGAGTATTTTTATGTTTGGGTGGTATAGCCATTTCATACTCTTTATATGTATGACTAGCAGGATACTTTGCAGCAGAGTACATTTTCACAGCTTTTAAATTTAAATTAGTTTGCAAATATTGCAACCGATCTTGAAGTTTTGTTGCTCGATTTCTAATATTTGATAACCTGTAAAGTAAAGAATTCGCAACAAATTCGTAATAATTGTTGCAAATATGAAGAAAACATTCAATAAAAGTGGACTTAAGAAATAGTTTAGAATAGTTATCTACATATTAGTTAAAAATTGAAATTGTACAAATTTTATATTCAAATTGAAAAGTACTAGATACCAAAGAAAAACAGAGTTACCTTTGACTATTTTCATAGAGCCTTTTATCGATGCATTCAAATATATAAGAAACAGCGGAATCAAGATCATCGAGAGCTTCTGCTATTTGAACAATGGTTTCCTCGTGTCGTAAGTTATCAGGGATAACACCTAAACGTAAAATTTTTGAATATGATTAAGATCACGGATAATATTTATGTGACTCGTACCCGTAACATGTTTTTATTTACCAATTTCAATTCGTTCCGGCATTGTTGATAATTTTCAAAGACACACATTAATTTCATCAAATATGACGTACTATATATACAACTAAAAAACGTCGTACAAATAGCATTAATTATTTAGCATTATATATAACCAAGTAATACATTGTTTAATAATGCATTATTTACGTGTCTGATACGACGCAATTTAACAGTTAACTTGACCCAATGTCACATAATATTACTCGACATAATATCACGAGTACTCTGAGAATGACAACTAAAAGTGACACTTGACACTCTTCACAGTTTTTAGGGAGCAAAATCTGTGTGCGCATGTCACGAATTGGCCAATAGGACTCGCCAGGGATGACGTCATCTGAAATTAAACCCTTATTATTAGTGTGCATGTAGCGACATTGCCGCGTTTTCACGTTAAAACCCGCTTTAAATAAAACTTGGCGGGCTTGAATACATATATGTGATACTTTTAAATCTGTATGACTGAGGAGTGATGTTTTGTTCATTCTGTACATGTACAGAGTATTCACTGATTGAAAAGTTTTGCCTATCCTATATTTCTAAGGTGTATCTATTCGAAAATTGGAGCGTCGAACCTCAAAGATTCTGACAAAAACGTCGCTGTCGCTTCTATTTGTTACTCTGTGCTACTATTTAACAGCAGCCGTTTATGAAGGCGCGTGACTCCTATAATATATGAAATTTTTTTATTAAATTAACGAATCAGGTACGTATTCTTTTTTAATATTACTAGACGATTATATATAACTTGGTTATTTTCATTCGGTCTATTTTTAGTGATATTGTATCGTATATTTCAATATGATATTATTGTTTTTGTCTTTGGCGTATAGGTTATTGGAAATGGCAGTTGTAATAAGTTCATAATTATATTGTACCAACGAAAGAATATGCAATACTAATTTAATAAATATGGTGAATCATACAGCAATTTTCAAAACAATTTTAATTACATTTTTTGTAAGTGTACAATAATTCTTAGAATAAGAAGAATCAAAATTACACTTTCAAATACAGGCAATATGTCTTGTCAATTATTAATGTGTATTTATAGACAAATTCTGACAAAATCATTAAGGCAACATATATTGTTGGTCGATAAGGGAATAAATTTTTCCACAAAATCTAAAACACATTATGATACTTTAAAAGTATCTCCCAATGCTACACACAATGAAATAAAGTCAGCGTACTATAAACTGACAATAGAATATCATCCTGATAAAAATAAAAGCCCAGTTGCAAAACAAATGTTTCAAGAAATCTTGGATGCGTACAATGTGCTTAGTAATTTCAAATTACGCCAACAGTACGATAGATCTGTTGCAATTACGCATAGACATAATATACGGACAGCGTCTCCACGACAGCAATGGCAAACACCATATCAAACGACATCTCAACTTAAAACAATTTATAATTTCGATGAGTGGACTCAGCAGCATTATAAACAGTCTTTTCAAATTAATTTGAAAAGACAAAGTATATATAAAGAATTTGTAGAAAATCAACACAAATATACTGTACAGAGAAAAGAGTCTAAAATGCTATATTATAGTCACGCAATAGTGTCTCTGTTACTTTGTCTTATTTTATATAAAAGTTACATGTCAAGTTCTAAAAATATATCGTCGAATAAAAAAAATTCAGATTCAGAATATTGATCAATGTAAAATTATCTTAAATTATTTGTAGTACTATTATAATTAAAAAATGTAAAATACAGTGTAAATTATATTTTCTTTATCTGTGTATAGAAAATTAATGTAATTAAAAAGTTTTATTTATTATTCAAACATGAAGTTTCTGTTAATAAAATAAACCAATGTGAAATATTAAATAAAAAAGTACATTTAGAAACGTTATTAACTTGTAAAATATGTTTCTATACATGTCTGAAAGTATATTATATTATAAGTTGTTTAGCATTAAAAAAAAGTAAAAATTATCGAGTAAACTGATAAAGTTTATAAACCATTAATAATGTGAAGCAAGCATATCCAAACAGCTTCAATTAGCGAATTCGTCTAATTTAAAAAGGTATTTCATTTTTTAGTAAACCGCCAGAAAGCCCAATTTTATTGTAGTTTTTTGGTTTTTCTGGTATGTTCGTTATTTGTATAAATTTTGAAAAATGTTTTAAATAAATCTTAAAGAAAATAAAATTTTATCTAAAAAAAGTTAAATAAATTGTTTCCTTATCTAAATTTTCCTTTATTTTATTTCTCCTGTGTTCACCTTCCTTTTCATAATTTTTTAATTTTTCTAATTCTAATAAGTACGTAGTAATCAACATAATGTTACGAAAAGTATTGCGACACATTATCTCTAAAGTTACTCTATGACTAGATTGTATGGAATTGAAAGGTATGTATACTATTTCGATAAAAATAAATCTAACCTTAGACGGAGGTATCAAGGTGAAATGAAGGGCAACTTAATTTTTTTTAATGACAATTTAATTTCTTAAACATCTATGTTCGTAAACTTTCTCGTTGCGAGTTCAACACACTATGAATTAGTAGTCATCGAAAGTTAACGACCATATGCGAGCTCGAAAATAGTTGATATTATTCTAACAATATAAGTATAATAAGGAAAACATGCATATATTAATAGCAGTAGTTGTATAGTAATTGTCAGTAATTAAACCACAGACTACACTGCGAATATTGTTGCATGATAGGTGTAAAACATGAAGATATCAGCACTATCACGAACTAACCAATAAACAAGGCGTGAACCTACTTTTTCGAGAGAATAGCTAATGCCTGACGCAATGTAACACTAACGCAGTATATTTTTACGATTGGATCCTTTCTGTCTAGAACTTTCTACTCATATGCGGTAAAATAGACCAAATCCGTTTGTTTATTAATATTGTCAATTGATTATAATGAGATGAACAAATATATAAAAACAATATTTATCGTACATACATATAATTTTCGTGTATTTGATGTATTTGACTAAGTTGAGCTCTACCTACTTTAGTTTTTTGTTAGTAATAAGTCAATTTGTTTTTGTTATTTTTAATTGATTTACGATTATATTAACGATATTTTAAAAAGTGTTCTTTCTTATCTATTCAAGTTTTCAGGTAAAATAGTAGAACAAAATATACATGTAATATAGTAAAATAAATTTTGTACAAGATTACTAAAGTAACATACCACAAATTTGTAACAACTATGGTGAAATAAGTTCTAATGTTAAATTATTTATAAATCTTTGAATAAAATCTTTTACATTTACTGTGTTTTCTCAGTCAAACTCACAACTTAACAAGCTAATGTTTATTCATTTTAAAGGGGTATTTCAGTTTTGTCAAAGTTGACATCCTTCCAATATGCGTGCAGTTTATAAGAACAGTGTATGACCGATAAATTGTTCTTGAGATATTTAAATTATTAATAATATGGCTATCAGATCATTTTTATATTTAGGTGATACTGCATGTAAATGGTAAGAAATATTTTGATACCTCAAAATTCAAGTATAAAGATTGATATATTGAATTTAATAATAACAACTCTCATATTTTTTAGCATTTTTACAACTGCACAACTTAAGCCTAAATTACATACTCTTGAAATATACAAACAAACTAGAAACTTTAGAAAATTCACAGGCAAAACAAAAGTATCGGAACCATCTTTTCCAAATGATTACATTGAAAAAGGACCTGTACATTTTTCAAACATGTGGAAACCATTTGCTTTCACAATTATGGTAAGCGAGCGATAAAGAAAATAATTATCTTAATAGAAAATAAAGCAGTTACACGTATATATCAATTGCATTTATGTTGAATAAATTTAAATATAACATTTTTCTTACGACTTGAGTTTCATAATTTTCATCATGTCAGTTTAGTGGAACAACATTCGCTGCTGCTGCCATTTGGGAATATGAGCGTATCAGGGAAAAAACCTACAGTATGCTGAACCATTACAAGCAATGGAGAATACATGTTTGTATAATGAAACATATATACGTATGGATAATTCATGCAACTTTATTAAGTCATAATTTTGTTATCGACAGAGTTAAAAAAATAATTGTAGGATTATATTTTTTTATACAAGTGCAATGATAAAAAAGCTATGGTCCTATGAATGTAGTACTCTTTAAACTGTTTATTTGTCGTCTTCTTTTGACATTTTTCTCCAACAGCACAGATAACAAAGCTATGATCTTATATGATTGCGTGTACAATTCTGTATAACAGGTACCATTTATTAGATATTAAAATACCGATTATATTCAGAAAACAGGATGGAGACATGAAATGGAAATTTGGTGGAAAAATTTAAACGAAGGAGAAAAAATATTCGTTCCTATATGTTTCCTAAATGTCATAGTATTTTTTGCATGGCGTTTACCGATATCCCAAAGAATAATGGTACAATATTTTTGTACTAATCCTGCAGCTCGTAAGTTATGTATATATAGAATGTGCATATATATATATATATATATTCTAGTATATACAGAATGATTCTCAAAACTGAGATAAGTTGTAACTCTTTTCCAAGTAGAGATACAAGAAATTCGTAGAAAGGTGAATCCAACAACTCGATGTTGATTCTTTATTCCTTTATCTCGACCACAGTTGAGATGAGCCGAATGTGGACAACGTGCTTGCACCTGTGTCGCTATTTACCTCTAAAAAACGTCAAGCAGAAACAGGTGCACGCATCGAATATATCTCACCTGTCTTTCAAGTTTTACAGAACCATGCTGAAAAAAGAATTCAATCCAGAAACTTTTAAAACAAACACACAGTTTGTCCCAGTTTTTAGAATCACTCCGTACAAAGAAAAATATTAAATTTTTATCATTTTTATTAAGGTGCAAGATGCTGGCCAATGCTGCTGTCATCATTTTCCCATTATTCATTTTTACATCTAGCAACCAACATGTATGTGCTGCACAGTTTCAGTTCTTTAGCTGTAACAGCATTGGGTAAAGAACAGTTTGTGGCACTTTATTTGACCAGCGGCGTAGTGTCTAATTTTGTCAGTAATTTATATAAAGTTTCACTCGGTGTACAAAGTCTTAGTTTAGGAGCTGTAAGTACTTGCGAAGTTTATGCAGTTTCTAGCAAATCACTGAAATTTAATATTGTTCATAATGATAATAATTTCTTATTTGCAATATAGTCAGGAGCAGTAATGGGTATCCTTGGATTTGTATGTACTCAATTTCCAGATACGTATCTTGCTATTATTTTTCTTCCCATGTACAAATTTACAGCAAGCATGGTATACTGATAATTTAATTTCAATCATTTAAACTATCATGCACATATTAGATTGTGTTTATTAATAAAATTGCTTATTACAAATAGGGAATTAAAGCAGTAATGGGATTGGATATCTTAGGATGTATCTTACGTTGGCAATATTTCGATCATGCGGCACATTTGGGCGGAGTGTTATTTGGAATGTAAGTGCATTTGTGAAAAAAACTTACATTCAGTTGGATCTGTACATTTTTTATTATATTTTTTATAGGTTTTGGCAAGCATGGGGTAATAGTAATATATGGCAAAACCGTATGTCGGTATTAACATTTTGGCATAATTTTCGTAAACCACCCGGGTCTCATTGATGCCTTTATATACCGTACAAGTTATCAATTTTACTAAAATCTGTAAAAATCACGCGCCTGTATAAAAGTAAGCGATTGATACAAGAAATTAAAACTGTGAAAACAAGTAATAAAAGCCAAACAAATGATGCAAGTAACTATTTATATTTTCACTTTCTTTTATAATTAGGAATTTAAAAAAAAGAGATGAATTTGCGCCTACATAGGTCGGAAAGTAAAAATGCCTGGGCAGTCGAGAAGCCAAATCGTATACCGTTGACGGGAGGTCGGATTTCAGTTGTGTGGGAGCGAGAAGGCAAATGTGAGCCTTTCTCTCTCGACTTCCACGAAGCGGTCCGAAATTACTTCGGGCAGCTTCGGAGAATCGAGAAAGAGGGCATGCGTCAGTTTGCCTTTGTCGTCTTTTCGAAACTCCACGAGCTCACGTATGTACGCGTATCTGGCATGTGGAGTGTGCACCCGACGGTGCTTTTCTGGCATCACTGATGAGCACTAAACTAGTATTACGTCGCGTTCTTAACATACTTAAAAGGATACCTACATGAAACTCGTCGTTACATGAAAAGTAGCCTGAACACGCAGCCAAAGGGAAACTATAATAGTCCACCATATTAAAACTAGATCAGTATCAATCAGTATCCAAATATCCATATAACGACGTTATAGATTATTCGTAATCGGACTATCAATTAGATAGTCATAATTACATCTTCAAGCAAAGATGTAACTGAGTAAATTTTATTCAACAACGTTAGCTGAATAAATAATACAATATACGAATACCAAATAAATATAAATATTTTACGTAAAGAAGAAATATCCGCTTGTTTAATGGTGTTATCGCCATTTTATAGCATTCTTAAAGATACCAACATTATTTTAAAGTTTATAAATGTTAGAATTCATTCGTTATAAATGTCTGGAAGAAGGATTTTGAAATTTGAAACGCCGCGCCGGTCACCAGTGAACACTGTGGCGGTCAACGTGCTACGCTGTATCTCTGTAAGTAAAGTGTGGTAAAAGCTGGCAATAGGTTATTCTACTTGCAAAAATAAGTAGAATCTGTGTAGAACGGAGTAGAAATTGAATTTGAGCACAAGTAGAGTAGTGATCAATGGACAGACAGACCGGATCGATAAAATTTCATATTAAATTATTTCGAAAAAATGTTATTTCTTTTTTTCGACATAATTTTAAACGTAGAATCATCCCCTGCCCGGTATGCACTACTATTCACCCGGATACATCCTGTACATTCAACCCTGAGAATTGCAAGACTTCGTTGTAAGCAGGTAGTGTTTTTGTTATCGGTAAGGGTATTCGAATATTTTCATAGATTCGTAAATAGTGGAACGCGATTGGTCAGTTAGACAGGAATATTGCATAGCTTCGGTCGGTATCGTTTCCATCCGCGAGGATCTTCGTCCCAGATCCCGCTGTAATTCTTGAGGGCTCTGTCGCGACGCCCCTCCCCAACGGGAGAGAAAGAGCGAGAGCGAGAGCGAGCGGCGAGCCGACGCGGCGCTCTCTCGGCTGGCAGTCGACGTTCGTAAATGGCGACGTACCGATGTCGAATGTTCGTAGCGAATTGGTGAATCGTCGTACGTGATGACGGCTCGTCACTGAACCTCGGACGGCGATGGGCACGCAAAAGCCGGAAGAATGGGCGAATTTGCTGATCACACGTTTCGAGGAACAGGTATAATCTACTGTGACTCGATCTACAAATCTGTTTAGCTTTCTTTCCCGTCTTATCCATCCGTCTTCCCTCTCCGTGACCGTTCCCTCTCTTTCTTACCTACCCTTTTCCGGTGCTTTCTCTCGCTCGTTCTCATTCTCTTCCTCTATTTCTCTTCTTTTATCTCTCTGTTCTTTTCTTTCTTTGCCTCCTTTTACTTACCCTTCCTTCTTCTGCGTTTCCTGTTATTAATCTCGCACACTCTACCTTTCGTTTTTCATTTATCGTGGATCGCATCGTAAGAACCCAACGCTTAACATTAGAAAGGCCGTGTGTGTGTGCTGTGCGCACTCGGAAAGGCCGGCAGGCGATCGTTTTGATCGCTTACATAAATCTGGATAGAAATAATATTCTGTCCGATTGACATAAATTCGTTCTATGGGGATTGCGGGACAAGTGTGAAAGACGTGAACGTTCGCGTGCAGTGAAACCAAACATCGGATAATAATACGTGTACATCGGATTGGCAACTTTGACAGCCGTCAGGTTGTTTGAATGTTAAATTTTACAGTGTTCTTACATTTCATTTTAGTCGATTCTGACTTGTAATCAAGAACGGTAAAAGATTATCGTAACGTCATGACAAACAGCGGACAGTTCTTGGAATTGTTTTTGTTACCTTCGTTAAAGGACACTACTATCTTTCTTTCAATTTTTTATTTCCTTATTTAAAACTGTTTTCTACAAAAGCATGCACACGCACGATGATAAAAGTGTAAAAAAACTATTCTCGGAACCATGCACACCGACAATCGAGTCTCGTTTGTTACGCTAGAACTTGCGTTAAACGCGAAATGGATTTTTAATGACGCAATGGCCCTAAATCAATCTCGTGGCTTTCGCAGTAAAGTGCTATTTAATGCAGAAAATTTAATTGTTATTCTCCTTTTCGTTGTTTTAGTCGTTAGGTGTTGGTATCGTCCTCGCGAGCATACCGTCATTCGTTTGTCCCGTTGATTGATTCGTTCATTCATGGGAAGATGCTTTCTCGTGATCTTCTCCCTCTACACGCCGTGGAGTCCACGGTTTGACCTTCGCCCCTTCTCCCTTTCCTCTCCACTCCACAGCTATTCAGTTAAGGTGCATACAAGGTGTTCCAAAATGTAGGTATTTATCCCAACAATTTGCCGCGAATGTTACCCTCTTTTAAATTAAACAAATGATACGATCGTGATAATAACGCGAGTCTAGAGAGTTAAATTTTTAACATTCCATACGAATAATCGGTAAATATCTTTTACTTTAAGTCTGATTAGAATCAAAACTTTGTCTCCGTAATATGCGATACAAATAAATTGAGAAAATTCACATCCGCCCGTTTAGTACAATTAATTGTAATCAAATCGTCAGAGAAATTTATACATTCTATACGAATAGTATATCCGAATGATTTTAACGTTTCTGATATTAATGCGAAAATGTTAATCATTTATCGAACAACGTTAAACGAAATATTTGCTGCAAAAAAGGTTCAGGCATGAGTTATTGGGATACCCTATACATATGTATACCTAGTTTCATTCCCCGTTCTGTAACCCCTCTACATATGTATATCCATGCAACGCCGCTTCCGTCGTGTCACGGATACGTGAATGAAAATTGCATTCGCTTCACGCACGGCTTATCGAAGAATTCGAATCTATGGTAGACTTCAATGCGCTTAAATACTACCAAATGCAATTACACGAGCATGCATGTAACGTTTGAATTTTCTCTCAAAGACACATACCATTCTAGCGATGCCTTTAATTTCTCCATACATGTAAAACACAATACATGCGTGAACTAGAGATTAAAATTAAAATTAAACCATAGAGAGTAGTGTCTTTGCGAACGTACAGATTTTAACAATTTCCTTTATATCGACGAATTTATAAATTATTAAAAATACATAAAAAAAAACAAAAAATTATGTAACTACAAGAGTTTGGAAATTTGAAAATAAAAACATTCCTTTGGAAAAATGATCATATATTATTTATTTATTTTTCACATATTTGATTGAAATATTGTTTCCAGTATTTTTACTTTTGCTATATTATAGATTTTCTATTTATGCATTTCAATGTATAAATGTTTTTAGAACTGTATTTTTTTCTTTTATGTGCAGTTGCCGTGTCACAGTGTCCCTCAAACCACCCATTCTCGTATGAACGAGGAAAGGAACAAAAAATGCTTGATACAAATTTCTCGTTACCGTTTCTCCCTTGTAATATCCAGTCTCACTAAGATACTTCAAAGTGTCAATGAAATGGTACCATGTATCGGGGGTCAACGTACATTTCACAGCATGGAACATTGCTATGAATCTATTATTATTGTTTTGGATACTTTGGAAAAGTGTCTTGCGAATCAACCAAAAGACACTGCTAAATTTGACGAGGCTATGAACGTAAAGTTTCTGCTTAGAGAAATATGCCAATTTATAGGTAATGAGAACTTCGGTATCATTAATATAATATGTTACGTAATTAGAAATATAAACAACCAAATACTATTTTTAGATGTACCGAACGATAGTCTGCAAAACATTCATTTAAAAAATTTGGCAAGTAAAGTATTGTTTGCCTTGAGCTTAAATTTTTTCAATGCTGTATTTAACAGAATATCAGCTAGACTTCAGGAATTAGCAAAATGTGGCGACGAGAATGCTGATTATAGCGACATTGAATTAATTCAGCACATTAATGTGGATGTTGATAGGCTAACGAGACTTTTAAACGGCAAGTTTGCTATTTTAATATATTTATTTTTAATCAATCTGTACACGGTTGTATGCTAACACCACTTACAATGTTATTGTAGAAACGATACAAAAATTTAAACAGCTCAAAAAATCAGCACCTATAGTTCTTATGAATTCCTTGGAAAAAGCAATTTGGAATTGGATGGATACTTATCCACATGAATTTGCCGATCTTCAAAAGAAACCTAACGAGGATCTTGGAAAAGCATGCGAAGAGTTATTTGACATTCTTGATACATTTGTAGACAATAAAAAGGGGAGAACTGCAGCTGTTTGGCCTTTGCAAATTATGCTCCTTATACTTTCTCCAAAAGTTTTGGAGGAAATTGTCAATGCTGATTCGGGTGCTCCATGTTCGCCAAGGCATTCAAAGAAAAAACAATTTATCGACAGTGTAAAACGAGGCCTAGGAATGCATGGCAGTTCTAGCAGACAACTAGTAGAAGCTGCTGCAGTCACTTGCATTAAACTTTGTAAAGCATCGACCTATATAAATAATCAGGATTCGAACAACGTTATTTTCACGCTTGTTCAACATGTAATGAATGATTTGATGGCATTATTTTTTAATCCAGGAAAGCTATTTTCTCGTGGTCAAAGCTATCTTGCCCAAGACATCGACCTAATGATAGACTGTTTTGTTAGCTGTTTTCGCATTAAACCTCACAATAACGAAGTACTTAAAGTTTGCTTGAACCTAAATTCTCCATTGACATACCAATTCGTCTTGGTTAGCTCATTATACAAGTAAGGGAAACCGTATGTTGTAATTAACACACTCGGACGGCGATGACTGGGTCCGATGTTTCTTATCTACTGGAAATAATAAGATAGAGTAAAATGTAAACGTATGTCTATGTACGTATTATACATGCGAAAACAAATGTTATATACGCGTTGTGCCGAATCGGAATACATAAATGTTGTTCGTCTGCGTTTATTTTAATTTTTATTCTTATTAACAATTGCCATTATGTACATTTTTAACTGTGATAATAAAAAGAAGCGAAATAGCATGTATGAGGGTACACAGATTGGGATCTTCGCGGACCTACCATCGCCGTCTGCGTTGTCGTCCGTCCGACCATCCGTCATCCCAATGTTAGATTAGATATACATAAATATAGAATTACATTTTTATTCTGATCGAATGATTTATAAGGACTTGAAGATTCGATACAAAAATTGGTCATAATAAAAAGAAATTACGCCTGATTTTTAATATATCAGATTTTACAAATTTTAATTTTTTTTTATCTTAGAATTGTAACTCAACCAAGACTGTCATGGTGGCCTCAAATAGATCTTCTGTATTCACGTAGTACAGAACTTAGGAATATGTTTACTGATATTTTAAATAAAGTCACACAGAGTTACATATCACACACGCCATTACGAATGATTCAAAGTTTAACGCTCAAAGGTAAAGAACAGAATAAGTACAGAGATCGCGGAGAAGAAACATCGAGTTATAGAAATTTACTCTTGTGGATGGTGAAACTTATTCATGCTGACCCTATGTTATTACTGAATGTAAGTATTTTGTGTATAAAAGATTCACTTACAGCTTGCAAAGTGAATATCATATGTATATTCTACATTATTACGTGTATTTTACTCATTTTACAGAATCAAGGGAAAGCTAGTCATGAAATACAAAGCTCGACATTGCAATTAATTAATGGTTTAGTTTCTCTAATTCATCAACCAACAATGCTAGATATAGCATACGAAGCAATGGAAGCATTGTTAGTATTACATCATCCAGATAAAATAAAAGCGTGGAATCCAGAAGCGCCAATTAATACATTTTGGGATGTTAGTTCGCAAGTTCTATCCTCGATTTCTCAAAAATTGATTCAACATCAAATTGTTAATTATACCTCTATATTAAAATGGATTAGAGAAATACTGATTTGTAGAAATGCTTTTTTGGCACAACATAAGGATTACGCGAATGTGGGTAGCCAGATTGCTATTTGTAAGCAGGCACATATTAAACTAGAGGTTTGTTTGTATTTTTATAAATACAATAAAGAAGTACATTTTAAAAAATTGATGAAATTTTACCAATAATAAACAAATTACAATATTTATATTCTTCAGGTTGTATTTTTCATGTACTTGTGGAGTATAAATATGGAAGCAGTTTTAGTATCAATGTCTTGTTTTGCATTGCTATGCGAAGAAGCAGAAATACGTTGTGGTAGTGATGAAGTAGCAGTAACTTGTTTACTTCCTAACTATCATTTATATCTTGAATTGGCGCAAGCTTCTACTGTGTTAATCACTGGTGAGTTGGAAATTTTCAAACATGAACATTTTATTTAAATTTAAATATGAGTATAACATTTCTCAAAGTAGAAAATAGGAATTCGAATCGAGAAATTACGACCAAATTAAATATCGCTAGAAGATTAACTTTAAATAATAGTGTGATTTGTAATGTTGAATATAATATAATCTAGTAATACACATTTTATGTGCATACGACGTAAAGATAATCTTGTTTGCTTTAAAATTTTATTTTTCTAATTCCTAATGTGTTTCCAAAAAATCTGTATATTAAATAATTTTTTACCAAGTTAATGAAATATCGCTAAACAATAATGAATTATTAATGCATTTTTATTAAAAGTTTTATGAAAAATGGGAAACGCCCCAGTAATATTTTTTTATTTGTTTTTAAATCAATTTCGATTCGGGTCTCTAGCGAAGATATTTTTATTTGAATTCAAACATTCATTCATGAATTTTTGAATTCACTTTGTATTTTGATTAGTATAATCCTTATATGGCTGCAGTAGAGTATTAAAGACCTTGTTACCATAACAGCCAGCGGGGAAAGTAAGATATATTATCACGATCATAATTATGGTAAGTGTTGTTCAAAATTTGTATACATATATGTATTATAGAATCAATGCTGTATTATTTTTTTTTCTTTTTTTTTTTTCATCATTATTTCAATCGTAATGAGAATAATATTTTGAACGAGTATATCATGTACTTTTTAGGACGCGCTGCTTTACAAAAAAGAATTATGGCCTTATTGAGGAAGATAGAACATTGTGTAAACGGTGTACAGCCTGTATGTATATCGAGATTACCTCGTATTTCATATTTTTATTAAAATTTGTTTCGAGACATTATTTTTCTGTTGTAATTTATATAATGTAATAAATAATTCTAGACAAATAATATTTGACAATATAACATTTATGAATAGAAAACGGATATAAACGTAGTACGGTATGATTGATTGGTTGTTTATTTAGGCATGGGAGGAAACGTTTAGAAATTGGGAAGTGACTTCTCGGCAGTTAGTGAATTATCCTAAATCTAAGACAGAAGATGGTCAGATGGAATTTCATAGAAGCACAGGAAAACGTAGAGCGTCGCATCAAAATTCGGAACATGAATTAGAGGAACAAATTAACGAATGGGCGAACATGACAGGATTTCTCTGTGCTCTAGGCGGTGTGTGTTTACAAAAACGTTATCCAACTAGACCATTATCGGGCATGCCTACATATCCAGAACCAAAGAAAAGTTCTACAAAACAGCAAGATACTGCATCTGGTTTATCAAATTCAAGCCAAGAAGTACAATATTGTACGCAATTTGTTTTCAATTTATTACTACGGCTATTAATCTGTAACAATGAAAAATTTGGAAATCAAATTCAGAAACACGTTAAAGAGCTAGTGGGTCACGAAATGAGTCCTGCATTGTATCCGATACTTTTCGATCAGATCAAAAGCATAGTCGAGAAATTCTTTAATCAAGAAGGCCAAGTCATAGTTATGGACGTTAATACCCAATTTATCGAGCATATAATATTTATAATGAAAAATATATTGGATTCGAAGTCGGATCAACCTTCCGAATACCTTGGAATGACCAGTATAGAAGGGATGATGTTGGCAATTGTCAGATATGTTAGACATTTGGACATGACTGTACATTCTATGCACATTAAGACAAAATTATGTCAACTTGTCGAAGCGATGATGAAACGGCGAGACGATTTAGCATTTCGACAAGAAATGAAATTTCGAAATAAACTCGTGGAATATTTAACCGACTGGGTGATGGGTGCTACTCACCAGATTACACCGTCAACCAGTGGAGATTTAACCGTTTACACGCGGGATTTAGATCAAGCTTGTATGGAAGCAATCGGAGCATTATTACGCGGTCTTCCTCTTCAACCCGAAGAGTCTGATCGTGGTGATTTAATGGATGCAAAGTCTCAATTGTTCTTGAAATATTTCTCTCTTTTCATGAAATTATTAAACGAATGTAACGAGGCAGCCGCCGAAGAAAAGGAAATTGTATCTCAACAGCCACGTTTAACTAGTGGTAAATTGTCTACGTTGCGCAATGCTACCATACAAGCAATGAGCAATCTCCTCAGTGCAAACATCGATAGCGGTTTGATGCATTCGCTAAGTTTAGGGTATAATCCAGATTTACAAACACGGGCAGCATTCATGGAAGTTCTTACGAAAATTCTTCAGCAAGGGACAGAATTTGATACATTAGCGGAAACGGTATTAGCCGATAGATTCGAGCAATTGGTTCAGCTCGTTACAATGATCAGCGATAAAGGAGAATTGCCTATTGCGATGGCTTTGGCTAATGTTGTAACGACAAATCAAATGGACGAATTGGCGCGTGTTTTTGTAACGCTGTTCGACGCTAAACATTTACTATCGCCTCTTTTGTGGAATATGTTTTATCGCGAGGTTGAGGTTTCCGATTGTATGCAAACGCTGTTCCGAGGGAACAGCCTTGGCAGCAAAATTATGGCGTTCTGTTTTAAAATTTATGGTGCGAGTTACTTGCAAAATCTACTGGAACCTTTAATTACACCATTATTGGACGATCCTACGACTAGTTTCGAGGTTGATAGCGCAAGAATCGATACCAATGAAGATATAGAACAAAACGGCCGCAATTTAATAGCATTGACTCAAAAAGTATTTGATGCTATAGTGTCTTCGGCTGATCGGTAAGTCGATCAGAAATTTATGTATTATTTTTCGCAACCCCATTTTGTGTCCATAGATTAATTTTCATTCCATTTTGTTTACGTTGATTCGTTTAATCATCAGTCGGTTGAATTTTTTAGATTTCCGCCGCAATTGCGATCGATGTGCCATTGTTTGTATCAAGTACTCAGCAAAAGATTCCCACAATGTCCGCAAAATAATATTGGAGCTGTCGGGACTGTAATATTTTTGCGATTCATAAATCCAGCTATCGTTTCGCCTCAAGAAATGGGCATTGTGAATAAACCCGTACCTCCTCAGGTTAAGAGAGGTCTTATGCTAATGTCTAAAATACTTCAAAATATTGCAAATCACGTGGAATTTAGCAAGGAACAACACATGTTACCGTTCAATGATTTTTTGCGAGCACACTTCGAAATCGGGAGAAGATTTTTCATACAGATAGCATCGGATTGCGAAACGGTAGATCAGGCCAGTCATCCGATGTCATTCGTATCGGACGCTAATGTTTTGGCATTGCACAGATTGCTTTGGAATCATCAAGAACGAATTGGTGATTATCTTAGCAGCAGTCGAGATCATAAGGCGGTAGGAAGGAGACCTTTCGATAAAATGGCCACGTTGTTGGCGTACCTTGGTCCACCGGAACACAAACCAGTAGATTCACAGTAAGTGTTCGTGGTTAAAAAAAAATTTCTTCATTATTATACAGGGCGAGGGCGTTACCTACCTATTGGGGGTAAATTGTACAACTTTATTTTAACAGTTTACTATTTTCATCGTCTTACGCTCCGTGGTCGAGCATCGATATGTCTTCGACTAATTTTGAAGAAATTATGGTGAAACACAATATGCACGAAAAAGAAGAATTTAAGAGCATTAAGAATTTAAATATTTTCTACCAAGCAGGCACTAGCAAACAGGGGTATCCAGTGTTTTATTATATCGCTAGACGTTACAAGTACGTGTCCCTATTTTTACATTGCTTTAGGTATATTTTATAGGTCTACGACATCGCATTTCTCTCGTTATATTTAGCGGGAAATCGGGAAAAGAAATTTTAAGTAATACAGCTAAGATAGCTAATCGGGGAGTGTCTTGTCTTTGTTATGTACTACTTAATATTTTTAGAATTACTTTATAGCGAGAGAAAAGCAATGTAATATTATTTCTGTATCTTTCTAGGATCGACGACACCAATGGTGATTTGTTGATATATCACGTTATTCTTACGCTAAAACCATTTTGTCATTCTCCGTTTGAATTGGTTGTTGATTTTACCCACACGTGTTCAGAGAATCGGTTTCGAACGGAATATTTACAGAAATGGTTTTACGTGTTACCCGAAGTTGCTTACGAGAAGATTCACGCTGCGTATATTTACAATTGCAATAGTTGGGTGAGAGAATGTACAAAGTTTCACGACAGAATCTTGGCGCCATTGAAAAATAACAAAAAGGTGGTGTTTCTCGACGGGCCGGGCCGTTTGAACGACGTGATCGACGTTGACCAACAAAAATTGCCCGGCGCGACACTTTCTCTCGATGAAGATTTAAAAGTATTCAACAGTGCTTTGAAACTGTCTCACAAGGAAACGAAAGTATCCGTAAAAGTTGGACCAACTGCCATACAAATTACTTCGGCGGAGAGATGCAAAGTATTGTCGCATTCCGTTTTTTTAAACGATGTTTATTATGCGTCGGAAATAGAAAAAGTTTGTTTACTAGACGACAATCAATTCACATTGACCATTTCAAACGAAACTGGCCCGCTGTCTTTTATTCATAACGACCGTGATAATATCGTTCAGGCTATAATTCATATAAGAAATCGATGGGTACTGTCGCAGCCGGAGTCTGTGTCTGTCCACCCGAAGATTAGACCTAAACATGTACCTGGCACGTTATTGAACATGGCACTATTGAATCTCGGTAGTTCGGATCCAAATCTAAGAACAGCAGCGTACAATCAATTGTGCGCGTTAACCGCGACGTTTGATTTAAAAATCGAGGGACAACTGTTGGAAACATCTGGACTTTGTATACCATCGAACAATACAATATTCATAAAACACCTGAGCGAAACTTTAGCCGCGAAGGATCCCCATCTTACGCTAGAGTTTCTAGAGGAATGTATACAAGGGTTTGGCTTATCGAGCATCGAATTAAAACATCTCTGTTTAGAGTATATGACACCGTGGTTGAACAATCTTGTACGATTCTATAAACCAAACGATGGAGGAGGGAATCGGCAGAAGCAAGTTACAAAGATTTTAGAGAAATTGGTCACGTTGACCATCGACGAGGTGGAAATGTATCCGAGTATACAAGCCAAGATATGGAGTACGATTGGCAGATTGCCAGATTTGATAGACACGGTTTTGGATAATTTCATTCAACGTAGCGTCAGTTTCGGGCTCGGTTCTCCAACGGTTGAAATAATGGCCGATACGGCCGTGGCCTTAGCTTCCGGAAACGTTCAGTTAGTGGCGAAGAAAGTAATAGGAAGACTTTGTCGAGTTGTAGATAAAACATGCACGTCTCCTACACCGCTGCTAGAACAACATACAAGATGGGATGATATAGCCATTTTGGCAAGATATTTACTCATGTTGTCTTTTAACAACTGTCTAGATGTAGGGAAACATCTACCCTATTTGTTTCACACGGTAACGTTTCTCGTTTGCTCTGGAAGTCTAAGTATGCGTGCATCCACTCATGGTTTGGTTATAAACAGCATTCACTCGCTTTGCACTTGTAGCTCGCCTTCCTTTTCAGAAGATACATACAGGATATTGCGAATGAGTTTGGTTGATTTTTCTCTTCCGAAATTTTATTTACTTTTTGGTATTAGTAAAGTGAAATCTGCTGCGGGTACGGCATTTAGATCTAGTTATAGACATTCGAACGATAAGTGGTTCGGTAACGAGCGTAGCGTTACCGGCACGCATGACAAAGAAAGACTCTCGTTAACCAGTTTAGAAATTATTACGGACGCTCTCCTTGAAATTATGGAGGCTTGTATGCGAGACATTCCACAGTGTGATTGGTTGAAAACCTGGACCTCTTTAGCGAGAAATTTCGCATTCTGCTTCAATCCAGCTCTTCAGCCGAGAGCTTTGATCGTTTTCGGATGTATCAGTAAAAGTATAACCGATCAAGATATGAAGCAGTTACTGAGAATATTAGTGAAAGCGCTTGAGAGTTTTAATGATATTACATTGCTCGAAGCAATTATTATGTGCCTCACTCGATTACAACCGTTGCTCAGACCCGTAAGTCACGTTCTCTTCTCTTTTAAAATATTCCCGATGTTATTTTCTATGTTTTCAATTTTTCTTGATAGTTGTTTCAATTTTTCCCCAAGGAATCTCCCATACATCGATATTTATTTTGGGTCGCAACATCTGTCCTCCAATTGGACGAAGCATCTTTGTATGCATGCGGTTTAGCTCTTCTCGAGCAGAATTTGCATACTTTGGATTCTCAAGGGACTTTCGACGATAAGGTACAAATTTATAGTATACATCTATAATAATGTACGTGATTATCATCCCAAAGAATTGTAATATTCTTCTCAGACTTTGGAACACGTTATGATGTCGACACGCGAGCCTCTAGAATGGCATTTCAAACATTTGGATCAAGCCGTAGGACTCTCGTTTAAGTCCAATTTCCATTTTGCGTTAGTTGGACATCTTTTGAAAGGATATAGGCATCCCACACCAACCACTGTTACAAGAACAGCTAGAGTGCTAACTATGTTATTAGGTATTGTAGCTAAACCATTCAGGAGAGACAAATTTGAAGTAACACCGGAAAGTGTAGCTTATTTGGCTGGTAAGTATGCATTAATTATTCTTGCTCGTATATTGAAATTAATAATTGTTATATTTACACACAATTAGCATTGGTATCTGTGTCGGAAGAAGTACGAAGTAGATGTCATATTAGACACTCGATCGCCAAAAATGCAGAATCTGGTAGCACAGATTGTCTCGATAATTTGCTTCCACATCATACAGTGAGTGGTTTTTATATTTTTTACGATTTACTACTGAAACGCGTAAGATTGGTTTAACCCTTAAAAGGTATAATAGATGTTTAAAAGTAAATATTAATTAACAAACTGTGAATTATTATATAGGATACATCTAACGCAACGTCTAGCAATCCGACTAATCGTCGTCAAAAATCGTGGGATCTGCTTGATCAATCTGCCCTCACTCAAGCTAGGCAACAGAAACAGTATTCAACGCATCAGGTACGTTGTATTTTATAAATGTCAGTCATCGTTTGTTTTTAAGAATTTGATTTTCACGTACAGAGTGATTCATGTAAAGTGACCAAACGAGTTGTTTTCAAAATTTGTTTAAAATACGAAAGTAGCGTTAATACTAAGATCTTATATCGAATAATATTATTTGTTGTATTGTGTTCTTGTATGTACCTCTGTTTACTCTATCGGTGTCTATGCTCACGTTTGCATATATCTACCTTACCTGTGCCTGGATTGTGTAAAAAACAATGTAACTTGTCACTTATATGTGTCATACTTCATCAATTTATCAAAAAATGACGATGTACGCGTCATTAACAAGACTGGACGGATTTTATTTAAAACACAGCGATCCTTTTCTGTACCAACTGCAAAGGAAACAAAATCAACCGAAGAAGCAGAACCAAAGGTATTTATCATTATTTTATATGTATAGTGTTATTTCACAAGGAAGTACTTATGCATACATGCATCCACGAAAATTATTCTTTTCAACCATAATTTAACACGGGGGATCATGATTTTCATCAGGTATAAATCTTTGACAAAAAACTGTTTCAACCATTTAAAGGGGTTCAATTAATCATATTTTAATTAGCTATATCGTTTGTTATTTTTATACTTGTTATTATTATTATTATTATTATTATTATTATTTACAAAGTAAAATACCCTCAAAAAGTACCTTGCTTAACTTTTTATTATCCGCCAAGTGTTTTAAACAGTTTATTGATTTGAAATGCAACGAAAAACTATACGTCGATGAAAGATTTTGTAATTTCTACAGAATCGAAGTGCCAGAGTAAGCGTGAGCAACGAAAACAATGTATTGCTCGATCCAGAAGTGCTGACAGACTTTTCAACCCAAACTTTAGTTTTAACCGTTTTGGTTACTTTGGTGAAAAACTCGTCCGACGAAAATGAGCAACGGATCCTTTATGAATATCTTGCAGAAGCCTCTGTAGTGTTTCCAAAGGTATTTCCAGTGATGTAAGTTTTTATTCTTAAAAAATGTTCTCAGAATATATATGTTAAACGCTAATATACTATAAGTCGCTCTAAATATGATTTAATTTTATTTTAATTAGCGTGAATTCGTTTACAGTCACAATTTGCTGGATGCAAAAATTAATAGTGTACTTTGCTCGTGTCATGATCAAGGTATACTGAACTCTGTACAAGCAATTATACAGAATATGATCGCATCTGAGGATACAAGTCAACAACAGTTACATTATTTACAAAGTTGCGGGTTTGGTGGTTTATGGAGATTTGCAGGCCCATACACGAACGTAAGTAAATATGTCATCTATAAATGCTTAATTTTAATTACTAATAGAATCAAAAGTAAAATTAATTACGTTGGTATGTAAAAAATACGGAGATCGTAAATTTTAATCAATAATATTTTCTAGTCGAATTGCACAGCTAAAAGTGCACAGTTGTTAGTTAGTTGCTTGGATGCAATGGTAGAGACGTGTCTACCAGTTGATGAATCCGAAGGATCGAGCAGTAATGAAACCTCAACAGAAAAAAGTAAACGAACGGATGGTAATCAATCCGAAGAAGCATCGAAAAGCAAAACTTCTGTTTATTGGACCGATCGGACTGATAGAAGTATTACGTCTTTTGTTCATAGAGAGTAAGCGATTGATTTCTGTCGTGAGGCATCATTTCTTAGCGTAATCGAGTAACAACCGGACGATACGGGTAATAGAATTAATTTTAGCCGCAGTATCGATAGCAGAGGAGACGTCGTTTCATTGGATCCTATAAGCCAAGGAGAAAATACTAGTAGCAGTAGCAGTTCGCAACCTTAGCGATTGGCATGTGAATCGAAGAAACAGTGCAGTAAATATGGAAGAAAAGGACAAGTTGGTTGGAAATTGCAACAAAAATTAAGGTATGTCGAACAAAAACATGTCTAATGAGAATAAATTTAAAGCAGTCTGATTTATGTCGTGTTTGGACTCATTTTAATCAGAAGATTCTGAAGAATGCGCTAGCATAATTTTTCGAAAGATAACATGAAAAGTATGGACGGAAAGTATAATTTTGTATATTGTACGATTATTTTTTTCATCGTAGCAGCATCTTTTTGAAACGTGGAGTCTCGACGTACTATATCCAGGTTACATTTAGCACCGGCGTCTCATCGTTACGTTACCGTAGTACTTACTTTGAAAGATGCTCACGGCTAGGGTCTGGCGATGACCATCTTTCGAGGTTTGGTATCATTTCTATTCCAGGGACCGACCTTTTGTAACTCGGGCTGTGGCTGATCCTTACGCTCACGGCTTCTTGACGGCTTGCAGAAGACGGGAATGAAAGTGAGCAGCGAGAAAGAATGAAATACCAAGCAAGATATTTGTACCAGGGATTACATGGATTCGATTCGCCAAAGGACAAACGGTTTAGCTTACATTATACCTTCTCGTTCTCGCGCGGCGAAGGTACTTGATGCACGCTCGTGTGGCTGCGCGACGTAGGTGCGCAGAATCATTATGCTACTACTGACCGCATGATAGAAACCTTCAGTAAGACTTAACCTGTGGTGTAATCAACGACAGAATTGACTTCGGAGACTTCTTCCCGCCATTTGCACTGTTCCGGAGAACTCTTCCCCTTCTTACTGCCATGGCCGATGACGTGGATACTGAACGAGCATATCGCATGTATCTTTATTTTTATGAGTTTAGTTTGGCGAAATGGACCTTAGATATTGAATTTATCGATATTCGTAAGTGATAGTAATAACAACGGTAATGGTAACAAGAAATATTATTAACGAAAATTCGGATAAAATTAACGACCGTTATTTGACAACCACGATAATCGTAAAATGTTTGGAATACTACGCTATGAATATCCGAGGCGGTAGGAGTAAGGTAGAAAATGGTGGCTCGTGTTTTTTAAACTTCTCCTAGCAGCCAACGATTCTTTCTTGACTCCACCATAGACCTAACAACCTAGGTGCGGCGAGTCGTATGAATCACTATGAAATCACAATGCTCTATCAATAGCTCCATGGAATTTAAAGTTCGAAATAAGCTATTGATCCAAGAATGAAACTGCTCTTTATGAAATATACATATGATTACTATTTGAGAATGTATTCTTTTGCATATACATAGAATTTATATGTATGTATACGGAGCCTATATTCGTTAGTAAAATCAGCTTTAAGCTTTTCACCGAGAAACCTCGTTCTTTATTCTGCAATTATTAATATATTCAATATTATTCTCAATAACTTAGTTTAAACTTTAAATATCGCGGAGCATTGTTCTCATTTCATAGACACTCGTCGTGTCTAGGTTACACATATAAGAATTTATTTTCGAAATGCAATGCCTACATACTCTATAAGTAATAATTGTTCGTTGGATCGACAATTGATTATAAGTTTTAACTATCGAGGAAGTTGTTGGTAAAACATTGTGCTTTTTTCGTTTTCATACACGCTCGTTACTAGGTTACATGTATCGGAGTTTGTTCTCAAAGCATATGTTTAAATAAATAATATTTGAATCCTTGGATTCGTAACTTATTTTAATCTTTAAATATTACGAAGCTATCGAAAGAGCATTGTTATTTCATGGCGATTCCTGCGATTCGTTGGATTCGTAGGTTAGCCGCGTGTAGATTAGGTATTTAGGTACACAGTAAGTCCTCCACTTACACAGTTGGTTCATTCTGGAGCTTTCCGTGTATCGAATTGTATAAATCGAATGCGTTGCAAGGAAAAAGAACGATCGCAACCAGATTAAAAATATGATTGGCAATTTCTATCAGGACGGATCTTTCTTCTTGCAACACATTTACTATACAATTTTCGTTATAAAAGTTAATTAAAGTAAAACAAATCCAATTTTACCACTTTATGGAAAGAAAATTGGAGAAAAGAGAACTTTATTTAATATGTAAATACATACGCACATAAAAATATGAATAAGAAATAAGTGGGAGTATAACTGCCTATTTACAAATCCACATAATTCGAGGACTCACTGTACTTGGTGGAATAAATATAGCGATCCCGCAACAACAAAAAAAACTGTTAACAATTCTGAGCGGACCTGGCGGGATGTTTTTATGGGCGTTAGAATTTTGACAGTATAGGCAGCAAACGGTACAATAATACCTCGTAAATATAGCGGATTCGGTTCCAAACTCTCGCTGTAAATCGAGTCGCAGCCTTTAATTAAATGCCAGTGTATTCGAAAGCTTGAAAACGTACTTGCATTATTATTTATTAAATACCTAACAGCAGCAGGCCTAAAAGAAAACAGGCCTAAACGATTGCAAATAGAATGCCTAAAGATAGGCCTAAACGAATGCAAAAGTATGAATAATATGGATTGGAGAGAGAAATAATATTATACATATTGTAAACCTTAACACTTTGATGGCTGTATATTTTTTTAATTAAAATCTATTTATTTTAATATATTTAATAAATACGAATAGAATTGAATAGCGCCTTAAAGCGAAGTATTATTGTACGTTTATAAATTTGTAGCTAACACGCGTCTATAAACCTGCGTAGCCGTTTGTACTCAACCGACATAAAGTAGATTGCTATATTTGTTCGCCAACTAAACAATGTACAGGTTGTCCCACGCAATTAGGAAAAGCTATAATCTGTAAACGTGGTTGGTTAGAGATCCAAAAAATTGTCTACTTGTCTGAAAGATCTAGCCTTTCCCACTTGCGTGAAATACCCTACGTACGAATCGCTTTGTCACGCAGTCAGCGTTATAGGAACTCTGCGCATCGCGTTATACATATGTATGTATCGCTGCAGTAACATGATATAGCAGGCTTGTTCACGAGAGGGGTCCCTCACGCCGTTTAGTCTCCCACCATTACTTATAAGAGACAGAAATTGTAAATTAACTCTTGCAGATCATTTTCATCTTTTTGTAAATTAAGAAATTCACCTTCCGAGTGGCAGAAACAACAGGCGACCAATTGATACTTGTAGCGTTAAATAAGTATTTTATATTATTCCTCGTTTAAGTATCGTTGCATAGATGCAATAAAATTGTTCATTCTGGAACAATAACTTTACATTGGATTTTATCTTGGTTAAGAAAATTTGCAAAAAGGTGAATATGATCTGTGAACCAGTGGATGATCGCGTATCGACGGTTTTCTTTTACGATGTAATCGAGGGCGGCGGGAAGCTCTGTAAGCTCCGGAGTTCAGGTTGTACCAGGCCAGGCCTGTCGTATATGTAGAATTGTAGCCGCGCGACGACTCGCGAAGCTTGCCGAGAAGGAGAAGGAAGGAGAAGAATCATTATTCTCTTTGGGCGACAGAAATTAATACTTTCGCTACGGTACGCAATATGGCCGTACGGTTCGTTCGTGAAACGTCTACGCAGTTTGGTCGTACGAGCCGCCAGCGGCATGTGCCCAAGCAATAATATTTTATTACTTCGTTGTCTCAGATGTACGATTATTGTTTTCAAAATTATTTCTTAACGCGTTGACTGCCACGTAGCGGGCAACTTTCTTCTTTATCTGTAAACGTCATCGACGCTCTTTCAAACGTGTAACAAATAGAAATGTTCGATAATTCAACGGAGTACTCGTGTGTTATTTTGTTGTATTAGGATTCGTTTATTGTAAGGGTTTTTCCACCAGTAATCACCCACCGTGACAGTCAACGTATTAAATGAAAGAGAGCATTTCTAACAACGTAATTTAAACAAATGTTCAGTACAACGATTCTTGTACCGTGTGCAGAATACTTTGCGAAAGACCACCGAGAAGTCGTACGACGTGACCACAGATTATTTCCTGGTGAATGATTTAGGATCCCCTATTCGGATTATCCGGTCCGTTTCAAGTTCCGCTTTTGCCTTTTCTTCGTTTGATTCACGCTTCGACCGGGAATGTCGCATACAATTGTAAATACGTACAGTTTAAATGATCGAGAACGGACCGGTAATGCGAATAGATCCCAAGTTATCGGTAGTAGCGAAAGGTTCTAATACCGCCCGGTGTACATACATAGTCAGACTGACTAAAAATCGTTGAAACGACGTCGTATTTGGTCTCCCTTTTATTGGAAAACATCTTGCCAATACGTTAAAAGTACTTTCGTAAAGATAAAATAAAGAAATAAAAGTTTCATTTTTCATTAGTGGATGACTCAGCACGTGCCTTATCGTTTTCGGGCGCTGGCCGCCGGGCATATGTAGTCGGAAGATTGGTGAGGCTAGCAATTTACAAGGTCAAAGATCTGACGGGCAAGCATCTTTCGAGGCAGTAATGTATTTCTATTTCTGTAAAATCTCGATAGCAAAATAATTAATTACGTTGCCCTGCTGCTCGTACGTGTTTGAACGCTTGGCCGAAATTTTTTAAACATTATTTCAATTTGAAAGTTTAAAACGATACCCAGGAGATTACCGGAATACTTATTTTCTTGGATTTCTAACAATCCAAAGATTAATCACGTTTCGGTCGAGTGTTCTAATATTTACAAGAGGCAGTGTACAATCGTATTACTTTTTATTAATTGGCCATAAACTTCCTTAGTGGGACGTGTAATTATTATGCGAACAGTTTCTTTGAAAATGCAAAACAACGAGGAAGATGTAGCCACTTTTATGGAAGCGCGCACTCCGAGTCGAATGGTATTTGATTAGTAGGTACCTCGACAATCTGACCACTCGACACCAGTAAACACCCTTTCGTCCTGTAATATAATCGGAAATTATTTTAATATTTTAAATAATATAGAAAGTGTGAACGAGTCACCAACGGGGGGTGGCTTTGAAATAGTTGAGATAGCGGTGTTAATGGCTTTCTGCGTTTTGAATAATAGATACGATAGCGTTTTGCAATTAATAGAGGTCATCGATTTCTAAATTTGGTCTGAACGCTGCGAATGTTTGCCGAGACTGAGACACGTGCAGCGACTTCCGAACGACGATTACGCGCAATGGCTGCAAATAATGCAAAAGAGGCTCGAATTGCGTTTAGATAGCAAACTTTAGAAAGCAGCAGAGGCTGATGTGTCACGAGAGGAACCCTATTATAGTTTAGGAATGTATTGAAATAGATAATGTAAAGATTTATGCGAGAAACAATGTTCTTTTCTTTTTAAAACAATGTACACCATTTCAGAAAAATTGTTCAACGGATTTACATACTTTTACTTTGGCACAAGCGTATAAAATATCATTATCTATGGCGCATCGCACGTGTTTTGCAAAATATCCGCTAGTTTTTCTCAAAACAATGTTTTTTTCCGATGAAAATGAACAATTGTCAAATGTTAAAAACAGAAAAAAAGCGTACAATACGCCATAGCGATATTAATGTACTTTACGAAATTATTCGACTATTCTGATTTGAATAAGCCGTTCTCTCGGTAAACCAAGTACAGTGTAAGGTACAAGGGTGTTCGCCGAAGCATGGTTTCGCTGTTAGCATTTCGCAACCCGCCTCACATCACCGATGACACTTTCAAATATTGAAAAATGTTCTTGATGTACATTATTTTAATTAAAATCCTTGATATTCATTCATCCGTCTTAAAAAGCAATGATATTCTTACAAACAAAACGGAATTGTGTGTAACCGGTGACTAAAATTAAACAAATGTTATATCAATATATTCGAAAAATAATTATCACTCTCTTCGTTATAAAACTTTACTTACGTAATTAAGAAACACTTGAGGAATTATCCTTTATTATGAAACTCGGTGAATAGTTATTTATGCGGGCGAATCGATAAATACATATTGCGTCGACAACATTTGAAAAATATATAAATATTAATTACAATCAAGTATTTACACATTACCAACAGGTTACACGACAAACGCAAGATGAAGCGAGGCAGAAAATAAAATTACAGAAATTTTATTGTTTTTTAACGGAATGAGATCTTAGATCTTATAAAACTTTATACGGTATAATTTCCTCTTATGTCTCAAGAAACAATTCTAAATTCGCAGCCATTAGCTTGGTGTTACCCACGAAGAAGAACTTTTCATCGTGGGTAAGGGAACACCGATTATATCGGGTCTCACCACGAAGAGGTTGGTTGCTGCGAGCAGAGACCCGAAGAAGGATAGATGAAATCCAAGTTCTTAGAAACCAGATTACTAAACTAGAGTGATAGAAGTAAGCAAAGTTCCTTCGATCTTCTAGTTTAGCAATGCCAAATAATTATTTTGTTTAAAAGGATCGAATCGACTGCCCTTGATAACTGGATTTTTCGGGCACGCAGCCCGCTGGGAGCCCGCCGGGAGCCCGAAGGACCCGACTCGGAGAGAGTTGAATAATTCTAGCATGTAGCTTGGTTTGCAGTAGCTTTGCGAAATATGTACTTGCAAATAACATGAGTTTGATTTCAGTGCGTCTCTGTCTATCTGTTCTATGCATAATGAAACACTCGCAGCTTTGCTGCCTCTCGTTCAGCATAGCCTCGCACTCTAGTCACTGTGTAATCTGTAATGTAATAATACTGTAACTTTCTAGAATGAATGCAGGGAGCGCTGGTGTTAGCCGCGTGTGTTACTTATTTGGTTAGTGGCATGGCATGGCATGGTCGTCGCCGGCGGTCACCTAGTTCTTGCTCGGATCCGTTACGGCGTGGGTTTCGCTGCGCGCGTCGTACAGTACGTTGGTAACACGCAAGAGTATAGATTTATTACAATGCCGTTGCTCCATGTTCATCGTTAAAATGAAAAGATAAAATGACGAGTTTGTTTTCTATAATATAAATAAGAAAGGATCTGCCGAAGTTTGACAGTTGACAAGTCTTCCTTTACTGTTATGAAACGGTATTGTCGGATCTCGAATGCTACATTCAATAATATGCATGGACAATTTATGTAATTTAATGGTATATAATAATATTAATTAATTACGATGTATAATAATATAATCGATTAAGCGAGAAAGTATTGTAAAATGTAAATTATCATTCAAACTAAGTAATATAACGTGGATATAGTAATCGAAAACTGATATCGTTATGGACAACAATTTATCTACTCATGTTTTCGAAACATTTTAATTTCGTAATTTGTTAAGGTAAGACTATAATTGATAATCGTGTCGCGAAACCTACGACCGATTCTCAAAGATTATATAATAACAATTAACCATTTAGATTAGAAATTTTGTAATAATTTAAGAAATGGCTTCTGCTATGGAACAACAACAGCAAACCACCTTAGAATTTTATCAGGCTATGGCTGATTTTAAAAATATGTTTCCACAAATGGATGACGATGTGATCGAGGTAAACTTGTTTAATAAACGAACATAATATTTATAATAAATCTTTCATTGCGCTCTTTTAAATTTCATACTATAATAATTATAAAAATTAATGTAACACGCAGCTCGATATTATTTTATTTAATTGTCTTTTAGGCTGTATTAAGATCTAATCAAGGGGCCGTGGAAACAACGATCGATCAATTACTTGCTATGAGTACCGACAATGAAAATGAAAAAATCAGAAGCGAATTAGAACAAAATGAAAAATCACCAAGTACCTCTAAATCACCAAAAATAGATGCTGCCAAATCTTTAAGGATTATACATAAATGGCAACCTGCTTTACTAGGACCATTACCGGATACATTTCTTAAACTTTCCCAAGTTCCGAAAGAAAATGTTGATTCGTCGTATTTAACGGATTACTCTATGCTGGAAGATGAGAGCATCGCCATGTTTCTTCAGAACGAAGAATTCATGGCTGAATTACGTTGGAACGAAGATTTCTTATCAACCTTGGAAAGTGGTATGCAATGTAGTATTACGATCTTTGCAGTTTATAACCGCCGTGTAAATAACATTTAAAAATAATTACTACTTTTAATCAGATACAAAAATACCAGGAACGAATCTTGAAAAATGCAGTGGTCAGGTTGGTCACGACGATGAAGACCTTTTTAAAGAAAGGCTTAAAAATATGGGCAAAAGTATGGAAGTTTATTTATTCGCTATATACAGTTACTAATAATTATATGATTCTCTCATTGTTACTCTGAGCATGTTCTTGTAGTGTCTCGGCGTAAGTTTGCACAACTTACCAAAGTGTTTACACGTAGTAAAAAACGCGGTGGCCGGCAACTATTACCACCAACAGCTTCTTGCGATGACTTACTGGATCCTGAGGAGTCATCTAGATCTCAGTCTTAAAAATTTTAGCATCTTTCTTATTTTATCTAAGAAAGACAATTTCAGCGTGTATTATCCAAAAGCAACAAAGAAGCATATCTATATCGATACGATTAAATGAAAAATAACAAGGAAAATTTAGATTGGAATCGTTTTGCTTATAAAACCTGTGTAAACTAGAAATTAATTAGCAATTCACGTTTACGTTATACGCGGTAATTATGCACCGATACTTATTGGATTGCTTGGATATGATTTGACAGACTTCAAACTCGGAAAGATCAAAAAACGTAGAATATAAAAACAGTATCCTTCGATATTCTATAAAAGAAAATGGAAAGCTGCAAAATATTTCGTATTTTAATAACTTACTACAGATAAGTACACACTTAGATAGTAACAATAATTACTACAGTTATACTATTAAGATAAAAATCTGTGAAGCTTTGATAAAACAATTATTTTTTCTGTTACCACAAAATGGTGACGGTTATTTGAAATTTTATGCATGGCACACTATTTGTAAAATTGATCATTACAATGTTAATATTATTTTTTTAAATTTATCATTTTATTAAATAGAAGTTTTAAACAATTTACATTTATTTAAAATATACTGTTTATAGTCGACAGTAAATGTTGTTAATGTATAAGGCAAATAATATTTACAGATACTAAACAAACAGTAAAAAAAGTTAGTGCAGGTGTTAAAAATAAAAACGATGGTTTGTGATTTTGTATTTAATTTATAATAGGAAAGTTTTTCTCGTAGCATATAAAGTATCATGAAAGACTTTTGAATTCACTAATGTAGAAAAGACTTGATTTTCTATTACCGCGAGCAGTGATAATGATTTCGTGTGTATAAGTAAATTTTCTAAAACGCTTAGTTCTTTACAGCTATAATTGTAAATGTAATTAATTCTAGTCAATTCATCTAGCCATTACTTATTTAAAAGTAAATATATCAACCATTATAATCTTGTTCGTTTAGAAAATATTTATACAAATGAGCATAGTTAGTATTTGCAAATTGAAGAATGGTACCGTGCCACAGGCATAAAATAAATTTGAAAAATACTAAGCTGAAATATACAGATATAAAAAGAAACTACAGTCTTTAGAGACCCTTTGGTAAATTAAACCTTGTTTAACGTACTAATTTATATCTTTATTTTCTCGTTGTTATAATGTTACAAAAGGATTACGAAAATAAAATAAAATTTATAATAGAAAATGTTTTAAAGCTGGTTTTATTAGGTATATAATTGTATAATCGTATAATGTACAATTTAACGGTCTTTAAACAGCGATAATGAAAAATATCGAGGAAAATTAAGTATAAGATCGATAAGCAATTCAAATCTTATTGAATATGCATTATTTTTCGTTCTAAAGTATTATATATCAGACTGTTTAAAGAATACTCTGGCCCCAGACAAACTGTAATAGAGTAACTGAAATTCGGCACTTCTTTCTCTTAAGCGTTTCAATGTTAATGCTCTCGTTTGCTGCAATTTTTCATCACCATGATCATTTTTACTTTTTGCAGCTTGTTTTTCAGCATTTATATGTTGTTCGACCGTTTTGAACCAATGTAAACCATCGAGTTCTGACGATTGATCCAACAGAGCATTTATATACGCGATTCCCATCGCGAAACCATCGTCGGTAAAAGCCGCGCCTGTTTGATTTTTCTTTAACATCTTCTCTTTGTTCGATATCGAATTATCCACAAAACTTAACGTTAATGGCGGTACAATGGCATAAAATTGTTGCAAATGGTGCGATTCCGTATCTCGAAAGGCAGACGCAAATACATCGACGAGAAGTTTAAAATATTGTATGCCCTCTGTAAAATTTCGTACCAAATTGGTAATATCATCTTCTAAGCATCTTGCCGCAGCTTGAGTTATTATACTGTAATTTAAATTTTTGCACAATAATTCGAACGATACGGGCGAATCGATATTTGGCAAAAACGAAATAGCGTTCGAACTTGCGTGCAATCCACCGGATCTGATTAATCGCACGTATCCTAATGCGTTTCCAATTTGAGTTATCAACTGTCGAAATTGATCCAAATAGCTCAAATCGTCGGCCGTCATTCCCAATTTTCTAATGCCTTTTTGAAATTTTTCTGCTCTCTCGTACGTGTAAGGCGTTTCTCCGTTTTCTCTTTGAGCTTTAATAAATCTTATATCCCGCATTAATCTTGATTTTATATGTTCGTCGAAAAGAAATTGTGAAAACGTGTGCAACTTTACACGAAGAAATTGATATACAAAGTTAACTGTTGTACTCATAATGCCGGTTCCATGTGTTCTAATAGAATTCGCTATATGCCTAATTCCAATGGTATTTAAATGTTTATTATTACTAATATGTTCAATGAAAGTTTGTGTGTTTAGATTGTACAAATATTTCGAAACAAATACATGAATGTTTCTCATAATTTCTAAGGCATCCAGACCTTGTTCCAAGGTTTGAGTGGGTAAATAATTTTGTACGGTATCAAGATTCAGTTTATAATGAGCAAGGGCGTGCATCATTCCATAGGTCCTCCAATCGTGCAGCTTCACCGTAGTAAGATTATAAAACATGTCATCAAGATAATGTTCTATAAATCTCTTGGCAAATATCATACTATTAGCCAGAGGTAACGGTAACGATTGTACTACTCTGCCACCATCTTTTACTCCAAAATTAAATGGATTGGTAGAATCCAATTTTAAATGTGCATGGACATGAAGTCTCAAGTCTATTTCGATCTCGTTGCAAACGGGTTCTAATATGTTTTTAATTAACATTTCTTTTAATTGCACGATTCTTTTCTCCTTTAAATCTAATCCTTCCTGTTCGCTAATGGTACTGTTAAATGCACCAAACAGATGTACAATATGATTTATATTTAAATTACTATCGGTTACAAAAGAGAAGTAAGCTGGAATAATGTTTTGATGATGTAGCAATATGGAATAATCGCAAATTTCGGAAATAACATCATGCAGTTCGGCAATGGTATCATAGTTGTCTAATAAAAATCTTAATTTCACCGTTTCCTCTTCTTTAAATATATCCGTTAATTGAGTAGCACACGCTAATGCACATCTAATTATTAATCTTCTATCCGCGCTCGCCGGACCATTTAATATCTTTATGCTTAAACCTATTAACGACAATGTGTCCAATCTTTCTTTGCTATAGCCTTTATCTTTTTGTATCAAACTTTTCCGTGCATTCTCTAACACGATCGAAATATTGTAACTCAGATATTGTAACACTTGACTTTGCGATTGCACTATAAGTGGCCCCAATATATAAAATGTATTTTCTAAAGACTTTTCTACTTCTATTAATCTACAGATCAAATGAACTGTGTTACGATTCATTGGTTTAATAAGCGTCGCGTGCATATTCATTATAAAAGATATAGTCTCTTTAATTTGGGATAACAAATTAACTAAATCTACAAGTAAAAATTGTTTCTGCTCAATGTCTGAAACTTGAAGATGAGTTTTCATAATATTTGGCATTTCTATGCACCATGAGACAGCCTTATGAATTAAATTATTGACGGTCTGAGACAATTTTTGAGTCCTTAAGCTTAATAGTTTTTCTCCCGCTTGGGGACTAACTGTATAATTGCTGGCTTCCTTTGGTAGAAAATCGCTCAAAAATTTGCCGGGTAACCATATAACATTTCCGATCAAAGTTACGGCATAAAACTTTTTGTTATTTTCCATTACTCTTTTAATTAATTTTTTATCACAAGTACCAAATGATTTTGTCAACACAACAACACCGATATTTACTCTGATCCAATTTTTATTCGATGCTGCATTTGCGTTAGACTTATTCTCTACATCCGACATTATATTTTTGAGATAATTAGTAATTTGCTCGTTCATCATACTACTTTTATTTATGTCCATTACACGTTCGATAGTTCTAGAAAATATCACCTTCTTTAATAAATGTTCTTGTAGTACCTTTAACAATTTATCAAACGTATGGAGTTTGGATTCTACTATACCAAACTGCGACGGATTATGCATAATAGAATGCACATGAATTCTGTACTGTTTCCATTGTTCCAACAACGACGGTTGAGATTCAATAATTTCATCCAATGTCAGAACAATTACGAATAAATCAATGAAATGTTCTATCAGTACAGGTAAATAAACTTCGTTAGGATTACCTGCTAGACTGGATAATTGTTCTGTTGTTAAATGAGCAACAGTCCATACTCTGTTCACAAAAACAAACAGATCTTGCAAATCGGATAGAAGAGACGTGATATTATTCTGATTATTTTCAACGTCCCTTTCTCCATGCGTAAACAATTTTTTGTAGAAAGTTTTAGCTTCTATTTCGAGAAGTCTAATTTCTCTGCATGTACCAGCAACAGTGGCAAGTAATTTTAATAAAAATTTATTTTCCATTTCTATCAAAAATATAAGACTGACATCTTCAACGGGTTTATATATTAGCCGAAGAGGACCTTCCATAAAATATTCTAACGTAGAATCTTTTCTCCAAGTTTTTTCTGATAACTGTTCAAAAAACTGTCCATATTTTCGCAAATGTATCGAACCTACCGCTTTGTATATAGTCTCGTCTTTTTTTGCGTTCCATGCTGAAGATTCTATCATTGCGATATCGGTTTATTATTTTTATTAGATACTGATCAAACTCTACTCCGTGTTAAAACATAGACTCATAGAGATAAATTGAACGCATCGTGGACAGACGACGTATTATATTTATTACAGCACCGACTTTTCAACAATCGCACATTTCACTTTCGCACCATTTCTTACACACTAATGCACAAGTCTGTTCATGTGAGTTCGGGCAGCTTCGAGAAATCGAGAAAGAAACCTTCATATTCATATTCTTCTTTATCGTTTACTCGAAACTCTGCGAATCACTTTGAAGCAAAAGTTCAGATCGAGTAACTGTTACGAAGAACTTAAAAGTCAAACTATGTATGAATGTATATCGGTTCAATTTAAGGTTCTTGCATCAGCTCCATTTATTCTCCATAGATTCTGTACACATAAAGAAGAGTTGTTTTTTTAGGTTTCATATTTTGACTTTGAAAAAGTTTCGCACAATATTCCTCAATTTTCTTTAGTCTCATTCGCTTATCTCCTCATCGACTCACTAGACTACTGTTAACATTTTAGTAGTTCGAATTCCAATTTACAAATGGTGCCATATATTTTCGAAATTTTTAATATAACGATTACTGCAAAAGAATTACTGCTTCGAATGATTGTTTCCAATTAATTAATTTGAAACAAAATCTGTAGAAAAATGGTTAAAGAATGTTATCAGGTACTCGTTAAGAAATTAATCAGATATGAGTAATATATTAGAGTGGTTGCAATTATGTATAACGTTACAAAGAATTAATGGAAAGGTAACGAATCAAAATAAAAAGCACGTATAATATTCTGATTTTGATTCGTTATTAATATATGTAGAGTCCACAGACCGGTCATGCCCCCTTTCGCGATTCTCCGAAGCTGCCCGAAGTAATTTCGGACCGCTTCGTGGAAGTCGAGAGAGAAAGGCTCACATTTGCCTTCTCGCTCCCACACAACTGAAATCCGATCTCCCGTCAACGGCATACGATTTGGATTCTCGACTGCCCAGGCATTTTTACTTTCCGACCTATGTACTTAGGCGCACATAAGCAAAGTACCCATAATGAAAAAAAAATTTTGTAAAATTTATTTTACGGAAATACACGTTTTAAGACCTCCTGATCATATTTTAATTATTGAAAAAAAAGAAATTTTTTTTTATTCCCATGTATGAGCACACATACATATGTATATTATTAATACGATTTTTGAAAATAAATAAAGTAAAACTTATCTGATTGAAATTTTTTGTAGAAGTTGAGCTGATGAATACCTAGAAAAAAGTATTAGACAACATTTAATATTGATTTCGATTAAAAATCAAATTTATATTGTTTTAAATTCGCAGCCATTAGCTCGGTGTTACCCATAATGAAGAAGTTGTTCTTCAAAGGTAACACCGATTACCAGGTCTCACCACGAGGAGGTTGCTGCGAGTGGAGACCCAAAGTGAGATCGATGGAACAAAGTTCGATCGACCTTCCTTTTTACACACTAGATTACGCAAAAAAAAAGATGCCAAGTAATTACTGTTCTAAAACAAAGGAGGAAGGTAAATTGTGGGAGACGCGACACGACGAAACGCGACACAATACTGCACAGTGCAGTAGGAACATGAGGTGCGACACGTACCGAATAGCGGGTCAAAAGGGGCAGCTCGTTACCTCTTAGCAAGTCCAATTGAAGGGGAGGAGAATCGACGCACCAGACACGGGTTCCCCATTTCTCCAACGCGTCCTGCTGGGAGCCCGTGGGACCCAACCCGGGACGTCTTACACAGGAGAGAGATCCTGAGTCGGGGCTACCGCAGACAGGAACAGGTCCCCTCTACGGCCGATGACTCTTTCCCTAGAATTGTCTCACCAGAGGACGGCAACCGACCCTTCGAACCATCTAAACGGCCGATCACTTGCTTTCTACATTAAAGCAGCGGTGACCGGAGAAACGAGACTGGAAAAGAAGCTATTAATGAATTCATTACTTGGCAATCTACGCAGTAAATAAAATAATATACAATGTAAATTGAAAATTAACGTCGTAGGTGGAATTAATGAGATTAAGGAATTGAAATGAACATAGGAATGAATAAGAAAGGAAAAAGAAATATTCGACGTTAATTTTTACACTCGCGCCGCGCCTTAAATTTAATGCCCTTACGTGCAGATGAATCCGAAGTCCTCTATCTAAAAATTGACCTGAATAAAAACTAAAATAAAAATTAGTAGTTAAACAAACAAATTAATTAATAATAAATATAAGGACAAAGAAACAAATATACAATCAAGAAGAGAATCATTTGGAAAATAACAACCCCACGATGTTGAAAATGAGGAAAATGAGGAAAATGAGGAAAAATAACAACCCAACGATGAAGAAACCAAGAACAGAATAATTTAAAAAATATCGACCCAACGATGTAAAAAAACGATGTAAAAAAGCTGAAATAAAAATAATTGATTCATTAACGAGACGAACAACCCAAATAGAGTACATCACCTATATATATATATAAACAAAAAAGACAATGTTGGGATTAGTTGTATTAATATAATTACATGTATACCAAACGGTGATCCTTCCTGGTCAGCATCGCAGAATCAGAGAATCTGAAACAGAAAATACGCGTGACAGTACCCCTGGCGGTTACAGGAGTACTGAAAAGAGTCGAACAGCTGTGCCCGTTTTTATGCAGTCGGACAAAAGTAATCCCTAGCCAATCAGCAGCCAGACCGCTGGGGGCGACACTCCGATAGGGCGGCACTTGCTTCACCTAAGTTGATAAGAGACCCCCCTGTGGCCCTCGCGCGGGAGTTATCACCCAACCACCAAGCAAGACGGACCGTATCGAGATGAAAAATTTAATCGAAGATTTACATTCGATCAAAATCGAAGATGGCGGCCAAGAAGATGTTTCACGAGCAGCGGCCAAGGGACAAAACCGGTCTTTTTAAAGACCAAGAAAATCTCATTTGTGGGAACAACTTATGCAATGAACTGAACAACTTTTATATTTAACAACTCAGAGACACTTTACATCTCTGTTTTGTAACAACTTTTATATTTAACAATTCAGAGACACTTTACATCACTGTTTTGTAACAACTTTTATATTTAACAACTCAGAGACACTTTACATCTCTGTTTTGTAACAACTTTTATATTTAACAACTCAGAGACACTTTACATCTCTGTTTTGTAACAACTTTTATATTTAACAACTCAGAGACACTTTACATCTCTGTTTTGTAATAACTTTTATATTTAACAATTCAGAGACACTTTACATCTCTGTTTTGTAACAACTTTTATATTTAACAATTCAGAGACACTTTACATCACTGTTTTGTAACAACTTTTATATTTAACAACTCAGACACACTTTACATCTCTGTTATGGAACAACTTATGTAATAAAACTGAACATGGTATATTTGCCTATACATATAGGAAGGAAATTCGTCGTTAGTATTGTCGCCCGTCAATGCACTTAATTATGCAAGATCAGTATACTATCTAATTTTATTTTTTATTATACCGGTTTGTAATATCGTAAAGATCAATGCAAAAACATTATGCACAGCTCTTGTATTTCTTTGATTTATCCAAGTAGTGAAAGTATAATATTTAACAAACTTTTGATTCAAATAACATAACGAATGACACAAAATTTGAGTACCTGTTGCATACAACCTATGTATAAATGCATAACTAATATTGATATACGCATAACGAACTTAGTTTGTGATATGAAACATTAAGAAAAGTGTAAATTAATAAATAGGTTTCAAAATGGGTATTCCGGGTTTAACAACTTTTATAAACAATCGTTCAGATCGTTATTTGGAATATTTCGAGCTACGTGATACGTATTTAGTTATTTAGCTGTCAAATATATAATTCGTACAAGTGCAATTGTGTTTTTGTCGGTGATTACGATAAATTACGCTCAACAAGTATCGGATTTTTTTGACGATTTGATAAAGTGCAATGCACTACCATTAGTTTTGATCGATTGTGGTTGCGAGGATAAGAAACTGCAAACAGTTATATCTAGAACTAGAGAAAAGGTTCGTACAGCATCATCTTATTCTCCGATCTGTCAACAGAAAATGAAATTTTTTCCTTTACATATTTAGGAAGTTTTCAAAGATGTTACGAGAAAGAAGAATATTCGTCATGTGCAATGCTTATTCGAAGCTGATAATGCTATAGCTACTGTAGCAAGGATATTGAATTGTCCTGTATCGAGTTATGATTCAGATTTTTATGTGTTTGGGACAATTACACGGTGAAAAGTTCAACTGGAAATGGTTACACGAAACGTTGTAAAATTTATAAAGTTGAACACTTATTAAATTCTTATAGAGGTCTAAGTCAATCTACACTGCCATTAGCTGCAATATTACTAGGCAATGATTATGTAAAACGTGGTACATTTAGAAACTTCTTTCGTTATTTAAAGTTACGACAAATAACAAGAAAAAGGTATAGTAATCGACAGTATTGTATAGAAGCAACTTTACAATGGTTGAGCGGATTTTACACCTTGGACAGAGCAGTCATTGGAATACTATGTAAATCACCTAAAACCGTAAGACAAAAAATATTAAGCATAATAGAAATCAATATAAATGGCTATACAAATGCATCTACAGAAATACTTGCTTACTTCCATTGGGGTTTTTACAGGAATATGCAGCTCGTGCCACAACACATTCCATAAACAGAATTTTTAAATTTGATGGAGATGTTAATAGTCTAATGTACATGGAAGAAACTGATAAAAATGGAGATTTTGAATCAACCGAAGAAGAAGAAAAAGAGGAAGAAAACGAAGTTGAAATATTAGACATGCTTAAAGGGGTCAGAATCTACTACCAATAATGCACTACTAGCTAATGTACCTAATTTGTTTGTAGATGAATTTCTTATGGGCAATTATCCTGCATATATTATGGACTTGTTGGTTCGACGTTTATATATTTGTTCTGTACAAACAGAGGATTATTCCTATCCATTGAGCAATGTAACAAGTTTAAAAATTATTAGAGTTATATATGCATTTCTGTAATCAGGAATGAATAGAAGGAGAGGTTTCATGAAATACATGGTGAGAGACTGTAATAAAAAGCTTAAATGTTACAAACGAGAAGGCACTGACACTAAATT